GTGCATGAAGCTTTCAAACTTCCTGTACCACTGTCTTGGAGCTTGTTTCAGACCGTACAAGCTCTTCTTCAATTTGCACACCATATCCTTCTTTCCTTCTGAAAATCCTTCAGGTTGGTGCATGTAGATCTCCTCATCTAAGTCTCCGTGGAGAAATGCAGTCTTCACATCTAATTGCTCTAGGTAGAGCTCTTCACTAGCCACAATACTTAACACTGTTCTGATAGTATTGAGCTTTACGACTGGAGCAAAGATTTCAGTGTAGTCAACTCCTTCTTTCTGCTGAAATCCTTTGACAACTAGTCGGACTTTGTATCTCTTGGAACCATCATGGTCTTCCTTCACCCGATACACTCATTTGTTGTGAAGTGCTTTCTTCCCCATGGGTAACTTGACTAGTTCCCATGTCTGATTGGAGATCAGAGACTTCATCTCTTCTTTCATGGCAAACTCCCACTTGCTAGCATCTGTGGTTTGACAAGCTTCTATATAATCTTCGGGCTCCCCTCCATCAGTCAACAACATGTAGTCCATGTATCTCCTGTTTGGCACATGAGGTCTAAAGGACCTTCTCAATACAGGAGTTGGAGTAAGAGGTTCTGGTTGCACATCACCTTCTTCAATTGATTCCTCTGACTGAGGACTCCTCACTATAGGATTTTCTAGGACATCTTCCACTTCTGCAAAAACTGGCCCACTCGATTCTGAATTGCTAATACCTGTTTTATGCATGTCCTTGTACAACACTCTTTCATTGAAGATTACATCTCTGTGTGCAGATCATCTTTTTGTTTTCATCATCCCATATGTGGTAGCCATACTCATCTTCACCATAACCAATGAAAGTGCACTTCTTTGATTTTGGATCAAGTTTGTTTCTACCTTGATCATTGATATGGACATATGCTACACAGCCGAAAACTCTAAGATGTGAGAGTTTTACCTCTTTTCTGCTTCATACCTCTTCTGGTATTTCGTGCTCCAATGGTACCGATGGACTTCGGTTGATAAAGTAAGTTGTTGTGTTAACTACTTCTGCCCAGAACTACTTTGGTAAGCCTAACTGTACACGCAAGCTTCTGACTCTTTCAGTCAATATTCGGTTCATATGCTCAGCTACACCATTGTGTTGAGGCGTACCAGGCACGGTCCTCTCCATTCTGATTCTGTGCTCATAGCAAAACTTCTTGAATCTGGTGTCTACATATTCACCACCATTGTCGAATCTGAGCTTCTTAATCTTCAATCCTGTTTCATTTTCTACCATAGCTTTCCAAATCTTGAAAGCTTCAAATACTTCTGACTTGTGTTTCAGAAAGTAAATCTGTACCTTTCTGGAGTGATCATCGATAAACGTCACGAAGTATTGCTTCCCATCAACGGATGGGACAGTCGTTGGACCCCAAACATCAAAGTGGACAAGCTCAAGTCTCTTTTTCTTTGAAATTCTTCTATTTGTTTGAAAGCTAACTCTCTTCTGCTTTCCAAGTATGCAGTCTTCACACATGTCAATTTCTACTGACTGAAGACCTGGTAGTTTTCCTTTTGAGTGCATGATCTTCATCCCTTTCTCACTCATATGCCCAAGTCTTTGGTGCCATAAATTGGGATTTTCATTTGTTGCAACTGCAATCAAATGACATGCTCCTGCAGTCTTGTAAAGAGTACCACTCTTTTTGCCTCGAGCAATTGTCATCGCACCCTTTGAGATCTTCCAATCATCACCGTGGAAGATTGTTGTGTAACCTTTACTGGCTAACTGACTCACTGAGATTACGTTCTTCGTCAGTTCGGGAATATGTCTGACATTTTTCAATTCCCATACAGACCTGTTCAACTTAATCTTTACTGTACCTTTACCTACAATCTCACACGATTGCTCATTACCAAGGTAAACTTTACCGAGATTTTCGGGAACATAATTCTCGAACAGTTGCTTTTGTGAGGTAGCATGGAAAGATGCTCCAGAGTCTAACACCCAAGACTCCTCCTTGCTTTCTAAAGAGCATATCAACACATCATCTTTCCCTGAGGTAGAGGCAACGTTTGCCTCGTCCTTCGCTTCTTCATTCTTTCGTGCATTCTTGCACTGATTTTTGTAATGTCCGGTCTTCCCACAATTCCAACACTCGATTTGCTTCGAATTTTGGGAACTACGATGATTTTTGGACTTGGATCGTTTGCCCTTTGATTTTCCGCGTCCGCTTTCTTTGGTTGAACTTCTTCCTCTTGACTATGTATGCAATACTAAAGAGGTTGATGATTCACCCGACTCCCTCCGCCGGATCTCTTCACTGAGAACCAAATTACGAATATCATTAAATTTTAACTTATTGCTTCCCGATGAGCTACTCACAGCTACGACAGTAGCATTCCAACTTTCTGGTAGAGAAGACAAAAGTATCAAAGCTCGTACTTCATCATCGAACTCGATCCCAACGGAACTCAACTGAGTTGTAACAGTATTGAGTTCATTGATATGTTGCGTCGTTTAAGCGCCTTCAGACATCCGTAGATTGAACAACCGCCTCATCAAATGAACTTTGTTTGAGGCTGATGATTTCTCGTACATACTGGAAAGAGTATCCATAAGACCTGCTGTCGTCTTTTCTTTTGCAATATTAAAAGCAACATTACGAGATAACGTCAGTCGAATGGCTCCAAGGGCCTTTCTGTCGAGAAGAGTCCATTCCTCCTCTTTCATACCCTCTGGTTTCTTTCCTGTGAGTGGTTCGAACATATCCTTTTGATACAGGTAATCCTCGATCTGCATCTTCCAGAACCCAAAGTCCGCACCATCGAACTTCTCGATTTTCACCTTTCCTTCATCTGCAGCCATCACTCCAACTCGGATCTGACTTTTCTGGATCGTTTCTGACAATTTCTGTGAACTACCGTGTTTTGGAATACGTCTGTAGATAATTTTGTAGCACCAACAAAATTTTTACTATTCACGTTTTTACTATTCATAGAATAGTAAATTCACTATTCATATGAATAGTATCACCACAAAAATTGCAGAGTTAACAATCAGCTCTGATACCAGTTGTTAGGAAAAATACACAGAACTTTTCCATGTAGTCAGATCTATGAAAGTGAAATAAAAACGAAATAAAGACGGAATAATTTGACACACCAATTGATAACGGAGTTCGGCCAAAATTGCCTACGTCTCCGGACTACTGCAGATATTTTACTGGGAGAAAAGAAAATACACAGGTGTTTACAAAACACTCTCAAAATACACAAAACTTTTCCATGTAGTCAGATCTATGAAAGTGAAATAAAAACGAAATAAAGATGAAATAATTGGACACACCAATTGATAACGGAGTTCGACCAAAATTGCCTACGTCTTCGGACTACTGTAGATATTTTACTAGGAGAAAAGAAAATACACAAGTGTTTACAAAGCACTCTCAAAACACTCAACCCTCAACCCAATTACACCCAGAAGCTAGATTATTTTCTTTCTGCTTCTTGCTGGCTAATTCTTGTAATGGTTGTTTTGGAATTGGATGATAGAAATGAGTGAAGTGAAAAAGCATTTTATAGCAAAAGGAATGGTTCTTGTGCATTTAAGGCTTTCCAATTTTTCTTGTCTCCAACCACTTGTCATCCAACCACTTGCCAACCAACCACTTCTCACCTTTTTTTTTTTACTTTTCAAACACCAACACAAATCATCTTCTCTTTCAAAACACTTAAAACCTCCCTCAAATAATATTATTGATATCATTAACATAATTAATTTTGTCTTGATCATCCATTATTATTGTTTTCAACAATTATCTTAGCATGAAAATGAAAAACAGAATTAAAGAGAAAATATTTATTTTTAACCTTTTTTATCTTAATACCAGTAGCAATGTCGATTAAATTAAAAACATTGTTTAATTTAAATTTGAATAAAATAATTGACCAAATCAAAGTTGTATATTTGTTAATTACGAATAGCAATGTCGATTAAATTAAAAACATTATTTAATTTAAATTTGAATAAAATAATTGACCAAATCAAAGTTGTATATTTGTTAGTTACGAATTCTAAATTTGTATGTTTTACAGTTAGAAATTAGTATTAAAATTCAAATTTTTAAAACTAAAAAAAACGAAAATTATAAAATTGTTTTAATTTTAAAAAAATTAAACTCAAATTTAATATAATCCATTTTTATTAATTTTGTATATTCTAATTTTATTTTCTCATTCCATGGAATTATTTTTTTCACTTCAACTCCACCAAATACTTAACCAAAAAAACAAAATTCAGTACAAAGGTAATCTGATTCAATTCAAATATAAGATTTGTTTTTCACCTTCTTTTCTATAAATATTTATAAAAAAAATAAAACAAGTTTTTTTATACATTAAAATTAAAATAAGGTAAAAATTATAAATTATAAATTTTTAAATTAATTAATGTGTAAATAATTGTAATTTATTATTTTTTTTCCTTTTTTTTATTTTAAAAACATTCAAAGAAAATATTTAAGAAAAAAAAAATGACATACACACTAACATAAACGTAAGGCATGTTTGTCATATGATAGCTATTAGTTCCAAGTACATTATTCTTGTCCTGTGATAATTGTTAGGGTGATATGATTGAGACTATTAGTGAAAATGAAGGAATAATCAATTAATATTGTTACTTGGTGAAAGAAAGAAAAGAGAAATAATTAATTTATTAAAAATGATAACATGTGTCTATTATTTATTTTTTTCTTTAATTATAAAGTTTTTTTTTATTATTGTTCATCTATTTTTTCATCTTAGTTATTTCTTGTTGCTTATTGCATTTCTCTCGGCCAAACACACCTTTGGATCGAAGTAAGTCGGAAATCAACCCCGCCAAAAGTTGAAACCTCTTCCTTTAACTAACCTTCTCCATTGACTGGTAGTTTTGAAAGTCTATTCTTTCTCCACCTCCTCTAACTCTAACTCTATTTTGCTTTTCTGTTCATGAAGATCCTCAAGCATCCACTGTTATATGCGACATGGAACAAGTCTCTCAACCACCACTTCGTCCCAAGTTCAACACCCCCCATCAACTCTCTCACCATCTTCTTCATGCCGATAGAGTCCCTTGCTTTGAAGAGGTTTCGAAGGAAAAAGAAGAAGATGAGTTGGGGGGAAAAGAAGTGGATTTTTTCAAAGAAAGGGTTGAGAGATTGGAGAGTGAGAGAGAAGAGATAAATGGGGTGATGTTTAAGGCTTTGGAGTCTCTCACTTCAACGAAGTATTGCTTGTCTAGAGTCATAGAGGGATTAGAGGGAGAAAAGGATGAAACTTTCGTGGACGATGGTAAGGGGGACTGGTTAGGTGAGGAATCAAGGATGTTGTTGGAAGACGCAAGGTTGATCTCAAGGCTTGCGATTGAGGTGGAGACAAGGGTGGATAGGTATAAGGAGATGAGGAGGAAAGAGAAGAGAGAATTGGAGAGTAGTTTGATCAGTTTGACTGAGGAGAATAGGGATGTTAATAACTTGCTTAGGATTGCCTTGTTGGAGAAAGAAGCATTGGAGAAGAGAATAAAGGGACATGACCATAAAAGGACGCCCCTTTTGCAGTTTGGATGGTTCATGATGGGGGGTGGGAACAGTGAACAATCAACAGAGAGTTCTGGGGCTAAATCAGATAGCAGTGAGTGTGACGAGGAAGTTGTTAGTGTGGTAAGGTCTTATTGCCTTTAATTCCTAAAAATTGGGACAAACTACTCTTCCTTTCATTAAAAAAACCTATTTCTTGTAATATAGTTGACATTTAACAAAAGGGTGAGAAAAGGGAAATATAACACTGCACTATACAACCTGTGATATTGTTAGGATCAAGTTTACTCTTCTGTTTTTCTGCTACAATTTGCTAGCCACTCTCTTTTCTATCCATGGTTATGAGTATCACATTTGGTTATATTTTTCCCATCTTTATGTGTTGTGTGAAAAAAAGGTGACTTTCTTATAGATGACAGTTGTAGCCTGTTTTGAAATTTATGGTCATTTTCCAAGGCCTCAACCGTGGAAAGGATGATGAAGAATCTGCGTCTTGAAATAACTCAATTGAGGAGATCTTTGGAAGAATATAGGTACTTTGCCATCTCATATTATTTTGAAATCATACATTTGTTCTAGTCATAGTGATATGGAGTTTCTGCTGACATCGCATGATTTGCAAGAAAAAAAAAATAGTAAAATTACAGTTTTATGCGAAGCCTTTTCATAGATGCCTCTTACTTTCCTTTGACTGTGCTTGATAACTAAACGAGTAATTTCTTCTCTCTTGGCTTATATATTTATTAGGCTATTTGAGCTTGTTTTTGTTTTTACAGAACTGTGGCTTGCTGCTATTATTTATCAGTATATTGGAGTTCATATTCCTTGGTTTTGGATTATTTATCATGAAACTCATGCCAGGTCAGACACAGAGCGCCTCCAGAGTCTCACAGAAAAACAAGGCAAGGAAATTGTAGAAAACAAACTCTATACAAAGGAGTTAGAAGATAGAGAGAGGATCTTGGCTCACAATGTAATCACCTGTGTGATCAACAAATCAAAAAACAATTCCCTTATAACAGCTATTTTTCTAACTACCCTTGGTTTTTGTCTAACTTGCCAAAAGGTAGAGGAGTTTTTGATGGAGATCAAAGCAGCGGAAGAAGAAGTTGCTAGATGGAAGGAAGCTTGTGAGTTAGAAGTTGAAGCTGGAAAGAAAGAGATTGAAGAGCGTGACAAAATGGTAAAGATTTGGTGGAGAGTTGAGAATCATTTTTTCATCCCTTACCAATAGATGGTGACATTTGAGAGCATTGATACTTTAGATTATTATATAGCCTTAATGATGAATAATCTTCTTTTTCTAAATGTTATGCTTGGATGCTACATTAACTTATATGTCATTGTTCCATGAGGTGGCTGCTTTGAAACAAGAACTGCATAAAACAAAGACTGCTTTGGACATATCCAATGGAAAATTAAGGCTGAAAGAGGAACTTGCAATCACTGCAATAGCTGCACAGGAAGCAGCAGAGAGGTCTTTGAAACTGGCTGATAGTAGAACAGTTGAACTTCGTGGACGAGTTGAAGAAATAACCAGACAACTAGAAGAAGCAGAGAAACGAGAAAGCAATATTCATAAAGTGAGACGCATATGTTGGCCATGGCAAGTTTTCAAATTGACCTCTGCCAATGTAGCAAACACTAGAGTTGGAAATGCCAAAAGGATGCTACCAGAAATGCAAGCATTAATTTAATTAACTGAAATGTATATATATAATATATACTTGATTTTCCAAACACAGTGACTTGATTCATTTTAAACTTCATTTTCCCGAGTAACAATTCACTTCTGTTGATGTAAATTAGTATACACTAAAATATTCAGAATTGACATTTGATTAACATTAATTTTCGTCTGTGAAGGGCACCATAGTCATGACGATCACACAAACTTTTCTATAAATATTTCTAGGAGAACAAAAAGTATAATAATTTTTCTTCATAAATTTAAAGTTTATTTTTAAATTAATTTACAGAAGTTGTTTTTGGAATACTTCGATTTTATTTTCTATTGCTTTTATGCCACTGATTATAATAATAAGTTCTTGCACGTGATTATGTTGATGCATAATAATCTTCTAAAGACTTTATTCAAAGATTTTACGGTATACACATTTTTCTATGCTAGTGCACAACTAAATTAAGACCCTTTTTCCAGAAAATAAGATTAGAAAATATTTTCTGAAATCAAACAAATCCTAAAAATATCTAATGTGTCACAATTTTTAAATTTACACAAAAATATATAAAGAAAACAGTAAATGTTTTCATTATTGATAATAGATATTATAATTTTAAAACCAAGGAATAAATTAAGAAATAAGATATTTGAATCAAGATATATAATCTTTAATAATGTTGTGTTAAACTTTCAAATTTAATAATTAGACTAAAATTAACTATAATTGGTTAAAGTCATAATGATTTTTTATAATATAATATTATCACTTTGGTTCTCACAATTTAATCTCTCAACAATGCAAAGTGTATTTTTTATATATATATAATTTTTTTTTCAGAACAACTGTCCTTAATAAGGTTTCATTAAACTTTTTTTTTTCCTGAAATCTGCGTGTAAGTAATGATGTAACGGTAATTTGTACAATTTAACTTAAACTTTTAAAGGTAGCATATCTCTCTCCATGTGATTCCATCTTTGAGCACAACTACACACCAAAAAGAATGAACGAATTTAGATGTTCCCAACAATGAATTATAAACTAGTTACGTATAATTATTTCTTGAGCACAATGTGACCATGCTCATTCTTATCAAAAAGATGCTCAATCATTTCATCCCAAGTTTCATCCACTGTAATCTTATTAGTTGAACCAAAAGAAGATTCAGGACGTGAGTGTGACCTTCTTGTACTCTCCTCATTGAAAGTTCCATATTCTGATGGGAGTGGGTAAGCATGCGGAACATCTAATATTGTAGCCCTTCTTAATGCTGCTTTGTGTTCTTCACTGTGTCTAGTCAATGTTTCTTGCCGCTGCATGATTTGACGCGCTGGTATTTCCATTGTGTTATCATTCTCCTTCATCAACTGCATGGCAAAAACAAAAATGGAAAAGTTGGCAATAATAAAAGAAAGGTATTGTGAATATGTTTATTGTGTCAATATCTTTTCAATGCTAAGGGAATATATATATATATATATATATATATATATATAGAAGATATATGCACAGAAGATATTTGAACTCTGAGGACTACAAACCAAATTCTTGTGGACCTTACTACATCTGTTAAATCCTGTTTGTAGAAGAAAAGTTTTGATTGAGATGGACTTGGTCAGTCTAAGAGGATTGATACTGTGGGGAGAGATAAAAGAGAACAATTGTAGACAGTACCATTGTCAAGCACTGAAATAGAGAGACAGAGTGACAGTTGATAATTCAGGCGTGACTTTGAAGTCTTATATTGAATAAAAATGGAAAACTTGAATAATTTATAACTGAGAAAGATGCAAATACCGAAAAACTTACATCTAAAGCCCTTCGGGCTTCTTTCTCTATCCAAACAATGGCATGATCAGATGTAGCATTGCAAGAAAGGACTATATGTTCAAACCTTCCATCTACTGGGACTGCTGTCCTCACAACTGGGGGAAACCTTCCCATTCTGCATAGAAAAGGAGTTAATGTGAAAGCCACAAGTAAAAGCTATTAAATAAAATACAGTGGTGCTTAATCTGCTGGTAGTTTTCAGAAGTACATTAATTATTCTGCATAAGCACTTTTGGGAACATTTAACCATACCTGAAAGGTTTTCTCTCAACGATGTGATATAGGCGACCGGGAGCATAGAGTCTCCTTGGATCTTTCCGCATCTTCTCCTCTGGTATACATGTATCCTTCATGCACCTCAAGCACAATAGGCAAGGCAAACTGTCAAGCCAAAAAAAAAACAATATCATACCATAAAAACATTAAAATTTCAGTGACAATCAATTCCATAACTGTTGACATAAACTAATCTTAACCATAGTTTAGGAAAGGGAAAGGTACCACAAGAAGAAGAAAAAACAAGGTAGAAAAGAGTAAATGTATCAAATAGCATCTCAAATTTACCAAACACTATATGGAGACCTAAAACTTTTGGAGATTGAGGAGTCCGGAATGCCAAAAACTGGCTCAGTTGAATATGGTTGGAATTGGCTTGGTCAACAATTTAACAGCACATAATTTTTAGCTTACTAGAAAAGACTCTATCCTTCGCAGGAAAACAGGGGAGCTACTCTTTAAGGGCCTTGACATACCAGAAAAGAGACTCGAATATATCTTCCAATGGAGTGGCTGTCCTTGGTAAGAAGTCATCCTGATAAGGGAAACCAGCAGTTAACTTAAAAGTACAAGATTTGGAAATTTGAATGTATCAAGAAAAGCAAGTAATGATGTATGAAGAGATTGGTAGACTCTTTCCTAATCATGTCCTATTTAAACACAAAGCAAGGCACAAATGTAGATGGAAGGCAATTTAAAGCAGACTACCTTCTATATCACCAAATACTGCAATTTAATTTTCATCACCATGGATGTAAAAATATTCAAAATAATGAAAAATAATTCCATAACTAAAGGAAAAGATTCTCAAAACTTGCCTGAAGCACCACAGAGTTTATGACATCTGCATATCTTACTGCCAAATTCAGCGACATACACCTGGCAGGTGCAATAGCATAGCACCTGACTCTCTTCCTCTCAACATGTCCAAGCTTATCCTGATTTTGCACCACTACCATGCTCAACATTGCTGCCACTCCTGATCCAAGGGAATGTCCAGTAAAAGTCAGAGAATAGTTTGGATATTTCTCTACGACTTCGTTTAGAAGTTCACATTCAGCATCCATAACCCATCCAGCAGCCTTCAACAGCCCGTTGTGAACGTATCCCCCGTCAAACTTCCTCTTCCCCAAGCTATTATCCAACAGCACTGCATAGTCACTCTCCTTAGCCAAATTCAGTCCCCTAATAGCAAGAACTATATCAGCATGATCATGATCAAGATACAATATATAGGGTGGGGCCCTTCCTTGCGTATCTTCATATGTCTTTTTGAGAATTAACCAATCAGGATTAATTCCATAGCCACCAGGAGGTGCAAAAAGTGGGTTCCGAACATTATCTTCATACACGGCTAAAATATAGCGACAAAGGCGAGGAACAGGCTCAAATTCTTCTACTGTGGCAAGGCCCCAAGTTTCACTTTCATGGCCTGCAGTGTAAATACATCTTTTCCAAGCCCAACGAGCACAAGCCAGACAGTAGACACACTCAACAAGAGGCACACCACACAAGATAGACATTGTACCTACAGCTTAGGCATACCAAATGTGAACTTCAAATGTGAATTTGAAGCTCAAACCAAAAGAGTACAATTATATCAGTCAGTAACAGGAAATTCTGCAATGATGACCGAGACTAGACTTAAAACATAGCTCATGCCACACCACAGTGGCACAGTGATCAACTTGGAAACTAAAGGTAACCTAACCCACAACAATCAAAATTTCTTGCTAACTGTTACAGCAGTTGATTTCGTTAAGAACAATAAAAAACGCAACACTATGGGACTGTAGGAATTATAAAATCCGGAAATTTAGTATACTGACCCATATTTCCAGAGGGGGTTGATGAATATCAAATTGGAAAGGGCCATGCATTTCCAGGGTAAGCTAGAAACTCAAGGGCTCAAACTTGCCAACTTGAACGAATATCAGTAATGATCATCTTTATCACAAATTCGACAATGCAATAAGAAGCCTCGAATATGAGCATGCAACAATAGAAAAAGGTGAAGAAAATTTGTACCAACCCAAATATCAGAGTCGATAAAAGAATTCAGCATAGCAAAGTGCCAAGACTATAAACACTGGTTGGCAGAAAACATCTGACAGTGTTACTAAACGACAGAGAACAAAGTTAGCTTTATCCTGTGCTGAGTTGTACACTTACATACAGTATTGTATTCAAACAAATAAATAAATTATTTGGTTTTGAAAGTAGAGATGTCTGTGTACACTCTACAACTCCAGCAACTCAAAAAGAGTTTGTTTTGTTTGGTCATTTGTGTAAGGTTGGGTGAAGAACAACATCAACATTTAGGACAAAGAATTTTATTATATTTTAGTTTTGAAAAATATAATTTAAATAATGACAACAAATATATTAATCATTATCTTTTTTAGAAAATTAAATTAAGTATAGTTAATATTGTATATTTCATTATAATTTTACTTTATATGATAAAAAATATTAGAACATCTTAAAGGAAATTGTTATCAAAATTTATTTAGAAATAGAAGTGAATATTTTTTTATAGTTCCTTCATTTGAATTGATTAAAAATAGAAAAAATGGTTTAAAATTGGAAGAAAATTATTTGAATAAGTAACTCTCACTAAGTTTTAAATAACTCAAGGGTACAACGCATGATAAAATATTTAATTTTATTCTGAAATAACTCTTATCAAAAATTCCCTATCAAAACTTTTCTATATCATATATATTTTATTTATAAAAATATTTTTTCAATCCAACAAATCTAACATCGCATAATATTTAATTACTGTACATAATTTTCAAATCGCTTAAAAATCAATGACTATAAACAAAATCGTGATATACATAAGTTCAAAAATAGATAATACCGTAAAATTATCTCAACAATTTTAACATTATATGAATTATAATTTCTTATTTAACATCTTATCATTTATAATTAAGATAATTTCCTAATTAAAGAAGGTATCTCTTACTATAATCCTAATATTTTAAGCAATTTTGTTTTTCAATCTATCAAAAGTAACTTCTGAATTTTGTGCACTGAAAATGTGAAATGGCAAAAATCTAAATAACTCATCTTTGTAATTTTAGCTTCCTGCTTGCGAATGTTTTTTTAATTATTTAGAATTTAAAATTTACACTCTCAATTGCTCAGTTTTTTTTTTCAAAAAATAACATTTTAAAAAAATGGTTTGAAAAAAAAAATTCTGACAAGTTTCTCACAAAAACATTATCATGTGATGTTTTGTTAGAAAAAAATGTTACTTCTATTAAGTCATTTAATATGTTAATGAAATAAAGATTTTAATCATCTAGAAACATTATATAAATATTTTTTACCCATAAAAAAATTAATATTTAATATTTAATTCACAATAATAACAAAGTAAAATCTTTGAAATTTTATCAACATTGATTTAAATTTAATTTTTATCATTAATTTAAATTTCATTTGTCGTGTATTTTTATCCTATATTAATCAGGATAGATCGTTAAATTTTCTATCAAACAAAATAATAATATAGATATATTAGAGAGTACAAAATCAGGAAAATGTCAAATTAAAAATATTAAAAGAAAATATGAATGCATCGACTAAATCATGGTTTTTATATAAAAGTTTAGGTTAAGTATTTTACATTTTTTTCTATATCATTAAATTTAATTTATTAAAAAGTTGAAAATAATTTTTTTTATAAAAATTATATGCGAAAACTTATATAAATTAACTTATAAATAAAATTATTTTTATTTATAAAAAATGTATTTCATTATATTTTTATTTATCTCTCTTAAATATGTTTATGAACAAATTTAGCCAAACAAATTCTTATATTTATTTTATTTAATAAGCATTGTTTTAAAATTTATTTTACAGTAAATGTTAAACTTATTAAAATTAAAGTATTGGCAAGTTTATTGGTGTGAAGTATTTTGATAATAACATTTAAAAAAATAAAAAAAATAGAAGGGGAGTACAGTGAGAGAAAAAGAGCTACATATACAATTATTTTTTCATCTCTACCTACGGGCCGACCCAGTTATTAACCTGAAGATGGATCCACAACCCAACTTTAGTCTCTGATATAAAACGCGAAACAACGCGCTCAAAAACCCTAGATCTTCTACACTTTCACCGCACTCTCTCGTGTTAGGGTTTCTCCGTCAATCAGCGCGAGGTAATGACTTCTGGCTTATGATATCTGTCTTTGCTTAACACAAAGTTACTTTTCGTATTCATTCTTTCGCATTAGTTCGCTTCGTATTCATTCTTTCGCATTAGTTTCTGATTACACAAACCATTTATATTCTGAATCGTGTTTGCTTTGTGATAGAGAAATGGCTCCCAAACCGCCTAGTACGGGTCTGTTTGTTGGGCTGAACAAGGGTCATGTGGTCACCAAAAAGGAATTGCCCCCACGCCCATCAGATCGCAAGGGGGTAAGTTATATCATTGGTTTTTAAAATGGGATTCAATACTTTAGTCTGATTTTTTGCACCTTTTTAGATTGTAAGTGTTGTCAATAAATCAAATTATCATTCAATGTATTGACAACTTTTTTTTTTAAATGTGGTTTATTTCTAATCGTAGTGATGGGATGGGTGTTTTTAATCGTTTTGCTGCATAACAAAGAAGATATATGAGTTTTATGTATATTTGACTATTAATGTATATTTAACTATTTATGTTTGTGTATATTCGACTATTTATGTGGTGCAGTCTATAGACACAAAAGAATAATATTAGGATTAAATTGTTTGAAGTGTATTGTGTGATGGATCTCTGTTAAATTGTCTTATGTTATGCTGTTGGTTGATGAATGGAGTGAAGAGGACAATGTGGATGGGTAATCCATCCACTGAAGAAATTTTATAAAGACGTACACAAATCTACTTTCTGTTCTTCGCTTGTTTATCTTGTATGTGGTTCTGAAAGTGTATTTGACTCTACAGAAAACAAGCAAAAGGGTGCACTTTGTGAGGAACCTCATACGAGAGGTTGCTGGTTTTGCGCCATATGAAAAGCGTATAACTGAGTTGCTTAAGGTTGGGAAGGATAAGAGGGCGCTCAAAGTTGCGAAGAGAAAGCTTGGAACCCACAAACGTGCAAAGAAGAAGCGTGAGGAGATGTCCAATGTTCTCAGGAAGATGAGGTCATACTTTATAATCCTATATTAATTAATCTGATTGTATTCTTGGTAGTCACTAATACTTGTGATATTTTCTTGTATGCAGGGCTGGTGGAGCTGGAGACAAGAAGAAATGAGTCATATTTACTGTTTTAGTTTCACTAGATGGATTTTTGTGTATGGACGTTTACGATGTCATATTTTTGCTTGTTTACTTCATGATTTTATTTGAGGAATATGTTTTTCTTAAATGAGACATGATTTATGGGAAGAAAAGTAATTGGCTTAATTTTTGTTTAAACATCTGGTCAGTTGCCTGAGGGTATTTACGGTAAAATCCGAGGGTTATGTGGCATGCTTCGTAGGTCACACAAATTTGACATAGTTGCATGTGTTTAACTTGTTGGTTGTTGCTAGGCATAAAATTGCAGTTTTCCCTTTAATAATGAAATAACTGTTATTTGACGTTCGTTTTTTTAATGTGTAACATTTGACATTTGAGATTTTTGTATCTATCATGTATATGAGTCTCTACATTTTGGAAAAATACAGCGTTAAAATGTAAGATTGTGGTATTGAAACTATCAATTCACATCCGTATAATGTATTTTCAAAATCGGCAACGTGCAAAAAAAAGGATATATATAGATCAAGTCTTTAACTTTTGAGTGAGCTTCTCAAATCCTTCTCTACAACCACCTGCATTTCGCTCTGCCCCTTCTTTGATAGTAAATCCAAATTCCAAGTCTCTTTGCTGCACCTTGTGAACCGACTTGCCTACCTTTGAGATCGCAGTTTCTCTCAATTCTTCTGCTTGTTTTCCAGTTTTGCACACGCCCATTCTCTCAATCTTGTTAAGAATTGAGAAATTATGAGTATAAGCTTGTCAATCATATCTAGAGCTGTTCCTCCCACACCTGCTGCCATTTTTTTTAGCTTGTCCAGTAAACTGTCACCTCGGTCAACAACTTCTTGAACCGAGAACTGCTCCCCTGCAGAGTCCTCACGGAAGTCATCATCAACTACTTTGATTCCATTCCTCCCCCAATGATCTCTAGCCCTCTCCAAAGCCACTGCACATGCACTTATCGTTTTGCCTCATCCTCTGCCCATGCCCTGAAATCAAACACTCAGGTTGTAGGTAGATAAGTAATTTTATGGCTGGACCATTAGACAAAATGACTGCTTCTGAATTGTTTTGTTTAACTATGGTAATAAATGAAAAACTATGGCTAAGCATAAGTTATGCTAATATATAAAAGATTGTCAGGCCCGCTGTTTTTATGGTATTCTAGAATAATAGTGTCGAATGATTGATTTTGTCCATTAACCTCAATAATGACTGCAATTCATATTTCATGAAACACTTGTATTTATGAACAATTTTTGAGGTAATACATGTCACTTAGTTATTTTAAAAAATAACCAAACTTAGAATTCAAATATAAGGTTCAGAATAATTAAAACATAGAAATCTCTAAACAGTAGTAGAAACAAGATAGTATGTTGACAAGGACAAAGCATCAACCAAGAAATACAAATGGATCAACCAACTAATATAGCTGCCCATATCAAATGATTACGTATGAATCTAGACTACAAATAGTAAAATCTCAGTTCCCGCAATTATTTTGTGCATTAACCATTACAATAAAACCACACCTTAAAGATGAACGAACCAATTCAGTTGCTTATGAAGTTTCAAACTTTTACGTGGCAATTGGCAAAGCTTTCCGTTCAACCTCTAGCTCATATTGTAATCGTGTAATCTCCTTCTTTTCATTTTCTGTTAACTCCCGAAGCTTACTAATCTTCTCTTTTTCATAAGCTATTTCAACCTTGTCACTAATAAGGTTTTGTAGATGATCTTCCACTTCATGCTTTAACTTAGAAAAAACGTTCCTTTCTGATTCAATAGCAGCTCGTTCCTTTATCAAATAAATTCTATCTTCTTCTCTCAGCTCTCAACATTTCCAACTCACAGCTTGCCTCATTCTTTCAACAACATTGATCTTTTCCCTCTCTACGGAAAACTTCTGTTCAGAACTTGCATTGATATCCTTCTCAACTTGAGCTACTAAAGCACTATGAGAAACAACAGCATTATCAGCCATAGATTCTACCTCAATGCGCGCAAGCTCTTCATTAATTAAGTCAAAAACATCTCCAGTAGCAAGTGCTACAGCTGCTTGGGCCTTTGTCACTGGTTATGTGGCTGAAACAATCGTGTATAACCTACCCTCCAAATAAAAAAGAAGAAACATCTAAAATCAAATGCACATAAAAAATCTAGGACAAATGGAAAAATAATACATTAAGAACAATGCAGACATCCATTTTCAAAGACTTCAAAAGAGAATATGACTTACCAAATGCAAGAGCTGTTATTCCCTGCGCCCCAGTAGATACATCAGCAACAAGTGCAGGGAGTGCAACAGAGTGAATCTTATCGGCATCTATAAAACCAGAAAGTTGGTACAGCATCTGCCCATCAATCATCATATTTGAAGCAAATAAATTGATTAGTTTGCACTCCAACTAAGACAAGAATAACTTAGTACATGAGACCAAGCAACAAACTTAAGAAACCTTTCCATCTGTTTCTGGAAGCTGTCTTTTCTCAAGGACCATTTTCCAACTAACAAGATCCTGACGTGATAAAGGGCTGCAAGAAATGTATATAGAAGAGAAGGAGAATCACAATCATTGCCAATGCCATAAAAAGTTACAAGATGAGAAGAGAGGAGGATAACATGTGAAAATTGTGAATAAGTGACAAAAATGGGTGAACTCCAATAGTGTTGAATATTAACTAAGTTGCTCCAATGGCATAAAGGTAACGGTTAGAATTAGTTAAATATATGGGTCAAAATCCATCTCTTTTTGTATCATGATATCTATATATATTTGTTTTTCTCTTGTTCATGACACACATGGGTTTTATTTATATGTCTCTCTACCGTTTGCTTTAATATGGTATCTAGACCTGAAATCTTAACTCATGCCTTCTTGTTTGTGTGAAGAAAGAAGTCCCACATCGGTGGGAACTTCAATTGGGGGGCTCTCCTCCCTCTTATAAAAGGAGCCCCTCCCTCCTTATTTCAACATCCCAAAATTTCTCCTTCTTTCTCTTTTACTTTCCGAGTATTGGTAATTTCCAATTGTAAAGGAAAGGGTAGTCATTATAAAATTTCCATTTTTGCCTATTGTCAGTGTTATTTTTCTAGTCTCTATTTTAGTTGTGTGTATTTGTGCTGGTACTCTGATCCTAACAGTGGTATCAGAGCTGCGTTCGAGTTCCGTTGCGCGTCACTAGAATAGTGTTGGTAAAATTCTGAGTATGCTCTGTGGTTGCAGTTTAATCTGATCTTCCACATCAGAAAGGAGTTGTTACTGGAAAAGGTGTGGTAGTGTGAAAGTACTATTGAGGAAAGTTCTGGCTAGGAAAGACTTGGTACTTAAGCGTGTCCATTAGTGACCCACCTCTCTTTCCTGGGAACCTACTTGGTGTACTGGTTCACGGTTTACTACTATTGTTCCGGTAGACAATACTATTTATAAGTGATAGTTGCATAAGTCCGTATACAACCATGGCGGCAAAGTACGAGATAGAGAAGTTCAACGGGAACAATTTCTCGTTGTGGAAATTGAAGATGAAGGCAATCTTGAGAAAGGACAATTGCGCAGAAGCAATTGAGGGAAAACCTGCGAAATGACGGATAAAGATTGGAAGAAAATTGACGGCAACGCTATTGCAAATTTACACTTGGCAATGGCGGACTCAGTTCTATCCGAGTGTTGCGGAGAAAGATTCTGCAAAGGAGATTTGGGATGCCCTCATTAAATTATATGAGGTGAAGTCACTTCACACAAGGATATTCCTGAAGAGGAAACTCTATACTCTTCGGATGAGTGAGTCCACATCGGTGACGGACCACATCAACCAACCTGAACACCTTGTTTGCCCAATTAGCGGCAGCAAATTTCAACATAGTTGAGAATGAGCGTGCGGAGCTCTTACTTCGAGCTTGCCGGACTCGTATGATCAACTCATCATCAACATTACAAATAATAATATTGAAGGACAACTACACTTTGACGATGTTGCCGGAGCTATTCTAGAAGAAGAATCCAGGCGAATGAATAAGGTAGAAAGTTCTAAACAAGCGAAGTTTTGACGATGATGAGAGGAAGATCAGCGGAACGTGGCTCAAGTGGGAGTCAAGATCATGGCAGATCTAGCTCTCGAAACAAGAAGACTTTCAAATTTAAATGCTACTACTTGTGGCAAGAAAGGGCACACGAAGAAAGAGTGTTGGAAGAGGAAGAATGAAGAATCAACCTCACAAGGTTGCATTGCGAGTACTTCAGGAGGAAGGAGTAATTCCGGTAGCGAAGCGAGCAATCGGCTCTAATGGCGGAAACGAATTTCATGACAAGTGGATAATGGATTCAGGTGCAACTTGGCATATGACCCCACACCGAGATTGGTTTCAAACCTACAAGCCTATCTCGGGTGGATCCGTGTTCATGGGAAATGACCATGCATTGGAGATTGCTTGGAGTTGGTACTGTCAAATTAAAAATGTATGACGGTACTATTCGCACAATCCAAGAAGTACGACATGTGAAGGACTTGAAGAAAAATATATTGTCTATAGGGCAATTGGATGACCTCGGTTGCAAGATCCATGTTGAAGGAGGAATCTTAAAGGTAGTGAGGGGAAACATAGTTGTCATGAAAGCGAGAGAAAATCATGGCAAACTTGTATGTGCTTATGGGAGACACCTTGCAAGAAAATCATGCAACAAGCTGCGTCGACAAGCCAAGAAGAAGCGGCGATAACGTGGCACCGTAGACTTGGACATATGTCGGAGCGAGGTCTGCAGATTCTTGCGGAACGTGATCTCATACCTGGGCTCAAGAAGGTCGATTTACCCTTCCGTGAGCATTGTGTGACAAGCAAACAACACGAGTTGAAGTTTGCAAGAACCACCACAAGGAGTAAGCAAACTTTGGACTTGATCCATTCGATGTCCGGGAATCACCGGAATTATCTCTCGGAGGAGCAAAATATTTTGTGTCGTTCATCGATGACTACTCGAGGAGATTATGGGTATACCCTATCAAGAAGAAGTCTGAAGTATTTGCGCGGTTCAAAGACTTCAAAGCACAAGTAGAACTTGAGACCGGAAGGAGAATCAAGTGTTTGAGGACGAACAATGGAGGAGAATATGTAGATGGAGATTTTCTAGCATTCCGCAAGCAAGAAGGAATTGTGAGACAATTTTCTGTTCCACACACGCCTCGACGAGAATGGTGTAGCGAGAGCGGATGAATAGAACTCTTCTAGAGAGAACCGGAGCTATGCTGCAAACTGCGAGCATAACAAAGTCTTTACGGGCGAAGCCGTGAATACTGCCCGTTACTTGATAAATCGGTCTCCATCAACAAGCAATTGGGTTGAAAACTCCTATGGAAATGTGGAGTGGAAAATCAACCGATTATTCTTCCTTACATGTGTTTGGTTGTCCCGCGTACGTGATGTACAACACCCAAGAAAGGACGAAGTTGGATCCAAAATCCAGGAAATGCATCTTCTTGGGATATGCCGACAATGTGAAGGGGTATCGCTTGTGGGATCCCACTGCCCACAAAGTTATTGTTAGCAGAGATGTCGTCTTTGCGAGAAAATGAACTGCAAAGCAAGCGGATAAATGACAGCTCGGAAAAGGACAAGACTATAGTACGAGATAGAGAAGAAGACTTCTGAACATTCCTCCGAAGTTAGGAGGAGGAGCATGAAGAACATGAGCCAAATGAGGTGGAAGAAGGAGAACTCCGACGATCAACAAGAGAAAGAGTCGAGACCATCTTGGCATTCACAATATGTGATGGCAAGTCATGATGCATATTGTCTCCTAAGTGAAGAAGGAGAACCTTCAACTTTTCAAGAGGCCGTGAGTGGTTCGAAGCTCCTACTATGGATGACTCGCTATGGAAGAAGAAATTGAAGCTCTTCATAAAAACAAGACATGGCACCTTGTGGAACTTCCAAAAGGTCGCAGAGCCATTGGTTGCAAATGGGTCTATAAGATCAAGAGAGATGCCAATGATCAAGTAGAAAGATATCGTGCTAGATCGGTGGTAAAAGGATATGCTCGAAAAGAAGGCATTGATTTCAACGAGATATTCTCACCAGTTGTTAGATTGACAACAATCGGAATTGTCCTGGCGATGTGTGCTTGCATTTGATTTACATCTTGAGCAATTGGATGTAAAACTGCTTTTCTTCATGGAGAACTTGAAGAGGAAATATATATGCTCCAACCGAGAAGGCTTCAAAGAGCAAGAAAACTTGGTTTGCGGGTTGAACAAATCTCTATACGGCTCTAAAGCGAGCGCCAAGGTGTTGGTATAAGAGATTTGATTCCTTCATTATTAGCCTCGAATACTACGGACTAAGTTCGGACCATTGTACTTACCACAATAGGTTTGAAGAAAATGATTTCATCATATTGTTGTTGTATGTGGATGACATGTTGGTGGTAGGCCCTAACAAAGCTCGAATCCAAGAATTGAAGGCACAATTGGCTAGGGAGTTTGATATGAAGGACTTGGGACCAAGCAAACAAGATTTTAGGGATGCAAATTCACCGAGACGGAAAAGATAGGAAGATTTGGCTTTCTCAAAAGAATTATTTACTTAAGATCTTGCGGCGCTTCAACATGCAAGATTGCAAGCCAATTTCTACCCCACTTCCCGTCAACTTGTAAGTTATCCTCAAGTATGAGTCCTAGCAGTGAAGCGGAGAGGATTGAAATGTCTCGAGTACCGTATGCATCGAGCGGTGGGAAGTCTTATGTATGCCATGATTTGTACAAGACCTGGACATTGCACAAGCAAGTGGGAGTGGTTAGTAGATTCATGGGGAATCCTGGTGGAGAGCATTGGCAAAATGTGAAGAGGATCCTTAGGTATATAAAAGGAACCTCAAATGTTGCATTATGTTATGGAGGATCGAAGCAGTTGTTAGAGGTTATGTTGATTCGGATTTTGCAGGTGATCTGGATAAAAGGAAGTCTACTACTTGGTTATGTGTTTACCATTAATGGAGGGGCAGTAAGTTGGTTATCCAAGTTACAAGATGTGGTAGCTCCGTCTACTACTGAAGCTGAATACATGGTCGTCACCCAAGCATGTAAAGAAGCTATCCGGATTAAAAGAATAATGGGGAACTTGGTCACAAGCAACAACAAATTGTTGTGTACTCGTGATAGTCAAAGTGCCTTACACATTGCAAGGAATCCAGCCTTTCATTCGAGGACAAAACACATAGGAATAAGATATCATTTTGTTCGAGAAGTAGTAGAAGAGGGAAGTGTAGATTTACAGAAGATCCACACTGAGAAGAACCTAGCAGATGTAATGACAAAGCCGGTTAATGCTGACAAGTTTATACGGAGTCGATCCCTCTATGGCCTATCAAAAGCATAAGCAACATGGATGTGAGAGAAGAAGACATAGTGTGAAGATTTGATTAATTTCATCAAAATCTTCAAGTGGGAGATTGTGAAGAAAGAAGTCCCACATCGGTGGGAACTTCAATTGGGGGGCTCTCCTCCCTCTTATAAAAGGAGCCCCTCCCTCCTTATTTCAACATCCCAAAATTTCTCCTTCTTTCTCTTTTACTTTCCGAGTATTGGTAATTTCCAATTGTAAAGGAAAGGGTAGTCATTATAAAATTTCCATTTTTGCCTATTGTCAGTGTTATTTTTCTAGTCTCTATTTTAGTTGTGTGTATTTGTGCTGGTACTCTGATCCTAACAGTTTGATCAGCTGTCCATCCGGGCCAATTTTTTTTCTGAAAATCGTGTATCATCTCAATTTTCAGCATTCTTCTTCATTGTAACGTTGTTCTGCTGCCATCACCGCTACTATTCGCTACCGCAATTGCATAATCATCATCTATTGGGTCTCTCTTGTCGTTATTTTCCCTCTCCTATTGTCGTATTCTCTCTCTCCTAGGGTTGATGATCTCTTCAACTTCGGGTGGGCCTGATCCTCCTATTTCCACTAATTATGTCAATATACCTCTCTCCATTGACAAGGTAGATAAAAATAATTAAGACATGTGAGACTCAAATATTAAGCTTTAGTTGAAAGGACAAGACTATGTTGATCATCATAACCAAACAACAACATCCATTGATGAAAAAGATTAATCTCACTGGTCCAAATTTGATGCCCAAGCAGCGTTTGTAAATCTACTATTTATCCCACCTGAAAGCAAATATTTTACACTCATAAAAGATGTGCAGGTGTTTGGGAATATGCCCTATTATTGTACACCAATGATACTCAACGTGTCAATGACGTTTGCCAAAATCTTTTGAGTATCATTGCTCTCCATTGTCTCAATTGCTGTGCCCAAGTATTTGGGGAAAATTCATGGTTTCTACATGGCTTCAATGAACTACTACCCCACGCGGCTTAAGAACAAGAAGAACGATAAACCTTCTTGTCTGGTCTCCAAAGGTTGTATTCAAATATTTGGGTTAGACTATGATAACATCTTCTCTCTAGTTGTCAAAATGACTTTTGTTCACTTATTCTTTGTCATGACTTCCCTTCGTCGTTGGTCCCTTTATCAATTTAGATGTCAAAAATATTTTCCTTCATGATTTTTGTTGAAAGAAATTTATATGGAGTAACCTTTTTATTTTGTTGTTTAAGGGAGTCTTCTGGAATGCTTTGTTGCCTCCACAAATCTTTATATGGTCTCAAACAGTCTCCAAGGGCATAGTTTGGTAGATCCAGTATAGTGGTCCAACAATTTGGCATGACTCATAGTGAATAAGATCATTCAATATTTTATCTTCATGCAAATAATGGGTGTATCTACTTAATAGTGTATGTTGATGATATTATTCTTACACATAGTGATTATCATGATATCTTTCAAATAGAACAACATCTCTGCCATAATTTTCAAACAAAAGAGTTTGACAAACTAAAATATTTTTTGGGGATTGAGGTTACACAAGTCAACAATGAAATTGTTATTTCTCAAAGAAAGTATGAATTGGATATTTAAGAAGAAATTTGATTAATAAAATCCAACTTTATTGACTTACCCATGGATTCAAATACAAAACTTCTACCTGGAGAGGGGGATCCAATTCCTGATCCTGAGAAATACAGAAGACTTGTTGAAAGATTAAACTATAATATAGTTACTCGTTCTAACATTTCCCTTGCAATCATCGTAAGTTAGTTTCTTAATTCTCTATGCACAGGATATTAGAATGTAATCATTCACATTTTGAAGCATATTAAAGGTGCTCCAAAAAAAGTCTTGCTATATGGTTATAGCAACCACACTTGAGTTATGGGCTATTCTAATGTAGATTGGGTAGACTCTCCTTTTGATAGGAGATCCACCTTTGGATATTGTATCTTCATTGGTGACAATTTGATTTGCTAGAAAAATAAGAAGCAAACTATAGTGACAAAATGTGGTGCAAAAGCAGAGTATGGAGTTGTAGCCTTTCCCACTTAAGAGTTTATTTGACTCAAACAATTGCTTAAAGAGTTGAGATTTGAGGAAGTCACATAAATGACTCTCATTTGTGACAATCAATTTACCCACATATTGCCTCAAATCAAATATTTCATGAAAGAACAAAATATATTAAGATAAATTATCATTTTCATCCCTGAAATATTGTATCCGGAGACGTTACTACTCAGTTTGTAAATTCCAATGATCAATTGACAATGTTTTCACCAAATCATTACAAGATCTTAGAATTGATTATATTTATAACAAGTTTGGTACATATGATTTATATGTACTAGTATGAGGAGGAGTGTTAGAAATAACTAAATAATGTTTGACCTACTATCCCATTAAAATGTGAATAAGAATACCTTTAGAGCTTGCAAAGAAGTTAATGCTTGTCCCTGACCTTGATCGACAGCTGCAGGAACTAAAATCTTTCCAGGAAGCATCTGTACGGCGGCAGAAACTACTGATGAAGCAGGAATACCAGGAGTAGAGTAAAAGGGTGCAGAATTTGGAGATTCATATCTACATTTACTAACCTCATTATTATCATTTCTAATCTGCTCATCTACAAATCTATCAGTTGATGGGACAAATGATTTTATAAAAACATCTCATTTTCTGACAAGTTCCACTCCTCCAAGGATGACTTGTCTATGACCTGTAGCATGTTGTTCAGATCGAGATTTTCGTTGGTTGAAACTGATGAATCATCCTCTTCAGGAAAAACCTCAGGATCTGAAGTTTTTTCATTTGATTGAGTACTGAATGCAATATTGACAAGTACACTTTCCTTATCAGTCTCAAAACTTGAAGTATTTGAAATAGCAGAACTTTCATTGCCACTTGAACCAGTAATTGCATCGCGCTGCTCACTTATAACAGGTAGGGGTTCTGCATCAAAGTTGGATATGTTTCCTTGTTCAACAAAGGATGAGTTCTCCTTGAGTTCAGTAATAGAGATTTCTGTATCCAAAAAAACACTGCTATCCAAATCTCTAAAGCTATAACTATCTGAAGAATCAATAGAATTTTCAGATTCAGGATCATTAAGTGCCACTGTGCCCTCACTGGGAACAACTGATCCATGCTGCACTTCTTTTTGAATGGATATGTATGTAGTGGCATCAGTGTACTTGTCCATGTTATGAATATCATGAACCAACAGGGATTCTATGTCGGAATCATCAACAATTTTATTGGTAATTGGCAACCTTATCAGACTCAGAAGATGAACAATCCCCGAATATGTTTATCCGACATTCCACAATAATATTTCCTTGCTCCACCTTGTTGTCAGTATTTGCATGTTCTATTTTGTCATTACAATCATCAGAAGACAAAAGCACTTCCTGATGTGTAGCCAGGGGATTCACTTGTCCTGCACGCAGTCAAGCATGCATAAGTTAAATTGCTTCACTCAAACGCAGATAAATTTCCCCCCAGGACGAGTTAATGCATGACAAAGGCAGAAGCAAAAAAAATGTGACTTACTGGCACAGTTTCGCCTGCTTACAAGGAAGGACGCAAAAACAATCCCTGAAAGAAGAACAATACCAGCCACTCCGACAACTCCTGAAAAGAAACTACTTCAAAAGTGTCAAGTAGTGAGAATTACTAACACTAACAAAAATAATGTTAGTATCTTCTCCACTTACTCTCTAATTGCATATAAAACAACCAACTTCACAAACTAACAGTAACATATCAATTACCTAGGCCCCGTTTAGACACATCTCAGTAAGCACTTTTAAAAGAATCAAATACGAAAGATATATTAGCTTACACAGAAACTAATTACAAAAATTCCCCTGTTTAGCTTCATTCAATGATGATTCTAACTATAGGAGAAACTCAAGTCACTTCAACTTCGTATTTTCTTCTCCTAATTATAAGTGTTCATAGAGAACTTTATCCAAACATAGCCTTATTCCAAGAAATAGGTGCCTTCTAGCACAAGGCAACACAAATGATTGGAAAACGAATCCCACTATGAGCAACAACGAAACCAAACTTTCACATACATCGACAAGCACAACAAATTTTCAAAATTTAATAATTATCACTCTCAATAACCACTTGCTAGTAATAAAAATTAAAAAAACGGGACACTTAGTTTTATAACCAGTAGCGTTATCTTAGCATCATTGTCCTAAATCCAAAAGAGAGAATAATAGAAAGATCTGCAATTAAAGCACTCCCTCACCTCCATACGAGTCGTTCTTCTTAATCTCCGAATCTGACAAGCCATCCGACCCGACCCGAACGGAAGCAGAGTCCGATCCGTTTCCGTGATTTGCAACGCAGGAAAGGCAAACGCGACGAGGACGATCAACGTGGGGGAGGCGCGTGTGGAAAAGAACTGGGTTTAATTTGGTGGTATTGAAGTGAGCGAAAGCCAATCTAATTTGGAGAGAGTTGGGGGCAGTGATCGATGCCATCTAAGAATTCAATCACACAAAGATTACTGATTTTGGTGTTTGATTTTATGTTGTGCCAAAGCCAAGCACGCATAAAGATGAAGAATCAGAGTGAGAAGTGACATTCACACTCACTCTCAAGAGTCACATTCACCTATTCTGTTGAAAAATTAAGGAAAGAAGACAACACCCTGAATCCACCTAGGAAAATGTGCATTTATTATACCAACCTTGTCAACTTTTTGCAAGTGGCGCTAGTTTCTAGGTTGGTTTTTCGTAAATACTTCGAGTTTAATTTTTATGTATCCATACTAAATCTCTGCAATAATAAAAAATAGTTCATTAATATTGATAAACAGTGTAAGTATGATTTTTGAAATAATTATTATAAAAATGAATAATATGATAAAGAAGAATCAACTTCTCGTAATATTTAATTATTTGTAATTAAATAAAAAAGATTACATTGTGGTTTTATGCTCCAATATATTTTCTCTAAGAGATCATTATTAATATATTATTACCATTAAATTCTTCTATATATGGTGGTGCAGGATGTAGGGTAAACCTCAAACATGCATGCATATGACATGTGATTAATTCACAAGCTTGGACTCTTGACCCTTGTTTGTTCTACAATGCTTGATTGGTGCAATCCTGAAATGGAGTTGTTCCTCTGGGAGAGAAAAGTAGGTAATTTTTAAAAATAATTATATAGCTGATTTTGTTTTCTTTGTTTCAACTTTTCCACAGTATGCTATCCTTGAACAGCTTTTCGAATATGATACTAATCATTTTTTAGCATATTTAGTGATACGGTATAGTCCTTTCCATAAAGTCATGTAACCTTTGCCCATCCATGCTTCTCATGTAACCTCTGGGGGTGATCATGAATCACAACACTCAAAAGTCGGCACTTTTAAGTTCCTGGAAACCTGGTCCTTACGCCCTAAATGCATAAAGATTATTATAGAAGCTTGGCATCCTGAAGTAAAAGGTGAGGAATGTCAAGAAGGTGCATAAAAATCTGAAACAAACATAAACTAAAAGGTTAGTGAAGCATTGGATAAGCTTCAACAAATTCAGAATAATATTTTTTGCAGAAGGGAGAACTGATTTGTGCAGGTACCCTCCATTCCCCATGCTTTTTTGTGCAGGTACAACAAAAGATGCCCTTAAGAGCACAAACCTGTTCAAACGCTACGAGACTTGGTTGAATTCTACGCAGGTGCTATGCCCACATTTAGGAGAAAACATATGCAGATAGACCTGTGTTTCAAGGAGGCTCACTTTCCTTTCTCCTACCTTGGTGTTCAAATCTTCCAAGGGAAGCTTAGGAAACAACACCCCCAACTTATAGCTGATAAAATTATAGCCAAGTTTACCACTTGGATAGAGAAATTTTGTCTCTTATGGGTTGAGTGCAGCTGGTCAAATCTGTCATCCAAGGTAATGATATCCTAACAACACCACTTCTTTGAATGCGGTTTTGGAACATATCTCGGGTTGGCTCAAACAAACTATCCACACAGCTTTTGAACATTCCAACCTTTCCTCCATTTTTTTACACATCTCCAAGTCAGCTTGGGCTGCACAGCTAAGAGATACCATACTTGTCAATGTGGCTTTTAATGGTTCTAGAAAGTTTAAATGAGCTCTTCTTTAGCCTCTTAAAGAGTGCACCCAACTGTTCTAACAATTTAACTTGTGTCTACAATGCTTTGAACAGCCTTACAGAAGACAACAGGACAAGGATTCAAAGTTAGCCACATTTTTAACCAGAAACCGCACCACCATCATGACAGAAGATGCTTCCACTAATATTTTCTCATTCAGCAATTACACAAATATGTATTAAGGCGTTTAAACAGGACAAGAAGAAAACAACAAAAAGACAATGAAAACAAAAAGAAGATGTGGAGCATAACAACCGGGGCCCTCAGCTTCTGTTCATTGGCGACAAGGCATCGACTCTTCCAGAAAAGAAGCATTAATATTGCTGTCGTTTACAAAATGAAATATAATTTTATTAGTAGATAGAATTCAGAAAATTTAATTTTGTGTATTACTATTGAGACAAAATGAGACAACCAAGAATGCCTTTTTTTTTTTATCGAAAATGCAATTTCTTAGTATTATTTAGCCATTAAACCAAACCATGGCTTAACTGAAAGCACATTTGATAGGGCACTTGGGCAATCACTCATTTTTGCAACAGAAGTAACTTTCCTATATCCAGTATAAGAACCGAGGAATTATAAATCTATGCCAACATGATTTTATTTAAATGCGGACCACATTATGTGTCACCAAAGAATCCTCGTTTTTCATCACCATGAGTCAGTAACTTTCGAGTAACACCAAAGATTCAACTCCTTTTATCTGATCTCAAATTTCTTACAATTGGTGTAGATCAAAACCAAAAACTGTTTTCTTTCCCTATTATCCTAAACACCACAAGGACCTACATAATTAGAGTACAAACTCATCCTATATACAACCCCTTCTCACTCCCCCGAGCTCTCACATGAGCTTCCAAGATTGGACGTTATGTCATGCACCAAAACCCTGATTATGTTGCTTCCAGATGATCTTGAAACATCCATGCACTCCTGCAGGTCTGCATCACAGGCTATCAAAACCCATTCGTGATCATCATCAAGGTACTTGAAATCAAATGTACCCACCTCTAGTTTCAATCTTTTGGCAACTTCTTCTTTAAGCTCCACAATGCCACATGTCAATGACACCCGAAATCGAATGATATTTTCTCTGTATGTTGCCTTGATAGTCACAGTCTTCATTTCTTTCATAGCTGCAAAAGGTGTCACTGATTTATTAGGAGTACCCATGCTTTGCTTGGGAGACAAATCTAAAGCTGGAGGATTAGTCCCACAAGCTTCAGGAACTAGATCCTCCAAAATGGCCTCAGCTACTGAAGGACACAAATTTCTCAAGTCTTTAGAACTTCCGGCATCCTCTATTAGCATTCCTCCAAATGGCTCTTGAAGTTCTGCAGCCACTAAGTCAGGCATAGGGTAAGCAGTAAGCCGGTTAGGCATATTAATGGTTGGCTGCAGTGTTGACTCTGGTGATCTCCTTAGCAAAGTACATTGATCATGGTTGTTGGTAATGAATATATCTTTCACAGGTGAACTTTCATTTGGGGGACTGTCATGCCATGAACCGTGAGAGGTAGGATTTGTGCTGTCCTCACTTGAGCCACTCCCAGTTCTAGTCCTTTTCGGTTCTGTTGAAACCTCCTGAGTAGAAACTCCTTTAACTCTCTCAAGATTCCGTATCCTTCCTCCAAGCAATTGATCTTCCATTCCAGCCTGTCTGTTTGTTTCTAATTCTTTGGAGGCAATCAATTCATTCACATCCATCTGAGGCTCTGATGGTCTAATGCCTATTGAGACTGGCTGGCTGAACTTGTTTGGAGTAGATGACTTAGGAAGGGAACCGACAGCAATGGGAAGTGGACTTGTGCTGAGAGAATTCAAACCAAATGCTCCTTCAGCACCCTGGACAGATTCAATAACACGCTTGAGCTTGGACAAGGAACGGTTAACCTTGTTGATCTTTCTAGATGGCCAACGAGATATCCCATGCTGCCTACAGATGCGCTTCATTGTGGTTGGGCAAACTGTACAGCAAGCAAAAATATCTTAGAACAATATGTTTGAGCCAATGTTCACTTTCCATTTTCTGCTTTAGATAAAAGAGCAGCTATGATTGCGGGAAAGAAAAACATTTTTCCATGGTTTGGTTGCATAGACATTCTTTAATGATTAAAAAATCCCAGATACCAGCAGGTTTATAGAGATAAAATTCATTGTGGTAGAGCAAACATTTGTATTCATAGACAAATATAAATATTTTTCTTAGATAAATGCATTCTTCCTGCTAGCTTCATATTCATGAAGATAACAAACAAAATTATTGCTTATCAATATATTTCAAAGTAAGAACATACCACCAAGGCTCTTCGCAGCATCTTTTAGACTCCCAGCAAAATAACGTTGCAAGACTTCAAGACTTATTGATTTCTCAGTTTTTCCACGTTTCCTCTCTAAGGGTTTCTTAATGTTTTTGGTCCCTGAAGTGGTCGTATGATCAATCTTTCCACCTGCTTCACCACTGAGATTTGCTCCATCATTGATACCATTACAGTACATCAATATGTGTTGTTCTGATGGATCCCGTGGAACTTCCTCCTCCATATTTGGTGAAGTACCAGGTCTAGGTGGTGATATAATAGATGGGGCAATTGGAATAGATTCAAGCCTCGTATGAATTCTTTCAATTGTTGCTTCAATTATTTCAATTGAACCATCCTTAAGTTCAACACCAGAAGCAATATTAAGACTCTGGAAATGCTGTTTCATTGTTGCCAATATGGATCCCAACAAAGTCTTTTGTTCATGAAAGTCTGTGACCCTAGGAGGCAGAAAAAACTCTAATACATAATCATCACTTCCTGTATGAGAGCTTCGTAAACATATTGCAAAACAGCTTGTTAACCCAAACATGAGAGCATAATGAACTAAGGGGTAATCAGTTTTGCAGAATTGGGCAATGTTTGAACAGAAGGACATGCCGTGGGACAAAAAAGCCCTCCCTGCAACCCCTTGACCTTGTTGTAAGTGATGCTCAACACAGGCCTCACGGAAACCCCATAAATGAGCATCAATAATATAGAATGCTATGTCAGTTGTAGACATGCAAACTTTCCCCATGCAGCTACCATCAAAACTAGAACAACTTTTCTTTACTCCACCACCTTGGGCCAAGACACTCCGATGCTTACAAGGAATCCATGTTTGGGCCAGAGGTAAATTATGAGTTTCACACATCACTGTCAATATCTCCAAGATCTCTGATAAAGCATTCTGACGGCCTTCATTACATATCTGCTTTAAAAGCATTGCCAAGTTATATCTGTGGGAATAAAGGATTAAGATAAAGAATAACAGCAATATAACAGATAAGATGCATCATGTATGATGGTTAAATCACCTGAGTGTATGGATGATCCAAAATTTCGGAACTCCTCAAGTTTACTGTCTGCAAGGAAACAGACAGCAGGTGATTGATGAATCTAAATATAAATTAATTCCATGATAATTACCCTTGTGAAAATCGATCTAGGTATACTATTGTATGTAATCAAGACTTGATATTTGTCAAAACATGGGCATAATTAGCAAAGTTAGAAGAAACCCAACCTCTAGGGCTTTGCAGATTTTATCAACCTCAGGAGCATAGTTGATCTTCTGTGAAGTCATTATCAACTCCAGTACACCAACACATGACTGCAATGCAGGCTCAAAAACGGGCAAAGCCAAAGATCCACGAACATTGTAGTGTTGAGCATGATCTCGGCGTGGATACTCTTTACTAGAATAATACAGAACATTGGGAGTCCATTCCGGCAATTTCTGCTGAAAAACCCGACCAGGGAGTCCCAAACATCCATCATTCTCCCCGTCCACAGAAAACACGTACATCAGAGAGACCGTTCTATACTGATGGAGTCCATTGCTATGTGGATCAAGAACAAATGGTTGACCTAGAGTTGTAAGCACGTACCGATTACCATTCCGCACAGGTGCCCAAACTTGAGCCAGAACATTCAATTCAGTCAACTCTTTGAAGTAACGAAGCGCTTGTGTCATCCTTTCCTTTATCACACAATATCCGTCCACATTTTCCACTAGTGGCATAGGCGCAAGTGGTGCCAAAAGCTGTTTGTTGTCATCATTTTCCACTGGCTTTTCAGCTATTGAATTTGAATCACCTGAAAACAGTAGCTTCAGTTAGAATAAATGCAGACCCCTGCAGAAACAACAAAATATATTCTTAGCCCCAAATGACACAGGAGTAGTACACTATGAAAACTTCACAGTTATGATACTAATAACACCTTTGAGATCAACATCACAATATATCTATAACTTCCAAACCTTATAAATACTTCAAGAATCATATCAAAAGAATGTAGCATACAAAGGCCAAGGGAAAACCCAAAGGAAGCATATTTTAGACAAAACTCCGGCCTGTAAACATTAGCTTGCTTGAACAAACGACACTCAATGGAGTACAACCATGAAACTTCAGCTGTTGCGTTTAGAAGGGGGTAGATAAAAGAAATTGAACTTCAATCCTATAAATTCCATTCATATATTACCTGCCTAGTGCCAAGTTCGTCAAAAATCAAAAAGGGCTTCAACCAAAAATCTATTTGTTTGAAAAAAAAAATGTTCGTTTTTTTTTTCATTTACATAAACTTCAAGCTAAAATTTGACAAAAGGAAACTCTTGACACCAAAAGAACATACACTACAGAAACTAATCCCACCCCATGTTACATTTGTAAATCAATAAAACCAAATTCAGCTGCATCTATTCAAGTTACATTCAAAAGGGTATGAGCAGGTCCAAAGAAGGATGCGAATTCCAAAACTGAAGTTAAAAGAAAACCAATCTGAAACCATACAAGGGAAGATCTTGTGGCAATCAGAGAAGGCAGAAGCTGGAAGTTTGGGGTCTTCTCCATCAGAGAAAGCCCATAGAGGAGAATAAGGCTGGTCAGAGTTGGAGGAGAACAGAAGAGGTGACGTGGGGTTGGAGACAAAGGCCAGGTGATCCAAAGGCCATGAAGTTTCTAAGTCCAGATCGAAGTCCATGGTGCAGCTACCTTCCTCTGCAGGCTTTGACCTTGGAAGATAGTCTGGATTTTCTTCCTCAGATTCTGACATTTTATTCTCGAAGTGCTAAAAGAGTTTGCGGTAAAGATTGGAACTTTGTGATGGGAAGTTTGAGGACAGCGTAGAATAGATGATGGTGATGAAGGGTAACCTTCATGAGAATGCATAGAGTTTGTGATTCCATGTGAACGATTTTACAACAATTTTACAACTTCCTTCCACTTGCAAGTTGCGACAAAGCGTCGATTAATTATTCAATAAAATGAAATTAAAAGGAGAAAAAAATTCTTGTTGTGGCACCAACTACCAAAAAGAAGGGCACTTGCACCTGTCCCTGTCCTTACCCTTTTTATTCATTTCCATGATTTTCAAGGTTCGGACACAGAAAAAATAATAATGTGTTAATGACAAATTTTAATCTTTTTTTTCATTTGTGAGAATCATAATAACTTTAACCGTTGGAAATTTATTAACTGTTCTCTCCATTACATATTGTTTCGTATTTAAGTTTTGACATGACAATTAAAAAATGTAATTGATATTTTAAATTTTATAAAAAGTTATTATACAAACTGTAATATATTCATTTTCTTTTATATATTTATATATATATATATATATATATATATATAAGTACAGTTTTCTCTTTAATATTTGTTTTTAAATTCCTAAATATAGTTTCGACAATAATATGATCATTGAGGTGGATTGGTCCACTAAAATTATTCAAAAAAGCATATACATGAAATTGGTCGTGTATAGCATATATTATCATAAAATCTAGGATGAACATATTCCAGAGTTGTACCTGCGATTCAATATATGAATTGATAAGATATGCTGAAGACTTAATCATATAAAAATTACTCCGAAAGTGCTTTCCTCTCCAAAACTTAAATTCTATTAATAAAAAAATAACAATTAATTATCTGGAATTGAAGAATACAACAATTGTAATATTATTTAAAAATAAACATATTCGGAAGTTTGTACCTGTACTGAAAACTCAATTATTAAATAAATATAATTCCTTAAACCTTATTTAATATTTTTTAAAGTTTGATTAATTATTATAAGAATATGGCCATCCAATTAATTGACACTCTCATGTCGATTAATAATGTGTATCGTATAAAAATATATAAAAAATAAAATTAAAAGGGTATACAAACAACCGAACCATTCATATTTTTTGAATAACTATTGTAGATATTACGATATTTTTAAATTTAAATATTATAATGGAGTCTTGTTGAGATAGACAAGAAAATTGAAAGCGAAGGAAAAGTTGTTTACGATTGGTCAGAAAGATATGGAAAGCAAATTGAGAAGTGCTTTGTGTGGTGGTAACTCCATTTCTATTCGTTAAAATCTGTCCTATTCAAAGCTTCAATTTTTCTTGCCACGATCTTCAGATCTGGTTTTATGCCAATAGTGGTTGTTATTTCTTCAACAGAGACTAATATTGAAACAAAAAATAAATAAATAAAAAATAGTGATGTTTTTTCCTCCAATTTATCCACAAATTGGAGGTTGATTTGTGGATGGAAAAGTGACCTAGAGGACAATATATGCCTTGACTTTGTCCTAGCTGAGTTTAGAAAATGATGGTCATTCAAACATATCTTCCACAATACTTCAAAATAAAATAAATAGAAACACGTTCAAGTTTGACTGCTACACTTATACAGGTGTTAATATCAGTTTTTATCCGGATTTGAATTGAGTTGGGATTTTTTTTTTTATTGAAAATAGATTAAAATAAATTTGACTTATTTCATCTACGATTAAATAGATTCAGAGTAAAAAATTATGATTAATTAATTTATAATTTATACTACATTTTAAATTTTAAAAATAATTAATAATTTAATAAAAAATTAAATTCATTTATTTACATTATTTTATTTTCACGTCAGTAGAAATTAATAAAAGTACTTATTGTAGTTACACCACTTATCATTTATTTAATTCATATTATCTTCTACGTTAATTACTTGATTTGACTTCATATATTAATCTATACTATATTGAATCTAACTTATAAAAAATTTTACTCATTATTGAATTTATCTATTTTTAATTTAACTAGTAGAATTGACTCAGACACCTTTATTATTATTATGTACAATTTATAATAGATTTGATTTTCTTATTTGTTGATGTAGTATAATTAAATATAGTTTCTCTTTTTAATTAAAAAATATTATCTCTTAATAAAATATTTTTTAAAATAAATATTTTATAATATTTTTTCATTTATAAGACCGCATCAAGACTTATGTTATAAATATATACAATATTTATAAATAAAACATTAAATTGTTTTTAATAATAAAATTATTAGTTTTATGTTATTATTATATGTTTATTATGTATTTCAGGTTGAAATTATTAAAAAATATTAATTTAATCCAATAACTATCTCAACTTATGATAATGTATTTGAGTTGGATTAATAGTTAGATGTAATCTCTTTATACTCTTAATATCATTTTACCATAAATGTTGGATTAGTGTTTATTATTGTATAATATTCAAGATGCAATTACTTTTAATTAACATAGTCATTTAAATATAATTAAATATATATCTGACTCAATTATATAAATCAGTTTATAAAATTATGTATTTTGATATAAATGAATATTTTGAAAATATCTAATTGAATATTCAGGGTGGAGTTACATAAGTCTCCCTCGCACAACAATTAATGCAACATGTAATAATATTGTTCTATAAAAATAATTTTCTATTGTTAGTTAACATACCTATAATTGATATAACTCTTAAGATAAATGTTTATTAATAATTAAAATAATTAATGTAGTTGATAATCATTATAAAAGATATCATTATCAACAATATTTATCTCTTTTAATTATTTGTCAATATAATATTTCAGCAGTTTTAGTTTAAAATATTTGAATCTAAAAATAATGAATGTGCAAATGATATTAAGAAATAACACTGGATTGCACCAAATACCTATTAAAGTCACCAAAGAAGTAAATAATGGTCCATGAAAGGGTACTCAATTTTTGGAGCACTCACATGAATAAATATTGCGGAGAATGATTGTTGGAGGAGGTGACGTAAGACTTACTTATCCACTCCACTTCCCTCCCTTCTTATAATTAACAATTTCCAGTGCTGGAACCGAACAAGAAAACGACATTATCATTTTATTTTAAGGTGGTTTGGTTTATTAGTAAACTTCATTTTTATACATTAATATAAGTTTTTAAGTTAAGGTTACATTATTTTAATCGACTAAAATTTCACTGGTTCAGTTTTGTGGGCTGGGTGTTAAACCACTCAACCTGCGGTCATGTGTTTTGAAAATTGAAAGTTTTGACTTTTATTTAAATAGATGAAAGATACTTGAACTTAAATATTTTGTATTTTTTTTATATGAATATTTATTAAGAAAATTATTCACACAAAATTATGTAACTTGCGAAAAATTTGGTTGATGATGACAAGAAGTGTATGTAACAATTTATCAACGAGAAAATAGAGAAACTTTAGTCGAAAGTGTTAAAAAGGTTATTGTGATCCTTAAATCTCCAGTGCGTTCTTGATCTGTGCATCTAATTTTTAACCCTTTCTTTCTACTCACACAAAGAGGTGAAAGGAAAATGACTGTAAATTTCCCTCTTTTGTGCCAAAATAAATTTTCGAATTTAGTATGTATAAAATTGTTAGAAATATTTAGGCAGAAAATTAAAATTTTATATTAAGTAAAAATAAAAAATTAAATACTTTATAAACTTAAAAATTTCACATAAGATTGAGAGTAAAATTTTCACTTATATACTTTTTTTTAGTTGGAGAACTTGTTTTAAAGTTGAAATTAAAAATAGTTTATATATATCAAAATTATCTTTAGAAAAAAAGTCATCACGAATTAAAAATTTTAAACGATTAATACCTTAAATAAAAAAATAAAAAAATGAAAGACGAAGTAGAGAATGATAGTAAAGTCGAAAGTAGTGCTGGTGATTCATTAAAGGGATCCAATAAAGCACAATTTTTTTGGTTTGGTGATGGATAATGTTTGCTTGCGAGTTGCCACAGACTATAAATCATTATTTAACGTTCTGTGTCCTCAAACAAAGCAAGAAAATGAAATAATAAATAATTAAATCAAAGAGGAAGATGATTGAGATATATAATTCAATATCTTATTATCATAAAAAATAAATTCGTTTTTAATTAATGGATGAATCCCTCGTTAGCTTTATGGACATTTACCTGACGTAATTCCGCAGCCACAAATAGCTCAGTAATTAATTTATTCATAAATTAAGTTTATCTTTGAATAAGTTTATTTATGAACATATAAAATAATTTTTTTCATAAACTAAAAATAAATGTTATTCAAAATATTACTCATACGCATAATAAATTAATTAATAATGTATATTTATTAAATTAGATATGAAATTGAGTGGATATGTTGTTGAAAGCATAATGAATGATTGAATGGGGATTATTATAAAATTAATGTCCAATACGGAGGGATACCCTAGCTCCTACCTGTACGTGGCATTAAAATAAAATAATTTAAATATAAGCTACAATCAATAAATATATATATAAACTAGAATAACAATTAAAAATTTTGAATTATTAAAAAATATAATAAGTTGTAGTTTATATAAACTTGGTAGAGTACATTCGATTCTTAAAAAAGATTTCAAATTAATAATTAAATGTTAATAAACTAAAAAAAAAAATCAATAGTTTTTATTTTTAAAAACTTGTTCTGAGTTACAGTTTTGTTTTATAACTATTTTTAGAGTTAATTTTTTAGTAGATATGATCGTATTTACTTGAAACTAATATAATATTAGTGTGGTGCTACATAAAATGACACTAGAAATAATGAGATTAAATTAACATTAAAATAAAAGTAAAAAAATAATTTAAAACATGTTATAAAGGCAAAACCCTAAAAACGAAGGTAATGTCTTATTTTCCACCGGCCAACTCTGCTTTTACACGTTTCAATGGTTATTTTAATGATATATTAATCTTTGTTAAAGCAAAACTTAGAATGAAGATCATAGATTCGAATATTTATTTTGTTATAGAATGCACCACGGATCCCACTTAAGTAGTGAGTAATTGCATCAATGGATAAATAAATATATAATTTTGACTGATTGAGCCAATTGAAGTTGAGTTTATAACACACAAAGCCACTCACAAAAAACAAAGGAAGAAAAATAAAATAAAAAATTCTGATTTATTCTACAAATGTGTAAAATGCACAGCAGTTACATGTCCTATTGAATGATTCAATATAAATTGATATTTAAATTTTACTACTTAATGTAACGTTGATTCTAAAACATTAGAAAACAAAACATACATTTAGATAGTAATGATTTATGGAAAACAAAAAACATATTTTATAGTGAAATGAGAAGATAAAGATTATGAGGGAGTGTTGAAAGAAGAAGAAACAAAAAAGATGATCTAAGCACAAAATGGGGAAAGTTTGGAAAGAAACTGCAAAAGAGTCATGCATGAAGTCAAAACAAAAGTGACCTTAGAAAGTTGTATTATATGTATATACAAAACTTCATTTTAAGAACGAGGGCATGCAGAATTTATTAATTTGAAGCACTTGGTTCTATTGCAATCTTGTTTAATTTTTATGAATCAATGCAAACATGACCTAAGTCTCCTCTTTAAAAGATTCAGAACGTTCTAGGCAACTCCTTCATTTATCCTCCCAATTGAATTTTTTTTTTTTTTGATAATTTTAATTTAAAAATTACTTTAAACAAAAGACAATGAAATTGATGATGGTAAAAAGTTATTAGAAAAATTAAAAACGATTTTAATAATTTTAGATTGATGAAGATAAATTATATAATCCAACAATAAGAAAGATGTAGTTATTATTGATGACAAAAAATAGTAAAAATAAATAATTAGTTTGAATTTTCAGATTTTAAAATGTAAAAAAGTAAAATAAAATTAGTTTAAAAATATAATTCATAAATTGTTTAATTTTTAAATATTCAAACATAAAAAAATATTTAAAAAGAATAAACAAATAAATAATCCACTCTTACATCGGAATTCTCCTTCTCTGTTTATTTCTTATTTATCTATCTAAACAAACATGTATGCTAAGTAGTGTAAGTTTTTCTCAAAAGAATAATTTATGTATATTTTGTTATTGTGATGATAATATAATAAGAATAAAAACTATAGGATGATAATAAGAAAATATTGAATATATATAATAATTATAATTATAATAGAATTCACCCTGTTTTAGAAAATATATATACACAATGCATAGGAAAAATATATACAAAATAATTTTAAAGGGAATCTTAAGTGAGACAGAAGAAAAATTTTGAATTGAGGTGGGTCAAAATTGTTCCATATTCTGATCCCTCCACTATTATATTTATATGTTTTGCTACATTTTCATATATTTATTAATTAAGTATTAAGCCTTCGTGCATTCTGTTTGACCACCAACAAAGATGTTGGAAATAAAAGAATAATATTCTGCTTAAAATGGAATCATATCAAACAAATTTAATATTTTCGTGAAATATATATATATATATATATATATATATATATATATATATATATATATATATATATATAGGTAATGAGATTTGTATTGGATGTAGTCAAATACTCCTATCATGTGAAAACTGCTAGCCACGATATAATGAAACAATTCACTTTTATTAATATAATAATTTATAAAATAATTTAATAAAAATAAAATAAAATTATTATTATAATATTAAAAAAATTGTTTATAGAAATTAGATGAATTTAGATTATCAAAGATCATTTTTTATTTTTTATTTTGTAGTTTTTAATAAATTATCCACAAAAAAGGTGAAAAGGTTAAACTGGTGATTAGTTTGAGATAAAGAAGAGTGATAACACCTGCACCAGATAAATGTTGTAGGATAGTGGATATGCTTCCAGCTACACATTCCAGAACGGATCTGTGTTGATTGATTAAGTACATTTTTTATCATTATAATGTTGACTCGATCATGTTTTGTTTTGTTTTATTAATATGGTGTGCAAACGTCCTTAATCATTACAAATATTAATATGCAAAATTCAGCGCAACGAGATCGTGATTCGTGAGTGAGATGTATAGGATTCATTCACTACATTCAATTAACATGACATAATTAACTTAGTTATAATTTCTAAACATTACTTTATTCTGACTGAAGTGATGGTCTGTGATGGCGAAGCAATATAATTGGATGAGGAGGTAGAACTTGTTTAGTGAAAAATATTTATACCATGCCATCCTTTTTACCCTTTCATATGAATAGTTTTATATAAATTGGGCCTATATTTTGATTTGTTGTATCAAGCAGTTGTTAGACATTTGAGATATTTATAATTGTGGAAAACTATCAAAAGGTCGTACTAACCCTAGAACAAATCTAGGAAAGGATTTTTCTCCCCCAGAAGAGGCATCCAAAAATACATTTCAAATGCAGAAAGAGACAAGAGCAATAGGGTATGTTAAAGCGATTATGAACTTTTCAAATTACTGCAATAACATTTCTAGCAGTTGTATCTGTTAACAATATATACACCCTTCTCTAGCTAAGACAGATCTTACAATCCACAATGTCTTAAATTTAATTCACAACACTTCTATAGAGCACGATTATTTTTTTACAAATAATTTCAAATCTCTTAGTTGGAATTCGTTTGATCGATGGGTTATATAAAATTAATTATGGGGTCCGAATATGATTGCTTTGTTTTGTTTTTTCAACACATGACGTTGTCACGTTTGGTATTATGTCTATCAAAATCCTTGATGCCACCTTATGGCATTGAGAGGTTGAAGAGTGTTAAGGTTCCAACATAGAACTAATTGGTAATATGTGGAGTAGCTTAACATGTATTTAAATCATACAAAATGATATGAGATAGACGATGTGGGACTTTCAACACACCCCCTCCAACAAAGCCCGCCGGACCAGACAAAGGGTACTTTTGACCCATGACAATAACCGGAAAGATGATAGGCTTTGACTCTGATACCATGTTAAGATTCCAACATAAAACCAATTGGCAATATGTGGAGTAGCCTAAGATGTATTTAAACCATACCAAATGATATGAGATGGGCTGTGAGACTTTCAACAAAGAGAAAATCAAAGTTTCTTGGACATGTCACATGATCTTCTATCCGGAATTTATGGAAGAATTGGAAATTCTAATTTATCTCAATAAATTCATGAATAGTATTAAGGAGAGCCTAAATTCCTCCATATTACCTTATACTTCCGTGTGAGATTGGTTTCGCCCTTATTGGTCTAATAAAAATAACAAAAATATTTGAAAAACCTTTTATTTGATTATGTTAATGACAGAAGTACTAACGTAAATTACTTGTATTAGAAAATGTATCTTTTGGTCATCATCATCATCATTCCTAAGCACTAGACGTACATGAGTTTTCTTCTTTTACCATAAAGGGGTTCTAACAAACTTGTTTCGCTCAATTTATGTATGGTGTATAAATAAAAACATTTAAGGCATAGCAAGATAAAGATTTGATATAAATTTTGACGGTGGGTCTGACGATTAAAGATTCTCAGTAACTTTACAACTTTGTGTTTGGGTAATATAAGCAAGAGGAGTTACTAGACTAAACTTCTATTTCGCGATCCTTATCATTGGGATTCGGCATGTTTCCTTCCCACAGCTCAAGTAGTTCTCTTTTCATCCAAGAGGTCACAATTACAGGTCCCAAAGTGGAAGGCACCTACACAAACCAACAAAGGGAACATTGTTACAAGCGAAACCAAACACTTAACTTGGAACCCACATCATAAAATCACCTAAACTGAAAACAGTTGCATCAGGGTTTACACCGTTATTATAAAATTTACATTAATAAAATCTTAACTTTACACACAATACCTAACGTAATTTCTGTAGTTAAGTGCACCAAGGAGGAACATAGAACCAACTTTTACAAAGGTTGGTCATACAAAAAAGCCATAAATATCAGAGCTACATCAGTTGATATCAAAATAGGGGAAATCAAGAAGTCAGCTTTTATGATCCATCAGAAGGCCAATAATTGCATCACATAGATAATGAATTGATGAACAATCTCCTGTTTTGATCTATTTAGTTTAACCCAATAAAATCTGGCAAATTCATGTTCAGTTTGAATTTCTAGATGGCAATTTTTCAAGTTGGTATGGCATACTAATAGACTGGATGGAGAAATAACAAAGATAAAATGAGTAATAACTGTGACTACTTTCTTTTATTTGTCATACAACCTTAAATCTCCCAATATATATATGGGACTTTTCAATTGTGCCCATGAGCACATAAAAAAGAAGTCAAAAAGAAAGCGTTTATTGTATCTAACACACAAAAGTCATTCCATGCTAGCAATTTTAAGTAACTTAAAGTGTTTAATAAAGTGTATTTAATGTTTTCCCTGTTCATGGGCACACAAATAGAAAAACCTATATAAAAAATATGATAATAAGAACCAACGTTCTGGAATAAATTATGTAAAAAGTAAAGGTAGCAATGAAACCAGTATTATGACAAGAATAAAAAGAAAAACAGAAGTACCAGATAAAGAAGCGCAGGTTGAGGTGAGTGAGTCAAGACACCAGCCGCCAAAGCAGTTACCAAACCAATGGCATACCCAGGTAGTGCATACCATATGTATTTGTGCCCCTTTGAGGAATGTAACTCAAAGAGATTTACTGTGTCCCTGCTCTTCCGATAATCAAAGCAGAGGACTAAAGCCAGGAGCATTCCTGGGATAGCCTATAAAATGATGAGTGAAAATTATAAAACAGAAGTTTTGAAGAAACTGGATTTTAAAAATTTATTAAAAACTTGGCCAGCCTACGTTGATATTGTAAACAAATAACCTATAGTCTATACAACACGAGCACTGGAACACACAGATTTAACTTATCATATTCAATGTAATCCTACAACATAACATCCAACCAAATTACACCACCTTGCAGCATAAGTTAAGAACGCATTCAATTTTCGGTCAATATATATTGATTCAGGGAAAGGAGGTTACAGCAACAAGGACATTGCAGTGAACAAGAACCATGTTTTTTTTTGTATTGCTCTTGCATATAATATGACAAAACTTCCCTGTAACCGTATTCAAAATCATAATGATGATCAATGTAAATCAACAAAACCTACATAATGATAATAAATGTCAATCCACATACCCTACATAAAACATAGCAAGATATTATCCGGCAAAAAAACATGTGAAAGTAGAGCACGGCATTTAAAATTGGGACAACCAATTTAAATCAAGTAACATGAAGCCTTTCTATAGTTTCAATGTTTTACACAGTAAATCCATCGCACCACGGTACTTCATGTGACAGTAACCAATTGAAAAGAAAATCTAAAACATAGAAACACAGAAAAATTCACATATCGTTAGGGATAGAGAGTAAGAATGTCATACCATGTCTCCTAAACCAAGCATCATGAAGTCTGTCGCATTCTCTCCAGGAACAACACCGCCCAGCAAATTTCTTGGAAAAACAATCTTCACTGGCAACTCTAATTTCTTAGTTATTAGTTGCAACCCAGGAAGGCTTAAACTATTAGCAACTGTGTGCACGGGATTTGATGCTTGCTGCGTTGCTACCGATACCATGACATTTGCGCCAAAAAATCTTTCCGAGAAGAATACCCAAAAGATGTCATACACGAATAGACAAAGAAGGAGCATTGCACAAATCTTGATGTTTGGGAGACGCACGTGGCTTACAAATGCAATGCATATAGAAATGCCTAATAAATTATTCAGTATCCAATGACCAGAAACAAGCCAAGACGCCACTATGAAAGAGCACACTATCAATAGTATTGCTTGGAGTCGTGTAAAAGATTTTGAGCAACATCGTGAAACAAATGGATCGGCCAAACCAAACTGTGTCTTCAAATAGGCAACATAAGGAGACAAGCAGAAGAAAAGGGAAGACGCCGAGGCAATCGCAGTGAATGCAGTGAGAAGCTGCGAGACAGATGAGAACAAGTAGAACATCAAAAGTAAGCTAAAAGAGCTCATCACAGGGATCATCAATGCTTGTGACCTATCCAATGTAATGGATGCTTCGGATAAGTCACGATTACGCTCCATTTCCTTGCCATAATTTAGAGCTCGAAATGCAGATCCAAATGTCACAGCCACAGCTGTAGTGATAAGTGTAACAGGTGCAGGCTCAAGCAAATACAAGAGTTTCCAAAGGGATTCCATGTTACAAGAGACACAATTATCTCAAGCCTACTTTCATGCATACACAACTCAACCCCTGTAACTTCACAACCAAAGTTGCACCAATTTTAATTTTGAAGACAAAATCCTAAACAAATAAAACCGTGCAACCTGCATAAAGCAAATGAACCTTGTAAGCACATGTAAGTATTTCATTGAAATACAAATGTATACAAAAACACTTTTAGAATCAGAAGTTATATTTCCATTCCTACCACAAAAAAAAATGTTTTTCTCTCAGGTCTACCACTATTCGAGTAGTATCATCTCTCTTAAACAAACAAATCCATCAGAACATGTTCACATTATTCTTTTATTTACCCTAAATAGAAGTTCGATAGATTTCTTTCTTGATTTCTACGAAGCAATTAAATTGAGTAATGCACCCAAAATTCCCATCATCAGCTTATTTTCTTTCTCGCGATCACATCTATTAACCCCCCAAAATAATAAAAAATAAATACGCACTGCCACTGACCCACATCACAAAAGTTTAAGATTTTGAACCGGTTGTTAAAAAATATGAGCATCGCGAATATCAAAACCCACCGGGGAGATTGAAATGAAGTGTGCTGTGAAAGATGGAAGAAAAAGGAATTGGGGAATTAGGGTTTAGAGGAAAGACTGACCTTGGACTTTTGCAGAGGTTAGAGAGACCCTTTGCTTTCTGTGCGCTAAGCAAAGAGAACACCCATTTGTCCCAAGTGATGTGAATCTCAACCTATCCTTATTTTCATTCTTAACCCCCCACTTTCAGTTATTTTTCATGATTCCCCTTCCTTTGGTTACAGGATCGATGACATTTTAATAAATTAGTATTTTCATTACAACTTAGTTTAAGTAAACCATAAAAGTAATAACAATTTTAAGAAAAAAAAACTATTTTTAAACTATCTAACTATTAAAATCATATTTTATTCAAGATAGTTATCAATTTTTAATTTAAAAAATATAATTAAATAATATATATATTTATAAAAATATATATCATGTTAATTTTAACATATTAACAAAAGTGACAAATAATACTAAGTTGACATCAGAGTTTGCAATTCAATTTGTATGATCAATTATTTAATATAATGATAGATTTTATGATATACTATTTAAAAAATTTCATTAGTTTTTATATAAATATTACTAGTCACATTTAAAAATTATATGTTTTTTTCTTTATCTTTTATACATAATTTTACTTGGTATTTTTAGAAAATAATGAATTGCTACTTATTTTAAAATACATTATATTATCGTCATCTAGATTTTATTATATTTTAGTCAAAAAAATTAGACTATCGATAATTTAAAGAAAAATACATAAAAGTTTGCTTTTTGTTTAATTTTTGAATCTCAGCCTCAACGTTAAATATTTTTTTAAATATAATAAAAATTTCATTTCATTTATGAAATTGTTACTTCTAATTTTATTTTTTTAAATTTTGTACATATATTTTAGTTAAGTTGATATATAAAAATAAAATAATATAGTCAAATTTTAACATAAATATATATTTTGTCAAAAAATTATTTAAATAAACTAACAAATATAAATTTCAATATTTAGCAAAATTTATAAAAGAAAAAATGAAAATTGACGTTGATAGCATAAAGTTGTAAGCTAATTTATAAGTGATTGATACAAATAATATGTTAAAGTAATTGATAAATATAAAATGAGAAAAATAAAATATGTTTTCTTATATTTTATATAAATTTTAATTTTATATTATTCATAAAACTATATTTTATATATAACTTCCATAAGTATATATAAAATAGAAAAATAAATATATTATAGTTTGACGAAAAAATAAGTATTATAATTTATATATTTAAAAATAATAAAAACATATGAGGAAAAATATAATATATAGTTAGTAAAAAAATAAAAAAAATAAATATATATATATATATATATTTAAAAACTGAGGAGGAAAAAAATATTTTAAATAATATTTTAAAAAATCATTATATAAAAATATAAACACGTAATATTTATAATTTTAATCATTAATTAATATTAAATTTTCCTTTTTGAAACCTCTTGTTTTTAAAAAAAATTGTTTGCAGACATAAAATAACATATAAGGGTAAAGTAAAAAAGTAATTTTAATAAAAAAAAAGCTTCCTGAACTATTAAATTTGTGAAGAAGAATGGGGTTAGAGTATATTCAAGTTGGACATTTTTTTTTTAAATAATTATTAGTTAGGTTTTATTTATCTTCTGATTAAATCAAGTTATTATGAGATGAAACTACAAGTTGTTATTGGTGGGAAATATTAGCATAAAGAAGAAAAGATACTTAAGAAAATTCAAAAGAAAGGAAAATGTGTTGACTACAATAATTTTCCTTTCTTTTTTTCAGATGGGCCCAACATAGAAAAGCCCAGACAAGACTGAAATAACATGACCGGCCCATAATCAGTGCCTGTCAACAACTGCTGCATAAAAGATTAAGGTTTAGCCTTCAGTAGTATGTTACCAAACACTTTTGAAACAATAAAAAACACTTTTAATTTCTTAAAAAAAAAAAGTAAAAACTATCTACAAAATAAGTAATCTCTCTCTATATATAATGGAATATTTATTTTAATATAAAGAGATTATATCTATTGTTATATTTTGTATGAATATTTTATTATTAGAACTTAATTTTAAGAATTAAATTTACAAAAAAATAATGACTATTGTTTTGTTAATTTATAATGATGTGGTGATCATTTGACTTTTTTACCCATTTATAAATTAAGTTATAATTTTCATTTTTTAAAAAAAGTTTAATTAAAAGAGCCTCAATAATCAAACTGATAATGTATTTAAATTCTAAATAAAACAAATAAATAAAAATCTAAAAGCTTAACTAAAACATGGTATTGAATTGTAAGCACGCAACTGTCTCAATTTTGTGTATAATTGATGTTTAGTTGGATCAAATTAGGTTTTTCTTTTATGTTGCTTTACTTATATTTTATCTAAGATACATTAGAAATATAAAATGTATGACTTTTTTAAAATTAAATAATAAGATTTTTACAAGTTATTATATATAAAATATATAAATAAAATATTTTGAAAGAAATTCCACTATAACATTATTTTTAATATAAAAATATATATTAAAAATCTTAAATCCATTAACTAACTATATTTTCTCATGCTAATTTTTTCTGGAAACTAAGTAACAAAACAATTTTGCTCCATAATTTCAACTTTAACTTATTCTTAATTTTTATTTTTATTTTATAAAATAGTTTTTTATACAGTAATTATGATAGATATTTATATTTAATATATGTATTATTAATTATTTTATTAAATATTTAATCATTATCATTAAAGAATTTGTTAATTTTATATTAAATAATGTATTAATATATGTAGATTTAAGTGTCATTAATATAAAAAAAAATATTATATATTATCCAAATTTTAGTGAGAAGAATCTAACCATTTTGATGATAAACATCTACAATAAATCATATTTTTTATAATTTTTTTAATTAAAATAATAAACATAAATATAAGCATAATTTAATAATATAGATGACACAAAACTAGTTTTATTAAGAACTTAATTAAATAATTGATACTATATAAAAAATAGATAAAATATTATTCAAATATATATGATAAATGTTGCATAATTATATATATATATATATATATATATATATATATATATATATATATATATATATATAATAATTATTCGACTAAAAGTCAACAAGAAGAATATGTTCTTGTTTCCGTTTTAGTAATAAGATAAAGTTTGGGAGAATGTCACTATAAAACTAGCGCATGTCATAAAGTTGGACCCATGGTTGTATTTTATAGACCAAAACTTAATTTTGAACACTTGTCTTTCTTCCTTTTCTTCTAGTTTTTTTTTTCAATGTCTATTTCTTTACTTAATTGAATATTAATCAATTAACCTCGAATCATACAATTAGGGCAATAAAAATTTTATAATTATATCCATGTCTAAAAATAGTGAGGGACTACAGTTTCCTATACTAAATAGTTTTTTTGTGTGTTCTATCAATATGTAATAAAAAATTGGAGGATGAAAAATATCAGTGCATAGAAATAAGAAATAATTGAAAAAAATATTTTATATATTTGATGATGAAGAAAATATTAAAAAAATATTTTTCATTTTAAGCTAAGAAAAATATTATTTTTTTAATTTTTTTTAGTAAAAGCTTATTTTTATATAAACTTAGTATTATTTATTTAAATATAATATAATAAATACAAAAAAATTATAAAAATTAAACAAATATTTAATATTTTTTATAATTTTCATAACATAGTGTTATTTTATTAATTAAAATTCAAATATTTTATAAAAAATATAATTCTGTAATTAAAATATTATTTTAAAAAGATAAGTTAATTAAAAGTATTAATTTGAAAACTTATTTCATTTATAAAAAATAAATAATGTTTATATGTTTAATTTTTTTTTAAATGAAACATTTCTTCTATTATTTTCTTTAAAATGGAGGCATGTATTCTTTTATTATATTTAATTTTTTTTATAGTATATTTCTTTATTTCACAATTAACTTTATTAAAGATATGAGTTACAAAATCTTATTTTTCGTATTTATTATTTATTTCTTATACTTTAATAATTAATATTAATTATTATCTTATACATTCAATGAAAAAATTATAATATTTTTGTTTAAATAAAAAAAGTTATATATATATATATATAATGATTCTATAAAATATAATTATACAATAATGTTAGCTTAGTACACTTTCATTAGAAAACATTAATTATTAAAATGTCCTTATTTAGTACACTAATTAATATATCAGTTTTGAAAATTTTAATGTTTTAGGGGATACAAATGGGCATATGATTATAAAAATATTACTGTATTAGACCCCTAAAACAAAAATATTAAAACAATTCCTAAAACAAACTACAATTTAGCGAATAGATATCGATTATAATAATTTTACAATACCTTCTCATAATTGTTTTATAAGATATTTACTTGAGGTTTTATTTTACTTAATATATAATGTAGTTTCACTTAAAAGACGAAGTTTTATAAAATTTAAAGTTTAATAATTTTTATTTGTACTTCAATAGTTTACAGCCGATGAAATCTTATAAAGTTTAAAGTTGAATAATCTTTATTTGTATTCCAATATTTTACAACTTAAAGAAATTAATTCTTCCAATTAAATATGATTTTTATTTTTGAATATATGCATATTTTGATTCTAAGGTTTTTATTATGTTATATCAACATATTGAAATGAAATTTCTGAATAAGATTTAATCTTAAGTTTAAGAAATTGTATTATATATGCTCTAAAAGTTATATTAGATGAGAAAATAAATAATATTAAATTTTGTAGAAAGTATAATTTTATGTGTTATAGTATAAGTGAAAGGAGTTTTGATGAGTTTATTAGATTAATTAGAATAATTTTTGTATAACAATGAAAATATTTCAATTTTATGTTTTATGTTTATTATGATGGAGACAGTATCATTAAGATCAATTATTTGAAATATAATTTGTGTTTGGAGTTTTTTTGTCACAATTTTGAATTTAAAAGTTGTCTTGATAAATTAAGAGACAATAATTTTAATCTTTAATTAAGGTGTGAATCATGATTGTAACATAATATAACCTTTAAAGACTAAGATATATATATATATATATATATATATATATATATATATATATATATATATATATATATATATATATATGAATTGAATGATACTCTATTATTAGTGGTAATAAAAAATTAAGGAATATATGAAACAAAACTTTGCACACCATGTGCACCTATGTTTTATTTAAGAATAAGAATTTTTCAGTGTTTTATTTAACATATCTAAAGTATTGTTCCTTGAACATAATTTTGATTTTGTATTATATATATATATATATATATATATATATATATATATATATATAATATTATTAGATTAATTATCATATATAAAATATTTTTCGTTGACCATAATTTTGATTTTGTGTTATATATATATATATATATATATATATTATTCTTAATGGTATTTTCTAAAACCGCATCATAATATAAATAAAGAAAATCAAAAGATTATATCCTTAATCTCAATCAGTGATTGAAAAACGTTTTATGGTATGCTTTTAATCGAAACTCAGAATGAACCCAACGCTAAGGCACCAAGTTAAAGGCACAAGTTGGCCAACGAAATGGACCTACCACGTTTACTTCTTACTAAACACCTTTACACTTTTCAAACAAAGTCCTTACTTAACTCACGCCACACGTTCCAAAACTAGAGATTTCACAGACACTCTCTAAGACATGTGATGGTTTTAACACGGTATTTATTCCCTATTAATTCACTAAATAAATTTTTCCATCTGCTATAAACACACTGCCATTATTAACCAAAGTTTAAAACAAGTCATCACATATTTTTCAGTAAAACAAACAAACTAATCTCCTTCTGTTAAATATTTCAAAATATGTAATTTTCGAAATTGATATGGGTTGAATAATTTAATTTTTTATTATGATGTTATCCAATTGGAACAAACTTGTGTGGTGGTGTACCAAAAGTATGAGTGGGGAAGGGGAAGAAACAAAAAGTGAACTATAGCTTGAAGACTCAATTACACCAAAAACCAAACCCCACGGAAGCAGCAAACATGGTTTGGTTGCCATCCTGGTCCATTTTCTGTTACCTGGTGGGTCCATTGCACACTTCCGTCCGTTTCCTTCCTTCTAATCCATTTTCCAATATTAATTCCCTTCGCCTCCACTTTCTCCCAATCCTTCCCCTCCTCTGTTTCTACAACGACGCCGTTTCCCAAAGCGTCTAAAAACCGCAACTCCCAACTCCACAGACATAGATTCTTCACCTTCTAATCCTTTCCTTTTTCTAGCTCTTACATTCCTCATGCGCCATATTGTTATTATGAAAACGCTTTGATGGCGCCACCAATTAATCTTTATCCGTTTCGTTTAAGCAATTAATGAAGCGTCGATTTCACTTACGTGGATTTCCAATCCTGCTCTGTTCCACGCTGCATCATGAAAACTCTATTAATCTCATTTAATCCATCGTTGATGAATATTCCTTCAATTTCAGACAAAGAGTGAAACAACAGAGCAAAAGCGAGCGCTACTTTTTAGATCTTGCTCTCTCAGATATTGTTTTCCAAAGCGAATCCGAATCCAGGAAAAGAACGCCAGTCCTTTCTCCTCTTTCTAGATGAATCTCCTCGTGCCGCTCGCATTCCTGTGTCTCGCCACCGTAGCGCCGTGGCGTGTTTGCTCGCAACAACAGAGGCTTCTCGTGAACATGACGCTCGTTCCCAATGCTCGTGCTAGCGGCGCTCGTAAGTTCGTTTTCATTTTCATTTTCTTCGTTTCATTATTTATTAATTTGGAGAGGAATTTGTTTGTAGTGTGTTTGGACGGAAGTTTACCGGCGTATCACTTGCACAGAGGATTCGGTGCTGGTGTGGACAACTGGCTTCTACAATTTGAGGTACTGTGCACTAAACCTTTTCTCAAAAGTAATTAAATCATGCACATGTGTGTGGTAAAGATGTAGAAATATACTATTGTTTTGTATAAGTTGTTTGCATCTTGCAAGAGTTATTATTATATATATGTTGAAAAAATAGAGTGTGTTGCGTTGTGGTTTAAAAAAGTGGCGATGGTGTTTTTGTTGTTTCTGGGTAGGAGAAGAGGGTTGAATGTCTTATTTGTTGGTTGGTTTCTAAACGCCACACGACAGTGGGTTTTTTTGTCGTCCACTTAGAGTTGTGCGCGCGCGCAGATTTGTGGAACTGGAATCCGCTGTTTCAATGCAGAGTTTCCAGGACACGATCTACAAATTATTTCCTAGGTACACCCACTGTAAATAAAAGATTCCAGAAAACAAACACTTCCCCAATTGTTTACTAATCCGAATCGTTTTATTATTCATGATCATGATCACTCTTTGGCTTTCCATTCGACTCTTAAGATCAATCTGAAACCTTTTTTTTTCCTTTCTAGAAAAAATATTTAAAATAGTTTAAATATTTAGCTAATTATGATAATACAAATTATACTATTAAATTAATGAATTAATATAATAATAATTATTAGTTTAAATAAAAAATAAAAAATATTTATTATCATCATTATTAAGTGTTAATTTAATAATATTTAAATTTTTGAATAAGTACTATATTAAAACGATGAATTAATGAAAACGTAATTATTAATTAAAATTAAAGTTGAAAATAATATTATTATTAATTATAATTATTAATTTCAAATAATGTTTAGATTAAATTAATGAATTAATATAATAATAATAATTATTAGTTGAGATAAAACATAACAATAATAATAATAATAATTATTATTATTATCATTATTAATTTACTAATATTAACTTTTTAAAATAAGTATTACATTGAAATAATGAATTAATAAAAAATTATTATTAATTAAAATTAAAGTTGATATTAATATTATTATTAATTATGATTATTAATTTCAAATAATATTAGATTAAAATTTAATTAATGTGGTCCAAGTTAAATTTTTATTAACATAATATTATTATCAATCATTTATTAAAAAGTGTTTGATAAAGAGGTAAATATAAAAGATTACTTTATGTTTTTCAAAATATACGATATTTTGAGTAGAATATTTTGTTTTATGTTTCTAAAATTTTAAAATGTATTAATTTCCTTTTTATCAACTATATATTTTTTAATTGTATTTTTTATGAAAAAAGAAAAGATAATAAGTTATTTAAAAGTACTTTAGTTGGTGAGAATATTAAGATAATAAGGATATTAATAAAAATAGCTAATTAGTTTATTCAAAATAATAACAATTAATGCTTATATGATTTTGTGTAGCAAAACCTTAAACTCATATTTTCATAAAACAAAGGGAGTAATCATAAAAAATTATTATTATTTCATATATGATGTTTAAGATTTTGTTACATATGATGAATATAAATATTAATTTTTATTATTTTTAATAAATTTATTAATTTTTTTAATTAATATCTTTATCGTCTTAATATTCTTTAACTAAAATATTTTTAAATCATTTATTATCTCTTTTTTCTGTAATAAATATAAATAAAAGATATAAATATAATTAATACAAATTTAAAATTTTTAAATATCATATACTTAAAAATAAAGCTTTTTACTCAAATATTAAATGTTTGGGAAAAGAAGTAAATTTATACTATTAGTGATCACAGCTTTTGATACTACTAGTGTAAAAATTAATAAATGTGATTAAAGCTAAATTTATTATTATTAACTTTAATTTGTTATATATAATAATAAAAAAATAAGTAATATTGAATATTAGTGATCCAAACTTTAATTTAAGAATAATTTAATTTCGTACCAACTCAAATAAATTATACATAACATAAATTATGTGACATTAATATTACAATATCAAATTAACTTAAAAAATAAATTTTAACTCTACCTGTAAAAATTCAGTCCAATGAAACTCTTTTAATAAATTATTTTATTGTAGCTTAAATAAAAATTAATTTTAAAAGTTCTACCAAAAACACAATTAATTAATATTATTAAAGAACTTTTAAGAATCATGAATTTATTTTGATAATATTTTTTATAATAAAATAATATATTTGTTAATAACAATAAATTAAGATAAAAAGTTAAAATTAATAATTATGAATATGATTTTTTTAATAATTTCATGTAGTCATAAAACATAATAAATTTAATTTAACAATACTTAATTTAATATAGTAATAATTTAAATTAGTAATAATAAATTTAGATTAATAATAGTAGTACATTCTGTAACGACCCTAGAAATCGTTACTATAATGATGTCTTCGCAAAATAGTAAACAAATAAATAACGACATCTATCTTACATTATATTACTGTAATTACAACATAGATTAAAATTTTGGTTCACTAACGGAACCTCAAAATATGGTAACATAATTTATTTATACATGTAAAAGTAGCTCTCTCGAAACTATCCTACTGAACTATCCCTGTTGTCCAGTAGTCACATCTCCATCTCTCAACTCCTGATCTGCTTCCACATAAAAGTGATCATCGTAGTCCCATCCACATGGAAAAATAGGGATAAGTATTAAATCATTCGATATAATAAAACAGATATAGAAGTAATAATTATATATTATGATCAATTATGAAATCATCAACACACTAAGACACCTTACGGAAGTATACCCTAACTATGCCCGAACTCAGAGGTTATCATCTATGGGCACATTGTGATCGGCACCCGCAGTACCATTCTGACCACCCTCCACACAAAGTAGGATTATTGGCGCCCTTCATCACTCATACTGGAGTACCCCTCCGAGCGCGCCGCCAGTCATCCCCCATCGACTTCTCACCACCTGATCTCGTAGTCTACCTGACCCGACCAATCAGTGAAGTCTAGGACCTCATTCATAATCTTCCGACATAATTATTACACTAAAGTATTCTGTACCACCCCGGGTATCATTCAAACACAACAAAAATAATTCACATTTGTCAGATTCTGGACCACCTGTCCTCACGGCTCATTCAAGTCAATAAATAATAGTACTTGACTGATTCTGGGCACCAACCCTCCGGCTTAGTCTAGCTAATACATAACATCTCATGACTGATTATGGGCATTAGCCCTTAGACTCAGTCTAACTCACACACGTTACAACACACTACGTAATCTTTAAAACTGCTACATTCATTATATATTATATATATATATATATATATATATATATATATATATATATATATATATATATACATTCTTCTTCTTCTTCTTCTTTTCTGAAATCATTTCCAAAATCACATTCGAAATCACTTCCGAAACCATTTCCGAAATCTTTTTCGAAATCATTAAATTACTATTTTGCCCTTTAACATTTTCAAAAATTCCATTTACGTCCCTATGATGTAAAATGACTATTTTACCCTTGAATATTTTCAAAAATTCCTTCCATGTCTTGAAAATGACTATTTTACCCTTGAACATTTTCAAAAATTTCTTCTACGTCCCTTTCTTCTTCCTCGCGCCAAGTATTAGTATCAAATTTTGCAGATTTTGGCAGATTTCAAATTACTCAGCTTTTAGACAATCAAATTAGTCCCAAATTCAAATTAAACATGAATTATATCTAATTTAAGTTGAAAACAACAATTTTATCATATAATTCATCCTTAATTTCAAGAATTTCAACAAAATTTCAAACAGTGAACAATTCATCAGAATAATAAATTCTTCAAAATCAGACATTCAAATAATTCTTATCTCTACTCTTATTCCTTATTCATAGAGTACCCAACAATTCAATTTCATATATTGAATGAATTAAATTTCCCCTTACCTTGTATGATATTTCTATCGAAACTTTTCCACTTAATTCAAACTCTCTCCTGTTTCACCAGATCCTGCAGGAGTAGAGTATTGTTGCTTGAAATTTAGACAAAAGAAAAAGAAAAATGAGAGAGAAATTTAGATTATGTTCCTCCCTTGTTTCTATGCGCACGTATAAAAGCAAAATTTTACTATGCACGAGAAAAACTTCGAAATTTTCTTGCACAATAATCTTATTATAATATTAAAAAAAAACATAGGTCGCACGTTTCAGTTTTTAAATATTTATAACTTGTTTGTTATGTAATATATTGTATGATAAATAAATTAATTTTAACAATACTTATCATTAGTAATAAATTTAAATTCTTAATAATAAAAAATACAAAATTATTTTAATAGTAATTGTGATACATTTTTTAATTTGTTAATTTTAAGATAACAATAACATTGTTTTAATAATTTAAATAATCAAATTAATAATTAAAATTAAATTTTCACAATTATTAAATTTTGTACTAAAATAATTAAATAAAAATAATGATTATTATTTAATATATTATTTTTTTATTATTAACTAATTAAGTTGTTATTATTATTATTGTTATTATTAGTAATAAAATTTTCGAATTTATAGATTTAAAATATTTTTCATTAATGTATTAAACTAATAAATTTATTTATTTTATATAACTAAATTCTTATTATTCAATAAAATTTTCCAGTTTTAAATATTTTATCTTAAAATTATGAAACCATTGTTATATAAATAAAAGGATAAAATTGTTCAGAATTCGTTTATGGACTGTTTTCCAACAAGCATGGACCACATTGGTGAACAAAAATTGGTTCACTGGAGAGCTCAATTCTAACTGCCTAGAACAAACAGGGTTCGGGAATTATTTTGGCAATTTGTTGTTCTCTGGAAATCTTTTATCGGTTGGATTTTTTACAGAGAATTTTTCACACAATCTATACTTACGTGCTCATTTTGTAGCCCATACAAATTTTAATATATTTTAGTTATATTTTTTAAAAGCCATTTTAATTATTATATTATTAATAGTAATAGATATTTCGTATTATTTTTTCTTAACATAACAAGGTAAGATTTTTTCTTTTTGGTATACATAATTTTTTTTTCATCTTCTTAATATATTCAACGATCATAACAGAAAAATAATCAAAGTAGTCACATTCAAAAATAGTAACTACATACTTAAAATAACATAAATTTTAACTTATTGAAATAAAAGAAGATATTTTACTATTCACAACGTTTAAATCCAAATTTTTGAGTTCAGTTTTTTTTTTTTAGTAATTTTAGTAATGTTATGCTTTAATTTATTCCTTATATGTTTATTTAAAATAATAAATATACTTACAATAAAAATCATAGAAATGAATTTGTTTGCTACAATGAGAGATTTCATGATACAATATTTAATAATATTATGAATGTTTATTGATAAATTGAAGAAGTATTTTAGTACATTTTATTTATTTTATACATGATTTATCATTATCTAGTATTCATTTATGTCTCAACAAATGTTTAAATTAAGAATGTTTTTTAATTGTTACTTTTTTTTTTATTTTGAATTACAATTTCAACATTAATTATTCTTAAAAAAATATTATATCCTTATTTCTCCCTTTTTCTCAATTTTTTTATTATTTTGAAATATGTTTTCTAATTTTAAATTTACTTTTTATACTACTCATATTTTCAATTAAGGGAAGATATACTTTTATAAACAAACTCATATAAATTATTAATACAAAATATATATTTTATCATTAAATAATAGAAAAAGCTATGAGTTTGTATATTGTACATTTGATTAATCGATTTTAAACATGAAGATGCCTTTTATTATATTGTTATTTATCCTTATACTATGATACATTATTTTGTAGTTATTATTTCTGATTTATCTTTCAATGAACTCTTAAAACATTTCTTAAAGTTGGTTAAATTATCCATAATGTTTGTATTTTCTCTCTGTATTAATTTTTTAATGTTAAAATGATAATTTTCAAATACAATCTTTAATTGTTTAAAAAAAATATTAATTATCTATTCTCTAAAAATAATTATTCTATTTTATATTATAAATATTATTTTATAATTAAACTTGTATCATTTATATTTTTCTTTAACTGATATGTACTAATCTCATTCTCAAAATATATAAAAGTTAGGTGAATGTCAATATAAATTTGTCCGTATCAAACATGAGAGGAGGCTTAAGTTGGGTCAGAACAATCATACTCATTTACATTAAAAAATAAATAACAAAAAACAATTATTATTAGAAAAAATAAAACTAGTGTTGAAAGAATCTAACTATAGATTTTTATTATCATCACTAAAAATGTTTTTTTTTCTTTTTTTTACTTTTAGAAATATAAATAGAATAATTTTATTAATCACGTAAACTCATATGATTGATATTTTTTTCCCTATAGTTTAAAATAAATATTCTTACTATAATTTATAACATAGTATTATTTACCCAAAACACATTCAAATTAGAAAGAGTCTTGTAATTAATAAGACCAACCAAAGAAACTAAGTAATTTCTTGAAAAAGATTGACCAATTAATATCATTTAGACGATGTAAGTTTGAGTTTTAATGTTGACGTAAGTATTCTGTTCCGTAACTATTAGTTTAGGCTTTCTAGTTAATGTTCTTCCTGATCTTAGTGAACTTGAAAGATAAAACTCACCTAAGATTTCAAATGAAAATCAGACGAAAGAGTGTTAAAAGAAACTCATATTTTGTACATCTTAATATTTGAAAAAAGAATAAAAAAGAAGAAGACAAAAGGCATTCTTGAGTCTACACTTTTTATAAGCAGTGTCGGAAGCGTGGACTTAAAGAGAGGGAGGTTGACCCATACAGTTTACTGTCGGAGAATAAAGTTTTGTATATACAAACTTTGAATCCAAGCAAAGCAATGGAAATCTGAAATGATTGAATGAAATGACAAATTAGAAAGTATGGCACAAGCTACTTGAGAGATAGAGTTAGTTTGGTGGAGCCTAAATTAAATCCCATTTGAAGAAACCCTTTGGTTCTTCATTCATATATCAGTAATGATCATCATTACAAATTTATGTTTATGGGACCTTCCAGGGTGGTGGATGGTGCAATGACTTGACATCATGCTTCGAGAGAGCCAAAACGCGGAGGGGTTCAACAAATTTTATGAACAAATTGGAAGTCTTCTCTGGTATTTTAACCAACAATGCCACCCTTAATCCAGGTAAATTCATCATCTTTTGCTCTATTGGTTATTAATATCACGTCACATCTTCAATAAAAATGTTAATTGAAAAAAATTTGACTTATGGAAATATCTAAAATGTTTATTTGTTAAGATATTATAAAAGAAAATTTCCTTGAAAGGAGAGAGTGGATGGTAAATAATAATTATAGTAACTTGTGGAACCACTTTGTGTTACGCATGTTGTTGGGTTGGGCTCTACCAAGTAAGAGAGGTTCCGTGAGGTGCAACTAAAGGTGCATTAGAAATATGGTAACTACTGCATTTATATGAAAAAGAGAGATTGGGTGAATATTACTGTGTTTGGTACGCGGTAGAGACGTCGTTTTTCATCTGTTAGCTTGGGTTTTTGGGAGCAAACAATTTTAAGCCTTCCCACATTTTTGCATAAATTTGACTTGTAGAAATGAATATTCAAACACGTACTATGATAAAATTCTAAACGGTAGGGATTGGGTACTATTTTAACCAGTAGTTTTAAGGTTTTTTTTTTCCCTTATATTTTATATATATTTTTTATTCTTCTATTATATTATTTATTGTAATTTTTATTTTTATTTTCTCTTATTTTTTCCCGTTTCATATTTTACAAGCTATTTTGTAAAAAAAATATTAATATTATACTGTCATTATTTAATATTGTTCTCTCTACAAATAAGAATGTATGTTTGGATATAATAATATTCATAGAATCTTTTATCATATTTAAAGTATTATTATTTTAAAAGTTTAATTTATAACAGTTATTCTTTAAATTATTTTAATGGATGGGTTAAGCTTAAAAGATGATCTTTTTTCTAATCAATACGATACTTATATCAGAATAAATATGATCTTTTTTCTTTCTTAAATTATTTTTATATTTAATTAAATAGAAATACATTCATAATATGATTTTCTTTATCATTAATCTTATTCCTTTAAATGTTTTAAATTTTAATAATTGCTAATAAATATTTTGTGCATTATATATTTGTAGTATTTTTTTTAAATATATGCTAAAAACAATTGGCAATCCAGTTGTGTATACTGTATAACGTAGTAGCTCCACAACTGGGTCATGTTCCTCCTGATAATTCCCTTTCATGGACTTTGTCTCCTATCATGTTGTTTGACCTTCCATTTTTACTTTAGAGGGTTTAATAGTATTCTTTTTTAACACGTATATTGAATAATTTTATAAAGATTTTTCAATGAATTATATTTTAAATATGTAAATATATTCTAGAGTTTGACTGATTTTTTGAAAGTTGAAGAGGTGATCAGCCACAAAGTTTTATAATTTTGACTCCAGAATTAAAGAAAAAAAATATATATATAAATTTATATTTTTATTCTTCTAAATTTATATTTATAATTTTAATTTATTATATATATTTTTAATATATTTTTATTATTTATTAATAGTATATTATTTAATAAAAAATGAATAATAAAGATTGAGGCTGAGGAGACATTTTATAATATGTGACTGGTCCTATAAGTAATTCTTTAATTGGTGTTTTCAGCTGTGAACATATTTTTATTTCAGCTGTCGGTGGACATACTCTGTTCCTAAATGCTAATTAAATTATTTGGGATGTCTGTCTGAACATCATGTGAACTAATAAATCTTGTCCTTAGATCTGTACACTGACGCGTTATTTTTTTATTTTTTTTAATCTTTTCCATTAAAAATAATAATGCATATTCCCACAACCAACTTTAATAACTTTTTGTCCAATAATGTATCAAAGGAAGTGATTTTTTTTTGTTATATATAATTTTGTAATCTTTTTTCCCCTACTTAGACTTTCTGTTTATTAATGTTTTTAAATTATTAAATTCTGGCGTTTTGTCTGTAATGTACTATATCAGATTTTTACAATTGGAACCGTGTGAAGCTGAGATATTGTGATGGAGCTTCATTTACTGGAGATGCTGTGTTCACTAACAAGGTAATTTTTACCACGCCTGTTCCCAAACAAAGGAATTATAGAAAAAGAAGGATACAGTACAGGATCAATTGCTAGAGACTCTTCATTCATTCCTGCATCATAAATAACTTTCACATTGGCTAAACAAGTTTTGTTGCATAAAGTTAACTCTTGGTGTTTGTGAAATGAATATCAGACAACGACACTTCACTTCAAAGGGCAAAAGATTTGGGAAGCCATTATTCACGACCTTCTACCACAAGGTTTGGGAAAGGCACGGAAGGTATATGAGTTCAAGTCAGCAAATTTAATTATAAGATGTAAACGAAATTTGTAATACATACTATTTCTCTTGTGTAGGCTTTGCTTTCCGGTTGCTCAGCAGGAGGTTTAGCGACCTTTCACCATTGTGATGACTTCGCCAAGTATTTGCCAACGAACGCTACTGTTAAATGCTTGAGTGATGCTGGTTTTTTTCTTGACGAGTATGTTTTACTCAATCTTGAATCATTACGACATATTCTTCGCCTGTGTTTCTTCTAATTCTAAGTATTAAAGTTACTTTTCCGCCCCATTTGCAGAAGAGACATCAGTATGAACCACACCATGAGGTTTTTCGTCAAAAGTCTAGTTCAGTTACAGGTAACATTCAATAAATGCGTCACATGTACGTAATGTCTTTTAAAATTAGCGTAAATAATGTGTTAATGAAAAGAAAATTGAAAGCCTAAATAGCTCGTGGGTATGTGCATTTGGTTTGTATGTCATCAGATTTTCATCTTCTAAGCTATATTGCTATCAGATTTTATATGTTTTCAGATTTCTAGACAGTACAATTGCTATATGCTTCACTCTTACAATTTCTCACTTCAGATGAAATGGAATTTCCTTCTCCATTTGTCTCTTCATTTTTCATATTTTGAACTTGAAACATAAAGAAACCACTTTAAAGATTTCTTTTTATAATACGCATGGCTGAATGGCTCCATTTCGTAGTAGATATCACTTTCAGAGTCCAATATATGCTGTAGTCAGATAGTTTTCATAACAAACCTTGATTACTTTCCTCATTAAAATTGAGCTTAGGTAGAGAGAATTGTTTATATCCCGTATTTTATAGGCAGGAATCGGCAATCGGTCATGTAAAGAGGTCTTCATGGATGAAAAGTTATAGTACTCAACAATAGAAAAGAAGATATTTCTTATTCATTACTTGTAATCCATCACAGCAATATCTTATAAAAGAGAGAAAGGAACCCACATGTCTTTATTCTCTACGTTCAATTTTCAAATTGCATAACAGAAAGCATAGCATTCAACACACTCTTAACGTGACAAAGTCTTCTGCAACAGGGGATAGAGCAGAACCTGAATAGAAATTGTACCAAATCACTGTACTTTCCAGACTTGGTATGATTTCCCATGAACTTGCATCATTACCTCAGGGAAATTCTATCAAACTGACATTTGTCATGTTTCCATGCAGTGCTTCTTTCCACAATATGCGTTGAGCTACATATCAACGCCATATTTTATTTTGAACTCTGCCTATGATGTCTACCAAGTAATATTTTTTTGACATATTCTACTTTTAACATACTATATTGCACATTATCTTAATTATGCAATTGTCAAATTACGATAGATGATTAGAACTTATAATGTCAACAGTTCCATAATATATTGGTGCCATCCTCTGCCGATAAGCAAGGACTCTGGAACCACTGCAAGATGAACCCGGCTGCGTGCACATCAGACCAAATCAATACATTGCAAGGTTCCTAATCCGATTTTTTTCAGCAGTTATAAAATTCTATCTGCTGAGAAGTCTTCAGTGTTTACAATACACAAATGTTATTGTTTTGTGAATGATATATGTAGTTTACTTCGCATCGCATGTGTTTAAAACTCATCCATCATGATGCAAATGAAACTGATTTTCCTTAATCCACTTCTATTAAGGTTTTAGGCTCGACATGCTTGGAGCTTTGAGACCGTTCTATTTGAGTTCAAGAAGAGGAGGGATGTTCATAAATTCTTGTTTTGCTCATTGTCAGAGTGAACTAACTGAAACATGGTTTGGAGATGATTCTCCAAGAATAAAAAACAAGGTACTGATCTTACTATTGACAGAGAGACTGCTCTATACAATTAAATAGTTCAAATATTTTGATTTTATATATATCCTAAGTAGTTAATATTACTATTTTGATTTTGTATATATATTAGATAATTAATATTATTATTTTAAACAATAATTATTATGATTCTAAAAAATAATAAGATTTTAGAAAGTTAAAATTGTATTTTTTAATATCTAAATATAATTCTTATTTTACGCGACAAAGAATTAATAATATCCAGATTTCGCATATGAGTGGTGATGATAATAAAGTTGTTTATAATGTGTGGAATTCTAACTAATTTGTAAGGCGTACATTTTTATTGTATGCAACAAAGTAAAGTAACTGATTTTTAACATCAATTATATCTAATATGTGTATGGAGAAGAAGTTTACATAATATAACAGAGTAAGATTTTTGAACTATGTCAATATCGTAGAATTTTGTTGTTTGATGTTTCATCCTTGACCAAAATTTAAGCTTTACTTTTGGCACTGCAATTTTAGTTTGTGATATGGTTAAAGAACACTATCTTTTGCAGACTATTGCAGAAGCGGTTGGTGATTGGTATTTTAGTAGAAACATATGCAAGGAAATCGATTGCGCGTATCCATGTGATGCAACTTGCCATAATCTTATACCCTTGAGATCAGGTAATGCCTTGTATAAAACTATATACTAGTTCTCTTGGATATGTAGGTTGACTTTTAAGCTCCATTGTCTGACTCAATTTGAGATGTTGCAGGTCAGTTGGATGATTAAACTGCACATATTTCCCCAAGCTTCAATGTTTCTCAGAGAAGCCCTAATAATAAGTTCAGTAAAACAGAAATTAAAAGGCATTTTTCTAGAAAAGTAGAAAACATACAAGGATAGTAGTGAATACTAGGCAGATAGAAAAATCCTTGATAGGTAATAAAGAAACCAAAAGAGAAACCGTGGCTTAAATGATTCAATTATTTTTCATTCTTTACTATATTATTTTTTACTTAATAAAATTAAGTTGTTTTTTTTTCTTATTTCTCTCGCTGTTGGGTGCGGTTAAATTTTTTTTTATTAACCATTTTAATCAGATATAATTTGATCTGAATATAAAATTCGAACAAAATCAAATAGTATATAATATAATAATTATGATTGTATTTATAATTTTAATTTATCTTAAATTATAGATAAATTTTATAGTCTTATAAATAAAAAATATTATTATATTTTTAATAAACGTAAATACATTATAAATAAAATATTAAACTTTCAAGAAATAATTATTAGTTGATAATTAATTAAATATAATATTATATTTAAATGTAATAAATGATATAATTTTATTTTTATATTTTAATCTGAAATCTAAATCTATCAGTAAGATTTAAAAAAAATTAATAAAATTTATTTTCCATGGATTTTCATTATTTTTTAATCAGAATCGATTTTGGAACATTATGTCTTGAGGAAAATTATTAAATTATTTTTTTCGTCGTTCTATTTTTAAATTATAAAATTGTTGATAATTGTTATCATCAATTATGAATGGTTTATCGTTGAAATATTTAAAAAGAAGAAAAAAAATTCCAGTAAATGAGGAAAGTCGATGCGTAAAATTAAGGCTAGGACGAGCTGTCTCCGTTGGTGGGTTGGCTATATATATAACTCACCACTGCTCTAGCAGACCATTCTCACTCAACACTTCTACTTCAGATGTTAAGAGGCCTTTTGTTTAGTTTTTGTGGTTTACGTTTTGTGGAGTGACGAAGGAGAATATGCAACAATAATGGTTTCTGATGATCTCTCTCACCTAATTCTTGTACCAAATACTATTGATTTCCTTTGAGGAACACTGCACAATTGCTTTGGGCGTCAATTGGAGATTCATGATTGTCGTGTTACTGGGTCAAGCTACGAATAATCGATTAGGGTTTGACGAATGTTTTCTGTTTTGCGTTTCTTTCAATTAACATTTTAATCACTGTACATCTTGATTTTATACTTAATAAAGTGCAAGTCTTTTGCGATCGTTCTCAAAGAAACGTCCATTCTTTGATCGGCCATGTAGCTTCATTGATCATGCTTATCTCGATGTGCAAGTGAAATGTTTATTCTTTCTGGTACCGTGTAAATTTCAAGGGCACCAAAGATTGAAGAAAGATAAAAGAAGGAGCAGGGGAAAGAAGAAAGAAAATCAAGAAACAGCTAGGGATTGTTAAAGTTCAGTGGTTAAGACACCGTGGGTTCTTGATTGGGATAGGTTGATTTATTTTGTGTTTCACTTGATGAAACTATGTGTCAGACAGTTTTGGAAAGGTTAAGAATATATTTGACGGTAGATCAGAAGGAAAAATTTGATCTCTACACAGTGTTCGTGGCGTTCTGTTTTTGACATTATCAGAAAGATGTTGAAATTACAGATAGTGATGAAGGTTAAAAGAAAAAAAGTTAGTAATTCAATACCAACTGAGAAGAAGAAAAGAAAGAACGACGGCGGCGGAGAAGAATGATAAATATTAATGACTTGATATACATGAAGACTGGAATAATTCTGAACAATGAACAGGATGAAAGCACATCAGGTGAAGTTATTTCTAAACCAGTAAACTACTCTCAATGAGAGAACGTAAACCAATCTAATACATATAAAGTAGCGAAGAAGTAACTAGTAATAATATTAATATTGACAACAATGATAATAAAAAAAATTATATATGGATTATATAATGTTAGATAACACTTGAACTGATAAAGAAACAAAGTATAGGTAGAAAGATAAAAAGAAATAATAGTGGTTAAAACTTAACAGTGTCTATAATATTTTGGTATCTATATATAATTACTTAAATATAATTTTCAAAAGAATTTAACATTAGTATCTAATTAAAATTGAAATTTTGCTACAATAACTATGATGATATTTAATGCAAATGCTATGAAATAATAAATTTATAATTGAAAATAATACAAAGAAGTTTATTGAATTCTTGTCATGTAACGAAGTTACAGTATCGCGAAGAGTTGGTTGATTGTTGCTGGGAGACCAGGGAAGGTTTGGAATGTTGTGCTTCTGCATCTCTGCTTGATTGGTCAAACAGAAGAGTCATGCAATGCCCCATATAGCTACTGCTGCGGTTTCATTGAGGATTTTTGCATACAGTTTCAACAAAACTTGTTAGGCAGGGAGTTACAGCATTTCTTATGCCTTATCTGAATTGTAAAACAATAGTAATAAACATTAATCAAGGGACAAAGCTGTGTAATTTCCCAAAAACATATCAAATGGCACCAATCAAATAACATCTACCTATCCTATATATCTACAATGAGTCCTTAAACACCACAGCACCAACATCGTCACCATTCAATTCATTTACCGCCACTCTTTCTCCACCATCACGTTATGCATAACCAACACACACTCTTAGTCAGACTCCCCTCATTGCCTTCTCATTCTCTCACCACCATCCTTCACCGCACAACAAAGACAAAGCTCAATAGCACGAGAAGGAAACACACTCGCAGTTCCTCCTTCAGAAGAAGCAATTGGGTTGCCCCCAAGGCATTGACAATGCATTGCACTTCTCGCTTTGGCGGCGATGACAACCACAACCACAACCACAACGGTGCCTCTTTCCGCAAATCCAAGCTGAACGAGTCAACCTTCCTGTCTTCTCTGATGCCCAAGACGGAGATTGGCGCTGACCGTTTCCTCCATGCTCACCCACACTATGACGGGCGCGGTGTTCTCATTGCTATCTTCGGTGGGTACCCATTTCATAAAGCTCCTCCTTTTTTGTTCTTGTAATGGGTATCGGACATGGATTGGTGTTGCCGATTATTTTCAGGCTGAATTGAATGAGACTTGGAAAGTTAGCGGCTTTAGCTTCGTGGATGTATAGATACTTGTGGGGGGCGTTGGAGTGAGTTGGTTTGATTACTGAATTATACCTGTTTTCCTTGCTTATTAAATTTGGTGAGGTATTGCGGGCCGGGTGGAGGTATCGCTGTTCATTAGAGTCTTCAATATAACTGATCGTGCGTGATTATATTTTTTCGTAGGTGCGATTTTCATCACGTAGTTCTGTCACAGGCATAGTGCTGGCCTAATTTATTTCTTTCAAAAAATTTCATTGATTAATATCAATTATGCTTGTATTCTGATACTGTAATGCTGTACTCTTTCATATGATAAATTAATCATAAGAGCGGCATGTTTGTAGATTCTGGTGTAGACCCAGCTGCAGCTGGATTACAGGTTACCTCAGATGGGAAACCAAAAATTATTGATATTCTTGATTGGTAAGTAATACCTTATTGATGTTGAATTTTTATCTGCTATGTATTCTTGATTTACCAATAAACAACTATGCTTTTTCCCCTCCAGCACTGGGAGCGGAGACATTGACACCTCGAAGGTGGTAAAGGCTGATGCTCATGGTTGTATTTTGGGGGCTTCAGGTTAGTGCCCAGCTAAGGAATAAATTATGTCAAAAATTCAGTATATATAGTACTATTTGCAACTTTCTAGTACCTTCATAGATATTGGAACAATAAACTTCAGATCTCTTTACATGTATTGCTTGATTGGATTAGTGAAGTCACAATTGTGGGCTTTTCACACTACTCATTTTTCATTGTGAAAAGAATGACTAATATAAAATTAACGTAGTTGATTGAAGTCAAATCATAATTATATGTGCAGTGAATAGTTGAATGAACTGACTAAGTTATGAGTTTAAGCCCATTGGTTTTATTTTTTTGTGCTCCCTTAGTATGAAAATATCTATAATATTTAATAATTCTTTTTTGTTACTTTCTTTCTTCCTTTTCCTAGTCAAAGAATATGAGTCACATTAAGCTCTTGTCTTTGCTTAAACCTTCATGCAACATTTGTACAGGGGCATCTTTGGTCATCAATACCACATGGAAAAATCCCTCTGGTGACTGGCATGTCGGTTATAAATTGGTTTATGAGCTCTTTACTGAAAAATTGACTTCTCGTTTAAAGGTAGTTGAACATTTTTTAAATATTATTATAATTGCAATTTGGACTTAATACCTATGGCTAATAGATGTAATTTCCCCATTTCTTCTCCTAATTTCTTCATTGGCAGAAAGAGAGAAAGAAAAAGTGGGATGAGAAAAACCAGGAGGAAATTGCAAAGGCAGTAAAACAGCTTACTGATTTTGATCAGGTTTCCTAAAATTTGCTTGATTCTTCTTATATATGGCATTATTTCATTCACACGGATGATCTACTCATAAATGTTGAACATTTTATTTAATAGGTAATGGGCATTAAATATTTAAGCAGCAAGCTGCTGCTGCAAGTGCTGTGTTAATTTTGTAACATGCAATCTTGTTATAATACTCTTCTTTGTTTCTCCTTTTTATCTGCATGCATATAACATGAATATGGTTTTTGGAAATAGAAAGGGCACTTTCCTTCCTTTTGTTGACAAATGTTTTAGTTGTTTAAATTTTTTTCTAGTTTCTTTTTTCTACAACCAACAGAAAAATTGCTTAATTTTAAAAGTAGAAGAGAATAAAAGGGAGAAAGAAATGATTTAAATGAGCCTATGCATTTATATTAGCATTGTGAGAAGCGTATGTACAAAGACGAAATCTTTCTTTTGTCTTTTATGACCAGATTATATTTCTTATAACTTTGGGAACAGATAAAAGGCTTCTTGTTATAATGTACTTGTTTGCATTCTGTTAGGTCTTGGGTTGTAAGAACCTGGAAAAAGATTACTCACACCGTCTCTCCTCCCAAATAATAGCAACACAACTCAGGAAAAGAATGATTATTGTATTCAAACACACCACAAATAGGATACAACCCTCTGTCTTCCACATTCACAGGAAACGATGATCCTGTCTACTTCTATTACAAAACTCTCCCCCCTTTTCTAACCCACCCATTACATGGTATATATAGCCTCCCCCCAACACAACACCTCTCATCCTATAACTAACTAACAGTTTAGTTAGCTGTTATTTATTTAATATTTTCTTCTTCCTAACATACACTTTTAACTCCCTATCATTACTCCCTCGTGCGTCAACAACCTTGTCCTCAAGGTTGAAGTCTGGAAATTGATATTTCATGGTAGATACATCTTCCTAGGTTGCTGCCTCAGGGCCAGTAAACTGCCACTGAACTAACACTTGAGGAATCTTTCCCCTTTTTCTTCTGTCTGCACACTTCTCCTATCAATTATTTTGCTTGGTAAGCACATAGATGGGCTGCCCTGCAGATCCTTTGGAAGCTCTTTTTCAACTGCATGTGTCCCCACTACCTTTTTAAGCTGAGAAACGTGAAATACTGGGTGGATACGAGCTGTCTCTGGAAGTTGTAAGTAGAAAACAACCTGGCCCACCTGTCGTAGTACTAGGAATGGACCATAATATCTGGCAGCTAACTTGGGATTTAATCTCGCTGGCATTGAGACTTGCATGTGAGGTCTGATCTTCAAAAATACATAGTCTCCCACCTTAATGGCCTTCTGTGTTTGTTGGCAAACTTTGTCATCTGTTGTTGAGCTCTGTCTAGGTGAAATTTCAGCTGCTTCAAAGCTTCATCCCTAGCTAGAAGATCTTGTGCTACTGACTCCACCGCTGTTTCACCTGGCACAAAACGATGTAGGGAAGGAGGGGATCTGCCGTAAACTACCTCAAAAGGAGTGGTATTAGCCGCTCTATGGAAGCTAGTGTTGTACCAAAACTCAGCCCATTGTAAAAACTGAGACCAAACCTTTGTTTGCTCTAAACTGAAACACCTTAGATACGTTTCGAGAGTTCTATTAAGGACCTCTGTTTGCCCATCCGTTTCTGGATGGTAAGCAGTGTTCATTTTGAGTGTGGTTCCCTACAAATGGAACAACTCATTCCAAAATAAACTCAAGAAGGTTGGGTCCCTGTCACTAACGATTGAGGCTAGTATCCCATGCAACCTCACCACTTCTTTCACAAACACTCCTGCCATGCTTCTAGCTGAATATGGGTGCTTTATAGGGATAAAATGACCATACTTGCTTAGCCTGTCCACCACCACCAATATTGCATCAAACCCATTGGACTTAGGGAGACCTACTATAAAATCCATACTAATGTCTTCCCATATAGCATTAGGAATATGTAGTGGCTGCAACAGTCCCTAGGGAGATGAAACTAGATATTTATGTTACTGGCATATCAAGCATGCTGCTACGAACTCTGTTACTTGATTTTTCATCCCAATCCAATAGAGGGACTGTGCAATCCTCCGATAGGTTCGAAAAAGCCCTGAGTGGCCTCCGGTTGGTGTAGTGTGGTATTCTGCCAGCAGTTTAGGTATCCATTGAGAGGAAGCGGATAAAACTAACCTCCCTTTATGATGTAGTCGTCCCTGTTCCATAGTAAAATGCCCCTGTGCCCCTGGGTGGTTGATCAAATTCTGACATATTTTCTGAAGTGCAGGGTCCTGTTTAACTTCTTCTGTTATTGCCGGAAAATCTAACCAAAAAGGTTGGGATAGGACCCGTAACTCCTTATCCTCCTTAGTCCAGTCCTCCCATGTTCTGGGCAATGCATCAACAACTTTATTGGATGACCCTGTTTTGTACACAATGTCGAATTCATACCCCAAGAGTTTTGCCAACCAGTTTTGTTGGTTCTGCGTGGTTATTCTCTGCTCCAATAAATACTTCAAACTCTTTTGATCTGTAAAACTATGAATCTTTGACCCAACAAATAGGGTCTCCAGTGTTGAATGACCAACACTAATGCCATAAGTTCTTTCTCGTAAACTGACTTGGTAAGGGATGAATCCGACAAAGCTTTACTAAAGAAAGCAATGGGTTTCTTATTCTGAGATAAGACTGCACCTATTCCACTTCCTGAGGCGTCATATTCAATAGTAAAAGGCTGAGTAAAGTCTGGCAGCACTAAAACTGGGGCTGTTGTCATGGCTTGTTTGAGTTTTTCCAAAGCTTCCTCACTCTTCTTATTTCATTCAAAGTTTCCTTTCTTCAAAAGATTGGTCAGAGGCCGAGCTATTCTTCCATAGTTCTGTATAAACCTCCTGTAGTACGCCGTGAGTCCCAGAAAACCCCGTAATGCCTTAATGGTTTTGGGCTTAGGCCATTGTTTAATTGCAGCCAACTTCTCGCCATCCATCCCTACTCCTTTGCTGGATATCACATGCCCCAAGTATTTCACCTCCTGTCTGCCAAATTCACATTTTTTTCTATTTGCATAAAACTGTTGCTGCAACAACGTGCTCAACACCTGCCTTAAATGATTTATGTGGTCCTCCCACATTCTACTGTATATCAGAATGTCGTAAAAAAAAACTAGTGCACATTGCCTTAACCACTTCTGAAGTATGGTATTCATGACACATTGAAATGTAGCTGGAGCATTAGTTAGCCCAAAGGGCATAACTAGAAACTCATAGTGCCCCAGATGTGTTCTGAATGCTGTCTTAGGTACATCAGCCTCATGCATTCGTATCTGATGATATCCAAGCCTTCAAATCCACCTTTGAGAAAAATTGTGCCCCATGTAACTCATCTATTAACTCCTCAATCATAGGGATTGGGAATTTATCTGGTACCGTAGCCTTATTTAAAGCTCTATAATCAATACAAAATCGTCAGCTCCCATCCTTCTCTTTGACCAAAATAACTGGGCTGGAATAAGGGCTATTGCTGGGTCTAATTATGCCCATTTTAAACATTTCTGCTACCTGTTTTTCAATTTCAGATTTCAATAAATGAGGGTACCTGTAGGGCCTAACATTAACTGGGTTTTCCCCTTTTGTTATGGGAATCCTATGATCCACTGGTCTCTCGGGAGGAAGCTCCTGAACCTCCCGAAAAATATTACCAAACTCCTCCAAAACTGTCTCCAATTCAACCTTTTGTCTGGAAGATAAAAGCTTCTCCCTTTCTCCACTGTTCTGACTTTCAAATATAGCCAATTCCCATAAAAAAGTCACCATCTCTATTTCTGTTTCCTTTAACAAGGCTTGGGGAGTTATCAATTTTTTTGCAAGGGTGGGGTCCCCTTGAATCATCTGCTGCCCTTTCCATTCAAAATCCATAGTCAACTTTTGTCAATTCATTTTCACGTCTCCTAAGGAAGCCAACCAAGTTATCCCTAATATTAAATATACTCCTCCAAGCTCAAAGAGGAAAAAGGTTTCTAACATTTCATAATTCTGCAGCTCCACTTGCACGTCCCTACAACACCCTTTAGTTATTTTCTTGTGCCCATCTCCTAACTTGACACAATAATGATTCGTGTCCTCCATTGGCAGGCCTAATTCTGACACCAATCTCGAAGAAATGAAATTATGACTAGCACCACTATCAATCAAGACTAGCAATCTCTTTCTTTTCACGTAGCCCTGCAACTTCATCGTATTAGTAAGGGATAGTCCTCCTGCCGAAAACAGAGACAACTCCATTCTCTTATTTTCCATTTCCCCCTTCTCTGTATTTGTCCCTTCCTTCACGTCCTCTTCTTCATTTTCATCTTCTGCCATGATAATCACCCTCAAGTTTTTCTCTGGACACTTGTGGCCTGGGCTATATGGCCCCCCATAGTGGAAACACCTTCCCTCTTCTCTCCTTTTGATGTACTCTGGGTATGGCAGGTTCCTAAAGCCCTGTTACGAACTTCTCCCACTGAACTTCCCCCATTACTGACGTTCCTAGCGCACCACCCTTCTCTTTCCTGGCAGTGCTAATATTACTAGAAGTCGCCGGCAAGCTGCCAGTCCCTTGAAACGTCTCAGTTCTTGTCACCTTTCCTCCTCCGCCCTGAAAACGAAAACCTGTGTTCTTGTTTCGAAAAGAACTCCCTCCTATGGTATCAGTTTCTCTGCTATCGTCTTCCACATCTCGCGCTACCTCCATGGCTCTCAACAAATCTTTCGGGTCATGGGGTCTTATCTGTTTCCTGATTCCACTTTTCAATCCTGCCAGGAAATAACCCAGCAGTTGTTCTTCCTCCATGGCTGGAGCTTGAGCCACTAGTATTTCGAATTCCTGTATGTAATCCTCCACCTCTCCTTCTTGTTTAATTGCTGCTAATCTCTCAAAGACTGTACTGCGATCTTTTCCACCAAAACGTCTGTTCAAGGCCAGGGTAAATCCTTCCGAAGATGGGTTCTTGGTTTTTTGTTTCCAGAACTTGAACCAATGACTTGCGGTTCCCTCCATGCTAATGAAAGCCAACCTTAGTTTTTCCTTGGAATTAATATTCTGAATCTCAAAAAAATTTCCAGCCCTTCCTATCCACCCCATAGGATCCTTAAAATGTGGGCAAATCGATCCTCCCACTGTCGTTGAACCACCTCCTCTTCTTCATCTGAATCACCTCCACGTTCCTCCCTTCCTCCAATACCTCCTTTCACCGAATTTTCACTCCCCCTTAGATCCCTTCTCACTCTTCTTGAATGTTTTAAACATTTCTTTGAGTTCTTGAATGGAATTCTTGACTTCTGCGTTTACTTTTTCTTGCTCGCTGGTCCACCTTTCTGCCCACCTTTCTAAAACTCCCAATCTTCCTTTCATATAATGCCTCTAGGTTGAATCCAGCAGGTCGGACCAAACTTGTTTGGTCTTGGGTTGTAAGAACCTGGAAAAAGATTACTCACACCGTCTCTCATCCCAAATAACAGCAGCACAACTCAGGAAAAAAATGATTATTGTATTCAAACACACCACAAACAGGATACAGCTCTCTGTCTTCCACAATCACAGGAAACGATGATCCTGTCTACTTCTATTACAAAACTCTCCCCCCTTTTCTAACCCACCCATTACATGGTATATATAGCCTCCCCCAACGCAACACCTCTCATCCTATAACTAATTAACGGTTTAGTTAGCTGTTATTTATTTAATATTCTCTTCTTCCTAACATACACTTTTAACTCCCTATCACATTCCCTTATATCTTTCTATTGCATGTAACTGAAAATCTGATGTATTTTCTTTTCTAGGAACACATGAAGGTGGAGGAAGTTAAACTTAAAAGGGTTCGTGAAGACCTCCAGAATAGGCTTGATCTTCTGAGGAAGCAATCTGAGGTGGGCTGAACTTGTTATGAACTTCTGTTGTTCTCTATATTCTGCCTTTTCCACTCCTTGAAACCTGTATCTTATTCCAATATCCAAATCTCTGTATTTCTGAACATATTTTTGATGTTTGAAATGTGATATTGTGTGTAATATGGTATCATTTTCGTGGTGAATGATGTATTAGTATTATTGTGCCCTTAACTTTTTATTGGATACAGTTGTTTTCTTTCATTCACTTCGGGTATTGGTGCATCACTTTCTTCATGGGGGCATCTATAACGGTATGGAGAGGAATTGAAGAGCTGTGAAGAAGTTTAGATGAGATTTTGTGTTATGCTTTGCACACTGATCTCTTTTTCTCTTTTTATAGTGTTATTATGATCAAGTAAATAATAAAGTAATAAGGGGGCTGATTGGAAGCTAGATTACAGCATAACTGCAGTGCAAATGTGAACATAACTGAATTTGAGCTTAGAAGCTAACTCTACATTGATCATATTTTAGTCAATGAGAGACTACTCCCAACCCCCCTTCCCTCTCAAGGTGGATAAAGGAAGACCACAATTAAGATGAGTTTTCAATTGTAGCTCTACTGCTGTTAGTGATTATCAGAACTCAGTAGTACCAATGATAATATTGTTATAAAACATTTGTTGTTATGTGAGACAATGTTGGAAGCACTCCATTCGTTAAAGAAACACAATTTCTGCTTTATCTCTATCTCTCTCATTAGAAAAGGCTTCTATACTTATGTTTTTCCTTTTACTTACTTACCTCCTGATCTTGCTATGATTTAGTCATTTGAGTATTTTACCAAAAAGACAACGCTATTATATGGTTTAGGGTTATGATGATAAAGGGCCTGCCATAGATGCTGTTGTCTGGTATGATGGAGAGGTTTGGAGGGTGGCACTTGACACACAGAGTCTTGAGGATGATCCAGATTGTGGGAAACTTGCTAACTTTGTACCCTTAACTAATTATAGGTACATTTTATTGCTGATGTTACTTATCCTAATGTTTAAATCTCTGTTGATTGTTTTCCTGCAGAAAAGTATTGTGATATTGGTAGATACTCATTTTCGGCAATGATTTATTGCTGTTAAGTACCCATGTCCTATACAGTTACATATTACAAATTAATCAAAGTTCTTTTTGTTTGTAATGAAACTCATGATATGACTCTTTGTTCCCCTACCCTCTTTCTACTCTTTTTCTTTTCATTGAAAATAAAGTGTGCTGTCCTATTGAATTATTTATGAATTTTGTTTTCTTGTTGTGTTGCTTTCACTTCCAAAAAACCTAAACGATTGTCAAGTCTGCCATTGATTTATAGTTTTTAAAGTACTTCAAGTATCTTCTGAAGCCCAATAAATGTTGATTAGGACTTGCATGTGATGCGTGGAATTTTTTGTGTTATTTTTATATCATTTCTTGCTTCTGAACAGTTGAACTTCCTTTTTTTAATGTACACATTTCATAATATTTTGATTTTTTTTAAACATTCTGGAAACATCAGCTCTCTCTCTTTATTTCCTTTAAATGGATTTTGCGGTGATTTGCAAATTTATGTATCAGTGAACAAAAATTTAATAAGATAACCACCACGCGTTAATACACTATACAGCTACTTGATCAATGTGCCATTGGGTTCTATTAAAAATAATTTTTTTATTTAATTTTATTATCTTTTGGTAACCAATTTTGGCATGGTTTATTTATAGCTTCTCCTAATATTTTATAAGATCTTCCTCTATTCTTATTTAATGAGACTATTTTCAATTGATTTGCTTTTCTGAGTTTTCTCACTGCAGCTGCTATTGGTATTCTCACATGAACAAACCACTTCAATCGCAAGTTTTTCAATTCCATCAATCATCTCCTAGATAGTGTTGTTCCAAAGCACCTCACATTTTCATCTCTACATCACAAAGAACTGGGAGAATTTTGAATAAAGAAAATCCACAAAAAATTAGTAACCTAACAATTAAGCGGGAAAAATGCAGTGGTTCCCCCTATCTTTATTGTGGTTGTTGATATTTGATAGATGTTTCTGAATTAAGTAGTCAATTAGCACATTAATTCGCTTTAGCTATTGGAGCAACTGAGATTTTGGTTCTAATCAGTGTGGTAGGTATTAAATGTTAAAATGATTTGAATAATAACTATCCCAGCCTATTTTTCAGGACTGAGAAGAAGTATGGCATTTTCAGCAGATTAGATGCTTGTACGTATGTTGTGAATGTCTATAATGATGGAAATGTCTTAAGTATGGTCACAGATTGCTCCCCTCATGGCACCCATGTTGCTGGTATCGCAGCTGCATTCCACCCAGAGGTACAGATATAGTTTTATCCATATATTGGAATTTCTATGAAAAGCATTATACATTATAATATACAGTATTGTTCGTAGGAACCTTTGTTAAATGGAGTTGCTCCTGGAGCACAATTAATATCTTGTAAAATTGGGGACTCTCGCTTAGGTTCATTGGAAACTGGAACTGGTCTGACTCGGGCACTGATATCTGCTGTGGAGGTGGTTCAAATATATATTTTTTTTCTTCATTGCATGACTATCATGCAAATTTCAATAGTTGATGTATATTTGTCTTTAATACGTGTTTGACTAAACTAATTTTGTTTTATAATTTTCTGATGTTTGACACGAATATTACATTTGTAGTGATGGCCTTGTCTCATTTCTTTTGCAGCATAAATGTGATCTTATCAATATGAGTTATGGTGAGCCTACATCACTGCCAGACTATGGACGGTTCGTTGACCTTGTGAATGAAGTATCTTCTAAGACTTCCTTTTTAACTGGGCCAGTTACATCTTTCCTTTGTTATTTAGTGTTCTCTAAGCTATGGATGTTCTGGATGATTTATGTCTAGGCAGTAAACAAGCATCGACTGATATTTGTGAGCAGTGCTGGTAATAGTGGACCAGCTTTGAGCACTGTCGGAGCACCTGGTGGGACATCATCAAATATTATAGGTGTTGGGGCTTATGTTTCTCCTGCTATGGCTGCTGGTGCTCATTGTGTTGTTGAAGCTCCTTCCGATGGGCTTGAATACACATGGTATATTTTATTCTATGAAAATTTCAAATTGGAGTGTCTTCTTATATTGTTTTATCTTTAACCTGGTTCTTCTGGGTTTTGCCTCATTATCATTGCATGATTTATGGAAATGATTTACAGGTCTAGCCGAGGACCAACAGCTGATGGAGATCTTGGTGTCTCTGTAAGTGCTCCTGGTTGTGCAGTTGCTCCTGTTCCTACGTGGACTCTTCAACGGCGTATGCTCATGAATGGGACATCAATGGCATCACCATCAGCCTGTGGTGGAATTGCATTGCTCATAAGTGCGATGAAGGTTCTTGGACAATTCTTATTTGGACTGTATGTTTTAGTTGGTTTTACCTTGCAGTTTGCACACATATTCATAATTTATGATGTGTATGTTCTACATGCAGGCTGATGGAATTCCTGTGAGTCCATATAGTGTGAGGAAGGCTCTTGAAAACACATCTATTCCCATTGGTGGTTCACCTGAGGATAAGTTGTCCACTGGGCAAGGACTTATGCAAGTTGACAAGTGCGATATTTTTAAGTCTTTTCTTTCATGGAGTTTTTATTAAATGGTATTTATGAAAGATTTGTTGTTTTCTTAAATCAAATACTTGATGACAGGTGTTATGAATATATACAGCAGTCTCAAAATGTTCCAAGTGTTTGGTACCAGATAATGGTAAAGAAATCTGGAAAAACCAGTGAGTTTACATTCTCCCGGACATTTTACCTCCTCTCTTTGAGAAACAAGATGCAGGAAATTGGTGTCTTTTGACTTCCCATTGTTTGTTTGGTCATGCTTGTAAAAATAAAAAGGTCGCTGACATTCTGATATTTGTTATTGTTATAACACGTGTAAAATATGAAGCATTTGCAGTATTTGTAAGCTCTAAAACTTTTTGTTTCAATGGGGAACAAGGAGAAAAACGTTGGAAAGTTTCCCCTAATATTAATAAAGTAGTACCATTAGTATGATTAACAAAAGAATTCCCAGTAAAACTATCTTGTAACTGTAGCATGTCTACATGTTGCACGACACCTATAGGATATCATCTCCCTATACCACTTACATATGCGTGATCACACCATAAGGTTTATATTTGCTTGGTTTCCGTGGGGACATTTCACCATAAGGTTCATATCAATCTAACTGATAACTGAGAAGAATAGAATAATGGATCAAAATGAAATTGGTTTGCATGGCTAAATATTTGTAGCAGTGAATTGTAAATTGGATAAGATGTCTTTTACCTTTGTGCAAGTGCTGTATTAATCATCTCTTAATGCAATAAAACTGACAAGTTACAGAGTTAGTAGTGCTTAATTACTATTAGAGTGGGAAAAATAAAAAAAATTGAAGATGATTTACTTGTAAGAGCATGTACTTTAAATGTCAAAATTATATCCCTTTATATGATTGCTGATAGCAGATCCTTGGTCACGGGGCATCTACTTGCGGGAGGCTAAGGATTGCCAGCAACCTATGGAGGTGAGACCACTCTTACATTTGGTGTGCATTGATAGTTGTAGCATACTTTAAGTTTGTGAAATGGATTAAAGATAGGATTATGATAAAATAAATAACCAATGACAGATAGTTGGATGCATCTAATTTTCGTTCTGGGGCAGAACTATATGAATTTTTTTATTTGACAAACACTAATTTACATTGCTTTATAGGGTACAATAAAAGGAAAAAGTAGAATTTGCTGATATTTTGTTAGAAAATTGTTAGAGATTACAAAACTGATGAGTCTTGCGATTTTTCTTATGCTGGTAATTGTGCTTTCAGATTTCTACTTGTATATTGCATATATTGCATGTTTAATATCAAATCTATGCATATCTGAATGTCCTCATCTAGTGGAATAAGACTTTTGTTGTTGTTGCATTTGTTATCAATTAACAGAAATGTAATCTTTTGAACACTGAATTGGTAACTTTTTTTTTTAATTTTTTTTATTTTTATAATCTGCTGTACTTATGGACAGTGGACTGTGCAAGTTGATCCAAAATTTCATGAAGATGCCAACAAGCTTGACGAATTGGCTGTGTTTGAGGAGTTCATTGAATTACACTCATCAGATGAGACAATTGTGAAAGCCCCTGAATATCTACTGCTCACTCATAATGGCCGCACCTTCAAGTTAGTCAGCTATCCTTCATCATCATCATTCTTTAATTATCTGACACTTTCATATTTAGATAACTATAGAATTTAGTTAATCATTAGGCTCATTCATAATGTTATGTTATTGAAAAGTTCTGATTTAGGGATAAAATTACATTTATGTATGATTGATAGATATCTGAGAAAGAATAAGCAACTGAATTGTAATTGAAAAACTGAATTTTACATTTTTGAAAAAGTTATTTATAGCTGCCCTGATAACAAAGCTATTTATAGGCATTCATTCTTGCACATTACTGTACAACTGTACACTAATTTTTAATCATGTATTTACAGTAGTAGTCACATTATTTGTAGGAATCATGTTCAGAACTCTATAAAGTCAAATTAAACCCACGTGTGATTGAAAATTTTGGTATTGTGGGTACTCTAGATGGACAAGTTAATGTTTGATGACTGTATTAATGTAACCTAAATTATGATAACAAAAGTAGAAAATATGGAAATATAATTGGATGATTTGGATTGGATTACATTTACATGTTGTGTATGTGTAAATATATACACTTGTTTCTATGGAAACTGAGAGGAATGAAACCAAAAGGAGAAGATAGCATAGAAATACCAAATTTCCATTGCTTGTTTGAGAGAAGTAGGGAATTTTTTATGAGACCCACATATATAAATGTCCCCCCAAATTTTGACCTGAAAAGGAGAGGGAAAGATCTTTCTCAAAAAATTACATATTATATAACAAATTTTAAAATAATAAATAATTTATTGTGAACAAAAATAATGGAATATAATGTTTAATTGGTGTTAAACTTAGTTTTTTAACTGATATAAAAATATATTGCGTAATTATTCCATTTCATTCGTTTTTACACTCATGGAAACAAGTATTAAGAAATTTCTCCACTTTATGTATTTTCTATCTATCCAACCAAACAAAACAACATATCTTTTCTACTATTTTATTTTCTTTCTATCATTACTTTTTTTCTTTCTTCTCTATTTCACTTCTAGTCTAAACAGATTATTAGTGTGCATAGGGGTGGATATTAATAAAAAAATGATGATAGTGTTTAATTGTTTATATATGTATAACCATATAATTCAGACAGGGTTTGGATAATCCAAAATTTTTATTGACATTTCAATGCATATATTAAGTAATTTAAAAGTGAATTCTTCCTCTGAAACCACATTTTTAATAATAACAAAGTTATACATACGGTTAATATTCTTAATGTCTAGGTTAAAGATATTACGTATATGGCATGGGCATTCCATGAAAACATTGTTCATGAGCATATCTCTCTGCCTGAAATATTTGTGAAGCTTTGTTTATTTTTATGCTATCGTTATTTTTGTCATGAACAACTATAAGGGTCTATTTTGGACAAGTTTCTCTACTTGGGAGAGAAGATATGAAAAGAATTTAAATTAAATTCTCCATAAATTAAGATTAACTTATGTATAAGCTATTTTTTAGTTTTTCCAAATTTTTATTTTTAAAACATAAGCTAATTTTAATTTATGGAGAAGTCAATTTCAATTTTTTCTTCATATTTTTCTCCCCTACAAGTTCTTCTAGAGAAGCTCGTCCAAATAGGCCTTAGGTAACAAGAACTTTCAATTTTCAGTGACAAAACTAGGTAGCTGTTTAGGGGGAAAAAAAAAAAAATAGCCCCCATGGTACTTCCAAGGGAATATACATTATCTCAACTTATTATCCTTGAAATTGTTTTACTATAATTTCTAATCTTTCACATCCATCATTCTTTTCTGCTTAAGATAGTTTTCCTATCAATGATCATTCTAAATTACAATGAAGTGAATGAACAGCAACTAGTAAGAGAAACATGCACATAAACCAAGACATGTACTATATAACAGAGTTGATAATGTTTTGTCATGTTTTATTAGCCACTTACAAATTATATTCTTCTTTCAGCATAATTGTGGATCCTACCAATTTAAATGGTGGTCTGCATTATTTTGAGGTTTATGGTATTGACTACAAAGCACCATGGCGTGGTCCTATTTTCAGAGTTCCAATTACTGTAACCAAGCCCATGGCTGTAACTGACAGACCTCCTCTAGTTTCATTTTCAAATATGCTATTCCTGCCAGGTTCTCTTTTACCTTAGATTGAAAATGTTTCCAGAAATCTCTGCGCATTTAAAGCATTTATAACAGCGATCTTTAGTCCTACAACATGTCTTAATTTTTCCTTTCACCAGGCCAAGTAGAGAGGAAGTACATAGAAGTGCCAAATGGTGCATCTTGGATTGAAGCAACCATGAATGCATCAAGTTTTGATACGGTTAGAAGATTTTTTGTGCATACAGTGCAGGTACAACATGCAGCTTGAAGTTATTGTAGATTAAGTATGGAACTTCTTTTGACATGCTCACTATGTCTAGATATGTCCATTGCGAAGACCTTTTGCGCGGAGGAATGTGATAACTTTTTCTTTCCCGGCTGCCAAAAGCTTCACCTTTAGGGTAGTAGGTGGTCAGACATTGGAACTAGTGATAGCTCAATTTTGGTCAAGTGGCATTGGCAGTCATGAGACCACCAGGGTGGATATTGAGGTAACAGGATTCATGTCAGTGCAATGAAGTTATTTTCCCTTCACACATATGTGGGTAATTTTTGCTCCCAAAAATTTATTTCTCCTGTTTTTTTGTATTGGCCAAACTAATGATTATTTTGTTTCCCATTCATTCAGTTAGTTGTCTTTAGAATGTATCTAAATTCCTTTATTACACCATCTTATTTATTTTTATAATGGCTACCAAGAGTTTTGTTCCGTGTGTGGCACTAAATGTGGTGGGGATTTTAACCTTTTGTTTTGGATTTTGGATTATAAGAATAAATTTACTAGGAGGAAAGGAGTGCAAGAAAATAAGATTTCCACCATAAACAAGAGAAGATGCTAAAGATAAAGCTTATAACATTATTACAAGAGATCTCTCCAAGCCCTTTCTGCATAACAAGGAGATTCTTGGAGTACCCGTTGTACTGAGAACACTGAGAATCTGAAGAGATGCTAACAAGCAACCACCTCCTAAAGCTTTCCTCTACAGTCAGATAGTAACCTACTATCTCATAATAACATATGGCATCTAACTTTCTGGGGTTTGATTGGCATCATCAACTGAAATTTAATCTCGATTGATATGCAAGATGGCCAGTTATGTCCCTTTTAAATTAATAATTAAAGAAAAATACCTAAATTAATTATAAATGACACCTTCTGTCCAAAGGGAAGTTAGAGGCCAATGGTCTGCAATGATCTGCGTAGCCAGTAGCCACTGTAGTGAACATTACTTCTTTGATATGAATGGTTGTATGAAAAGTATCATGCAGTACATCAATTAATTTTCAAGCGGAGCATAATTTTCTATCATTTTCAACCTAATGATGCTTATGATTTGCATATTTTCCCCATTTTTTTTAGCTTATGCAGTTTAAGTAGATTTCTATTAATAAGTGGAAAAATCAAGCACACCCTTATAAAGCATCAAGATGAACTTTCTTTGTAATTCATATTTAAAAAATGTTTGTTAGTGTGTGTTTATGAAGAAATAAACCCTCCTTCAAGCCCAACACCTTTTGCAACTTGACCTTGCATACTGTTGGACGTTATTGTTTTCTTTTGATTGTAATTTTTCTGATAACTTCTGTTCAAAGAATTGAATGGGAAAGTTCCATTGATTTTTCATTGAAAGATACAATCTTGCTTATTTATATAAAATTTTAGGTTATGTTTCATGGTATAAAAGTCAATCAAGAGGAAATTGTACTGGATGGGAGTGAAGCACCAATCAGAATTGATGCTGAGGCGCTACTGGCATCTGAGAAACTTGCACCTGTAGGAATTCTAAATAAGGTTATCTTGTAAAATTCAACTTCTTTTTGTACTATTCCTTTATACTTGTGATGTGGGACAGTAATGAGCTTTGAACTTATTCTCTTAATTTATGTTAAACGATGCAGATAAGGGTCCCATATCGACCAATAGATGCTATGATTAGTTCACTTTCAAGTGATCGTGACAAACTCCCCTCTGGAAAGCAGATACTGGCATTGACGTTAACGTGTGTAGTTATACTTTCCATTATCTGCTTAATTTATCTTTGCATTGTTTAGATGACATGATCTCAGTATTCTGATTTCAGATACAAAATCAAATTGGAAGATGGAGCTGAAATAAAACCTCAAATACCATTTCTAAATGATCGGATATATGATACTAAATTTGAGTCTCAATTTTACATCATTTCCGATTCAAACAAGGTATTCATTCCCATATTTAATTTCTATTTTTCTTTTAAAGATTAAAGTTTGAGGGAAGGGGGAATAGACTTGAACTATGCAGGGAATAAAAAGTAATTTTATTGATAACAATCACATAATTATATTCTTAGCTAACAATAAACTTTTAATAAGAAAATAAAATATACTTTTTTCGGTACGCTCATGAGTCTTACATCTCTTAGGAGTTTAGGTCAAGGGTAGTTTATATACACACCCTTCTTCTATCCTTCATACCTTATTTATATCTAAACAACACCTTATGTAATTAACTAACTCATTAATATGCTAACTATCTTACTAACTTCTCCTTCCCCTTATATCCTAACAATACACCCCGCCTAAAAATCAACCTTGTCCTCAAGGTTGTATAGTAGAAACTTGATCCCATTGCTCATCCTCATTATCATGATCTTCATTTACCCTTCCTGTTTGCTTGTGATGTCTCTTTTTGGTATAATGAGAACCAGTGGCTATTGCATTCAAATTCAGGTCAGGTGGCTTGGGTGGTGGTGGAAATGAGGGTGAATTTTGTATAACAGCCTTCAAACCTTCCTTCTACATTGACACCATTGGCAAGTTGTGATCCAGAGAAGCAATGAAATTTAATGTTAAAGGATCACCAAGAAAATTAAAATTCTCAAATTCTAATGTCATTGTTGTTCCAACCACCTTCACCATCAAATATGGATCCAACAACGATTCATGATTCTTAATATGGAAATCCATAATCTTCACAGTCTTTATTGATGTAGCAACAACTTCCTTTGACATAATCTTTGCTTTTCTTGCTAAATTCTCTTCATTTGTGGTTTCTTCTTAACTGTCAAGGGTATGATACTTGATTAATGACTCTTCTTCTTTATTTCTATTTTTTTATTTCAAGAATAGAAAAGGGTCATCATCCCTCTCAAAACTGTCACTCTGAGTCAAATTCCCCTTCTATGCTTTCAGCAAATCTGGGTAGTTCCATCTTTCTTGGCCAATAACTAATCTCTGCTGCAGTGCATTTTGACCCGCTTCCCTCCATACTATTTTTTTCTTGCTCAACCAAATGTGGATCACCCTCTTCATACACTTTCAAGAACACTTTGGAAGTCTCCATTATTTTGCTGCATGTTTTAATCTTGGTTTGCTCTTCTTGCTTTATGGTAGTCAATCTTTCAAAGATGTGGCTACCATAGGTATCTTTGAATCTTTTTATCAAAGCTGTTGAAAAAGATTTTCAATCTAAATTCGAGTTATCTTGATATCAATAATAGAACCAATGCATTGTCACACCCTCCATGCTCATAAATGCATGTTGCAGCTTATCAAAAGAATCAATTTCATTTACCTCAAAGAATTTTTCAGCCCTAGCAATCCAACCAATTGGATCACTTCCATCAAAAGTTGGCAGCTCCACCCTCTTCATCTAGTGACGTTGCACCTCTTCTTCCCCATCATCCGAATCAGATTCCTCATTAATCACCATCCTTTCTCCTCTTCTTTCCCCATTTACAGAATTTTCACCTTTCTCCGAGTTTCTTTCTTTTTCCTTGAAGTGTTTCAACAAGTCTTTGATTTCTTGAAAATTATCTTGCATTTCCAAGATGATCTTCCCATGCTCGCTGACCCATATTTCCAATGCAACAATTTTTCCTTCCATGATTTCCCCTTTTTCGGATCCGGTAGGTCGGACCAATTGTTAGGAATCAAGAATTAAAGAAAAAAAGAAAAAAAAAGTTTCTTTATTGAATAGAATGAAAAGACCAAGAAAAGGAGAAAACTCTCCTCCAAGGGTTTCCCCTTGAGAAAGGATTTCTCCTTTTACAAAGAGCTAATGCTCAATTTACAAAAAATATCCACAACCTTCTCCTATCCTTCACACCCTATTTATATCTATTTATATCTAAACAACACCTTATGCAATTAACTAACTCATTAATATGCTAACTATCTTACTAATTTCTCTTTCTCCTTATACCCTAACACCTTCACACATAATTTGAGCATAAACTCAAAATTTCATGGGAACACACCATGGTTTTAAATCTAATCATTACTAAGAAGTATTCTACTAGCTTGAGTTTGGTTGTTGAGGATTATGGCTCATTTTTTGTGACTTACATGTGCCAGTGAGACTCTGGTAGATGATGTACACCTTGGGTGCTTCTAGCATTGGGTATTTAGGTTTTGTGTGTTCAAGGGAGTGTGCTTCTAACGATAGTGTCACCGGTATGAAAGGCGATGTCTTGTGGTGATTGATAGTGAATAGGGAACACCTAGAGTTTACTCAATGAAGGAAGCGGTCGTTAGGGTGTCACAATGAAGATGCCTGGATGTGATCGCAATGAAGGAAGCTAGGGTTGAAGTGTGGAAGGAAAGTCCTTCAAGATTGGGAGCTATATACGAATAAAAAGATTGAAATCTATGTTATTTTTTTGTCAATTGTCTGCAAGGGAATTGAGTCCTTCTAACCTAGTATTTACATGGAAATGCCCTGCTATTATTTACGGGGAAATACAAATGACGCATGTTGAATATCTCATGTCATATTTAGAACATGCCAAATATGTTCCAACAGTAAGCTTCTCGTAATTTGTTTTCATATTTATCCATTTTGATTATAGCAAGTATATTCAAGTGGAGATGCCTATCCGAATTCTACAAAACTTCCCAAGGGAGAATACAATTTACAACTGTATTTGAGGTACTACTCTTTCTTAGCATATATACGGGATTAGAAATAATGTTTGTTTTGTGGTGCCTGCTTTTTAGTTAGAATAAATAAACTTAGAAAATTCTAGCTGTTCTAAGGACTTGAAGGTTTAGTTCTTAGTGCTTGCATAAGAAAACTGAAGTAATATTTTCCTTAGTGTAATATTTTAGGGTTTAAAAAGATTGATAACTAAAGCTGCATCAAACATGGCCCTATATACATGTTGGAAAACCTTTGGGGGTTGTGTTAATTACAGCCTCAAGGATGGTGGTTTGGTCGATCCACTAGACATGTCTTAAAGAGAACTTGTAAAGTTTAGAAACTACTCACCTTTCAAGTTGGTTTATATGGGTTGGGTTAGGTCCTAAAACCAAATTTTAAAAATACTCATTATAATTTATTATTTCAGGCATGACAACGTGCAGATTTTGGAAAAGATGAAGCAGCTGTTGTTATTCATTGAGCGAAATTTAGAAGAGAAGGTAGTGAAGTGCATCACATTCTGCAAGACCGTGTATCCCGTCCGTGACTGAGTATATTTTTCCATAATAAGCTAATCCAAACATGCAGTAGAAATATTACTACATGAATTAAAATACAGAGAATTAGATGAAGCTTCTCATTTGGTCAGTTCTTCCTAAATTTGATTTTTATTTCTTAGGAGTCTTAATGTGATCTCATAATTAACTTACATATCTTGAATGCTTGTGGTGGAGGATATAAAATTTAAATGCCTCATCAAAGCTCAGCTCACTTATTTGATTCCTTCTATATATTTATTACCATTTACTTTTGTCTTTATTTCTAGGATATCATTCGATTATGCTTTTTCTCTGAACCTGATGCTCCAGTGATGGGAAATGGTTCCTTTAAGTCCTCAACGTTAGTTCCAGGGTATGTAACTGGTTTATAGTCCCTACCTAGCTCCTTAAGGTTTAAATGTTAAATTGTGTTGTGGTACTGATGTTTGCTTATTGATAGTATAAAAGAAGGATTTTATCTTGGTCCTCCACCAAAAGACAAACTTCCTAAGGTTTATTGTTTTCATTGCTTAACCTTGTAGGTATCTATCTCCATTGGAGTATTAAAATTTAATAACTTTTGTAGTATTATTTCGACAGAACTCTCTACAAGGATCTGTGTTGGTGGGATCAATATCATATGGGAAACTATCATTTGCTGGTCAACATGATGGTAAAAATCCAGAAAAGCATCCTGTGTCACACCGGGTTTCTTATATCATTCCCCCAAATAAGGTTATTATCTGTTTTTGCACCTTAAGGTCTTGCGTTGCTCTGCTATTGTACAATATGTGCTGATTTGAACAAGCACCAACCCTCATGTATCAACCATTATAAAGCTATACATTAGTGTCTAATCATACTGTCCTATTACCTTCTGTTGAAAGGTCGATGAGGACAAGGGAAAAAATTCTTCCTTATTTTCCAAGAAGACAGTTTCTGAACGCTTAGAACAAGAGGTATGCAAATACTCGGCAGAATAACTTCCTTGTCTTTTTATTCCATCATATATTTTACTTATGGGTCTTGCTTTTGGCCTGACTGAAAATGCATCTATTATATTTAATTTTGCTTAGGAAAGTTTTACAAATTAAAATGGGTGAGCCTAAGCATGTCTACTGTTATCTAATTCAATATTTTAAATCAGGTTACTGTTTTAGTTGAAATTTTGTGTAGACCTTATTTTTCCATCTCTCCAAAATCCATAAAGCATTCTTTTACAGTTCTGATTTGTCAGAAAATAGACACTAAAGATTTCAGATTGTATTCTTCTGTCATAATGTACTTTTAAGTTGGCCTTGACTTGTCCATCAGGTACGAGATGCAAAAGTAAAAGTGTTAGGGGGTCTAAACCAAGGAAGCGAAGAAGAGTGCTTAGAATGGAAGGAGTTGTCTGCCTCGCTCAAAGTCAGTATATAATTCTCTCTCTCTCTCTCTCTATATATATATATATATATATTTTTTTTTACTGTTATTGAAAACACTATTCTGCTGTTTATCCTCTATATTATAGTTTTAAATTAAATAATTGCAAAATTTATGTTTCCCTTGCAGACTGAATATCCAAAGTACACACCATTACTTGCGAAGATTTTAGAAGGTTTAGTTTCTAGAAGTTATATCAAAGACAAATTTCTTCATCATGAAGAGGTACACATTGTTGAAGTCTATTGTTTTACTATTATTTCCTCCTTCCCTCTCTCTCTCTCTCTCTCTCTCTCTCTCTCATTTTCCTTTACAATGGTTCTTTTGATGAATTTAGTGTTGATAGCATTGTTCAACTGAGTAACGTGTGAATGATATAAAAGGCTCATGCTTTAACAAGTATGACTACTCTTTGCAGATAATTGATGCAGCAAATGAGGTTATTGACAGTATTGATAGAGAAGAGTTAGCAAAGTTTTTTTCACTAAAAAATGATCCAGAAGATGAGGAAGCAGAGGTGCTTTCCATGTTCCCTATGCTTTTAGTTATCCATGTCACTGACATGGCATGTGAGTTTAATTTGTTCAAAATATTTTGCAATATTTTTTTTACTTTAATTTTTATAATTAATTAAGTTGGTTGTGTAATTTTTTCTCTGAAATGATGACATGATAGGGTAAACAAACATATCTATACCATGATAGTGTATAAAATGTCAAAGACAATCGTTGTCAGCTAATTACTGTGGAAGTTCCTTCCACTAGACAATGGATTTGGTACTACATTACTAACACGATGGATATTCAATGGCAATCAATGATATTTTAATCCCTCTGTAGAAAATCAAGAAAAAGATGGACTCAACCCGCGATCAGTTGGCAGAGGCACTTAACCAAAAGGGGCTTGCACTGGCAGAAATTGTGTCTTTAAAGGTTAGAGCTTTTATTTTCTTTAAAGCAACGATCGTAACTTGTCCACACATTTAATGCAGGATTTTTAAAATTAGAGAACTTAATGAAAAGATATAACGAACTTAATCTAAGTTTTGTTCATTGAAAAAGGTGTTATGTAGTTTATCTTGAACACTTGTTTAACCTGGTAGCTGTTTAGATCTGTTAAAATCCCTCATTGCTAGGTATATAGCCAATAGTAATTAATGATTAAAAAATCCACCCTATTTGACCTAGCTTCTGACGTTCAGTTAGGCCTAGTCCATTCCCAACACTAACATGGCATTGGAGCATACAAACTCCATGCTGCTTATATCTAATCCTGCGCATAAAGAGGGTGTCTAAAGAGCCCATGTAACATGGGTATATATGGTCAGAGTACTGAGTTAGCTTTTAGGATTGAGTTGAGCCCAATCCATACTCGATTCGAATAAAATCAACATTTGATCTTATAGATATACTTAGTAGTTACACCAAGATTAGGAAATATCCTTGTGCTCAGGTAGCCGTATATTTCCCCTCTCAAGTCATGGATGTCGTGTAATGTAATAGTAAATGCTACTCTTCTCGAGTTTTGACTTATGTTCGATCATGTAAAACTGCAATTTTTGCCTCCTTGTGTTTGGTTATTATGATGTTACTATGTTAGAATAAGCCAAAGATTTCCATTCCAATATAGCAGTAGTGTCACTTAATCATTGTTTATCAAATAAAAGTTGGCATACTTGTATATTGTCAAAGGAGGTAGATGAGTCCTTGGCTTCGGTTGCAACAGAAGGTGCAAAACAAGACGTTGAGAAAACTGATGAGCAATCCAAGGATGAGGGCGTTCATCCAGACTTGTTTAAAGAGAACTTCAATGAACTGAAGAAATGGGTTGATGTCAAGTGCACAAAATATGGAATCCTCTTGGTGACAAACGAGAGGCGTAATCAAAGGCTTGGGACAGCATTGAAGGTATTTTCCTAAGCTAAAATCTTGTCTTATGCCGTTTATGACCCTCTTATTAAGTTCTAATCTAACAAAATACTTAGTTTCCTTACTCCTTGTCATATAGGATTCTCTAGCCAATATTCATCTCCCCTATCCCCCAAACTCCTCTTGTTGACACAAGTTATGTCTCAAACTCCTAACACATACAATTGATGATATACTTTAGTATTCCTAAAATATTCTTTCAAGATTCCAATGTTCATCTCCCTCCCAAAAAGGGATTGCAACAAGCATATTTTTGAGTTGCGCAATTTTGGTGAAATAGTAGTGCTATCTGTTCCGGTGGATGCCTGGTATCTGTATATGGTTGAAGATAATCATGGCACCACTGCCGAAGTGGTGAGTGTATAAACAGTGGCTGTTTGTTGCTTACCAGTAATATCGATTCCTTTCTACCTTTTTTGAAAGTGTCTTTTATTTTGACGATCATAGACCTTTAGGAAAGTCTTTTTTCTGAAGTATTGGTCAAGAAAATAAACGCAGAAAGTTTTTATTGGCAAATGAAGTTTTTATTACATCATAGTCACAGTTTAACATTTATTTAAGTTATCAGAAGCATTTATACATTTCATGCCATAACAATTATCATTAAGGTATTGGTTAGGAGGGTCCAATAAAGTACACTAATCATATGCGAACCTTTGTTTCCCCGAATTCAGGTCATTGGCAAATGAAGTTTTTATTACATCATAGTCACAGTTTAACATTTATTTAAGTTATCAGAAGCATTTATACATTTCATGCCATAACAATTATCATTAAGGTATTGGTTAGGAGGGTCCAATAAAGTACACTAATCATATGCGAACCTTTGTTTCCCCGAATTCAGGTTCTGAATGACATCATTCAAGATGATCCCGAGTCTGCCAAGAAGAAATTCTATGAACTAAAGCTCTCTTTGCTTGAGGAAATTGGATGGAGTCATTTTTGTACATATGAGAGGGAATGGATGCTGGTGCGTTTCCCCCCAAGTTTGCCCCCTTTCTAGGCTCTTCCCGTTGTAAAGTTTTTGAATTGCAATGCAAAGAGTTGTCCTTTTACTTGGTTATTTATTGCTATGACAACAATTGATGCAAGTGCCTGATAATCCTTGGGTGTGGATCACACATCAAGGCATGCATTCCCATCCCCTCTGACATTGGTAATTACAAAACTAAGTTGGTTTTCAGTTCTTTCTTTGTATGTATTCTTTGGTTAGAGACCTCTGAATTCAAGTATTACTTGCAGTTTAGACTAATCCAACCCAAACTGCGTGGACATTACAATTAAGCTCTGTTTTGCTTGGAATATTACATTTAGAAGTATATGTAGAGTGAATGTGAAGTAACCCCTCATTAAGGAAATAAAAGTAAAAAGCATTTACTAAAAATGATATTTGAAAACACTAAAGTCATACAAGGATCGTCCTTTCCTATTTTCTTGCTGCTTTGACGAGACATTAGGAATATGCTTAAAGAGTGGCTGCCAACCTTGATAAGCTACTTGCCAAGTAACAGTGAATCTTATTGATCGTCTTTTCAAAATTTTATAACTTACATAAATATGTCTCACAAATCTAATCATTATTCTTAGAGTTTTTTTAGTTTACATTATTTATAATTTTGACTTTCTTAAATTTAATAATTATTAAATATATCATATTTACATATTTGATTTTTCATATTTTCATTTTTTTATTTTTTTTACATTTATTTATTGGTAGTATATTATTTGAAATCTTCAAAATTAATGATAATATTCACTGGTGATAACGAGTGTCTTAAAATTAATGTAACAACAATTATCATCGTTAAAAAAATGTTATAATTAAATTAGCACTGTTAAGTTTATTATTTAAATTATTTACTCAGTGTGAATTAGTATTTTTCTTTCTTACATTCAAAATTAGAGTTTTCGTGAATAGGTTTTCATTGTTATTTATAATGCGCTCTTTTAATTAATTCAATTTAAAAAAAATTAGTTAAGTTAGTTTATATTTAAAGTTAAAGGAGTAGGTATTCATGATTAATTAACATTTTCAAATTAGGTTAGTAAAGAGAAATTTTGTGTCGTCTACTTTAAATATTTGTTAAATTTTTAAACAATCAATTAATTAAGGATTTTTAAGAAACAAAATAATTAATTCATCATTCAACTACAGTTGGATTTTTTTATTAAAAAAGTAAAATAGTTATTGATATGAATCACATGGGTGATTTAGGATCTTTAAGGTTAGAACCTCTTGTAGAAAATTTAGGAATTTAGTGATAAGGTGGAAGGAAAAAATCACTCTTTTCAAGGAAGATAACTCACAAAGGATGTGAAAGTCTTTTAATACAGTCATATGTTCTTGAATTACTCAAGAACTTAAGAGAATCACTCTTACTAAGATAAAAGAGATGAACTCTAATATTTTTAAAAATAAAACTCAACTTGTTATTTCTGATAAAAAAAATGGTTCAGCTTATAAAGAAACTTTGTCATCAGAGTTACAAATATTCATTAAAGGAAAATAAATGCTAATAATTATTTATTAACCTAGGAATTGAAAACTACTTAATGACTGATTATAACTGAAATTGTGTCATCCAAAAGTCAATCAGCTACACACCCTCTTAGTCTCTCAAAGATAACTAAATTTTCAATTGGATCCTTATTACAACTTGCAATAAAACCAAACTAAATGCTATTAATTGATTAATCCAAAACACAATTTGGTCAACTAACAATACTTGTTGAAGAGCTTCATTTGCTTTCCTTACTCTAACTCTTATCATAGGTCATGTTCATATCTTTCTCTCCCTCTTGAAAAGGATTTGTCTTCAAATTGGATTTGACATCTACATAAAAAGAGATAAGTCTGATAAATTTAATGTAGAACTAACATTATACTCACTTTTTATGGTTAAATAGTTCTCCCTCACTTCAAGTGTTTCACTGACGCTTCTTTTTTTTCTCTCTTTTGTTGAAGAAAATTTTCTCTCATTTTCTTTTTATCCTTCTCTGCCATCAATTTGATGTTCAAACCTTTAAACCGGGACTCTGATACCAACTGATATGAATCACAAAGAATGATCTAGAATCTCTAATGTTAGAACCTTATAGGAAATTTAAGAATTTAGTGATAAGGTGGAAGAAAAAAATCACTATTTCCAAGGAAGACAACTAACAAAAGATGTGAAAGTATTTTGATACAACTAAATATTCTTGAATCACTCAAAAATTTAGGACCCTTATTACAACTTGCAATAAAACCAAATTAAAGCCTATTAATTGATTAATCCAAAACACAAATTGGTCAACTAATAATACTTGTTGAAGAGTTTCATTTACTTCCATTGCTCTAATCTTTATAATAAATCATATTTACATATGTTATTATCGTAGAATCTTCTCCAATCTCATTCAAAATGTTACTATTATTAAGAAAATGCTCATTATTATGAAAAATTACGAAATAGATAAATAAAGAAGTACTTCTCACATTGATACAGTAGACCTAGTTTTTTTTTCTTTTATTTTAAGAATCTTCCATTTAAAATATTTCTCAGGGAAAATTTTTCATAAAGTAAATTCGGTTTATATATAAATAAATTGGTAAAAAAAATCTTCCATAAAAAAAGCTTTAAAAAAATAAAATTTCATATTTGTTCTAAATTTTATCTTTTAATTTATGTATAAATTAATTTTCATTTACAAAAAAATATTTTTTTTCTAAATTTTAAAGAAATTTGTCTAAATATATAATGAGTGTTGTCTTTTTGGAGTCCAAAAGGCTATGCATCCCAAAAACATTCGAAGCACATAAAAATTGAACTTTTATTAATGCATATATTCATATAGGCACTTTTTGGGAAAATTTATTCGAAGTACCATCCTTATTTTATATGCTTTTTCAATTAATTAAAAATTTCATTTCTAACTTACTTTAAAAGTAACTTTAACTACCATGTTAATAAAAGTATAGAGTTGATATATAGGATGCATCTTTCACTCTACCCTTAAGTTTGTGTCATATCAAAAGTTTTGCTCCACGTAAAGTGACTTCAATTATTATCATTAAGGATTTTAAAGTTTACTTATCCTTTAACATCTCATAGATGCTACTTTAATAAATACTATCACATCAAAAGTGTATTTTGACATGTGTTTTCTGAAGTTCCAATTAACGTATGTTGTACAAAAAAATTAAGAGAATATATTTGTTTGCACAATTCTGTTGTTCTACCATTGTAGAAGAATAATAAGAATAAGATTATGAATAAAACAAAGAAAAATAGTATCATACAAATAATTCAAAATAAATTATTAATTTTATCTTCTTCTTCTTCTCATTCTTTCTCATTACACATATTATTTTATCTCTTTTATTTCTTTCATATTCTCTTCTTTCTCCTTATACACCCTCCCAAACACGGAACTTAACTTTTCCATTTTCCTAAAAACACAAAGTTTCTCTAAACCATGAGAAGCCCCATTATAGTTTAAATTCTGCTACTAAGTAAACAAGTAAAAAAGAATATTAATCAACCTCCATATTCATCATTATTATTGCCATTTTTTAGGTTAAAGAAAATCCGAGCCAAGAGCCTAGAAGGAGAGTTCTATTCTAAAAGCATGCACTCACTTTTTCTTTTTATCTCACGTCACTCTCTCACCACTCTCTTTTCTTTTCACTCCCATTAAACCTAAAATTGGAGTAAGTTTTTTATTCTTCATTTTTCATGATCTATATGAATACACGTTGACATTGGACAAACCAAACACACACACACACACACATATATATATATATATATATATATATATATATATATCAAATCCCACTTAAGAATATATCAACTTTCAACACGGAAATCAGAAGACTCCTTGTGTTATATTCTTCATTAACATTATATGCATGCGTGAATCTTGTTTTAAATTTTCACAATTCCTTCATTTTATATACACTCTTTTTTATGTGGACGGAACAAAGTTATACATACATATATATATATATATATATATATATATATATATATATATATATATATATATATATATATTTAACGAAGTGCTTATTTAAAAAAAAAAAAGAGTATAAAATTATTTATAGTTTCTCTGTAATATGAGATCAATCTTTGCAGCTATTTCATCTTAATTCATAGTTGAGTTAAATCTTAGTGCGACATAAAATGATTATAGTTCAAAGTCAAAAAACTTCAAAAGAAAAAAACAAACTATAATTAAATAAGAAAAATCATTTTTATTTTTTAGATATAAAAATAACAAGCTAATTCAAAAAGTGACAGTGAAGGGTCTATTCAAACATTTGAAATTAGGTCAACCAAGATGGGCTTTTAGTTAACCACATGGTTTATTGGAAAGTAAGAAAATAAGAAATGTGAAGCATAAGGTGCGCAACTGCATGAAGAAAATAATAATAATAATAATAATAATAATAATAATAATAATAATAATAATAATAATAATAGATTGTATATATAATAGTATATTTGGATTATATATTTTTATCATTAAATATAGATTTGTTATTCATTGTAAAAGTATTTACATATAACATAAATAGATAGAGAAAGAATAATTTTTTTAAAATAATATCTATTAATTATAATTAAAATTTGAAATAATCTTTTGTTTTGTTAGTTTATAAAATACTAAACATTTAAATATTTTTCTTAAATAAAGCATTGATGTCGAATCTGATACATATAGGTATATATGAATACGAACACGAGCACTAAATAAGATTAAATATTGTTGGATTGAATATGAATTGGGACACGAGTCTTAGCACATTTTTCCAAGGCTAATTTAATTTTCACCTATTATTTTATATATCTGATCATGTAGATAGAGAAGGAAGCTTCAATGAGTTGATTATGGTGGATAAAATTTGAAGAGAAGGTTCGAAATAAAAAGATTAAGAATGAGTGCGTATGAGAGAGAAGGGGTGCCTCTACTTTAATAAAGAGCATTTGGCAGATACAATATAGGATTGGAGATGAAGTGGGTAATATGAGTTTGTCGTGATGTTAGATCCGACTCATGCATTCATTTGTTTGGTCGAAACGTTGTCAGATGTCAATATCATTCCACCTATCGTCACTTCAAATATAGTTTTGTGTGTTTGTAAAGTTTGTTGTATATATAACATAAAGTAGGGTTTCATAAATGTACAGATCAATATTCTGATAGATAGGTTCCCATAAATATAAATCACAAGTGTAGAGTGGCGAGGGAATTAATCCAGATTCTTGGAAACTGTTATTTTACAGTAGGGTTAAATTTAATAAGTGGTATAGGGTTTTCTAAAGGGGGTGAACTATGAGTGGAAGTCCATGACTTGGCCGTAGGGAAAGCATGATGGATGGTGAATGATTGTAACCAGGGGAAATCTTAAAAGAGAAGGTAGAGAGAAGGAGTGTTAACACAATCTTGTACTCCATAAAGGTCAGATTCCTACCAACACACATCCTCCCTCCAAACCCAAAAGGCAAATAACCCATCTTGTGCTTGCATCCACCATTCACATCGTCCATGAACCTCTCTGGCCTGAACTCATTTGCATCCTCTCCCCATAATTCAGGGTCGTGGTGCATGGCCACCACATCTATCCACATGTTGGTTCCATTTGGCACTGTTTTGTCATCAACTTTAATGTCTTCTCTTGCTTGCCTCTGCACATTTGGTGCTGGAGGGTACAGTCTTAGAACTTCATTCATAACCCATTTCATCTGCATCCCAGAATTTTCAATTCATTCATTAATTAACTATCTTGTATGAAAAAAGAAGGTCCTTTAAAGTAATCCTAGTAATATCCGAAAACATAGAGTCTACATTATACCATGTGCTGTTTTTAATCAATTTATTTATTACAAATGGAAAGAAAGGAAAGAGACCCTACATATATATGTAAAGTAAATGTTGTAATCAAGTGCCAATTATGAAGATACACCACGTCAGGGTTGGAAAGGCACCCACTTTAATGTAAACTAAGATAAAGTTAATTAGAAAGAAAGTGACACTTTGTTCTGTGAAATTAGGTCGTGTTTTGTATGGTATGTGGATGGTATCTCAATTCTCATGCTTTATTAGATTAGGTCACAGGGATAGGGAGGTACATATTTTGTCTGCCACAAGATGCCCAAATATATGTATGTATTCAAGTATCCAATGAAATTAAAAGAACAAATAATAATCTAAAAAAAAATGTTTCAGTTACCACGTACTATGTCGTGTAGACGTGGACATTTTCTTTAATTTTTTTTATCACACGCCAAATTAATCAATACAAATGTTTTTTTTTTTAGGAAAATAATTATATATATTGTATCATAAATAGCATTCTAGTATATGTATTGTGAACAATTAATTTACCTTTTTTAAACCAGCAAGCATAGAGATATCAAGTTGTTCGGTGTTCCCCAGCACGTCTCGTATCTCGTCTCTCAACTGGTTTTGCCAATCTTCATGCATGGCTAGAAGCAGCAAAGTCCAGGTGATGGCAAGTGCTGTGGTTTCATGGCCTCCGAAGAAGAAGGTCTTGCATTCATCAACCACTTCTTGCGATGTTAACGTCTTCCCCAACTGCCTATCAACCTGGTGATTTTCTTGCAGCAACAGACCTAACAAATCTTGTTGAGAATTTTTCGTCGGTGACTTCTTCCGAGATTCTATGATGGACAACAAAAGCTCATCGATTTCTTTCCCAAGTTTCTTGGCCTCTAACGTTTTGTTTACGTTGAAATACTTGCCAAAGGGAACACCCACATATCGATTGGTCTTAAAAAGTGTCATTTGCAAGGCTCGTAATTTGTCGAAAACATCTCTTGCATTGTCGTCTTTCATGCCAAAACTTGTTCTTGCTATGATTTCTCCAGCTGTTGCTATAATCTCTCTTTCCACGTCAATCTCAGAGTTTCCAGATTTTATTCGGGTAAACCATCGGTCTATCATTTGATTCGTGGAATCAACCATCATCTTTGCCATGTCCTGTAGATAAATGCAACATCTAATCAGAATATATGCTTGTGGCCAAAGCAGACACCAAAACGTTTGACGTCAAGAAAGGAACAATAGAATAGAATATTAATTGAATTTGTTTGGTGATACTTTAATTTTGGAATATCTTTACATGGTTATATTTTATGTTTTGTTCATGGATTAGAATCTCTTTTCTTTTTACCTCACTCGTGAAAAACATATTAACTGTATTATGTAGCAAAAGTGCAAAACAAAAGGAAATGATCCACAACATTTCATATATAATTGCATGAGGACTCTTCAAATTACGGTACCTTCAAGTTAATGGGATTGAACGCGGGGGCAACAATGTGCCTGTGACGAACCCAATCGTTGCCCTCAACCATGACCAAACCACTCCCAAACATGGGGTCTCTGTCAGTTCTAAACACACTTGGTTTTCCCCATCTCTTGGCCAACACCACCGTCGACATTTTCTTCAAGAACTCTGGCTCTGCAACGTACAGGAATGGCTCCGTGCCCAACCAGTACACGAAAACCTTACCTACACAAACAAAACCAAAATGCATCTTTAACAAAACCTTGCTAGCTAGCTCCATGCAAATATATCATATATGTCTTCAATTCTTCATGAATCATGAATATATATAGAGTTGAATGGACTGAACATATAATTTTACTAAGAGGTACATTTAAACACAGTTGCTTATGTTTGTGTGGGAAAACAAACAAAGGAAAAAAATGAATTGATATATGACATTGTAGGCTTACCATGTGATTTCTGCCAGCTAGAAAAGTAGGGGAAAACGTTAGAGTGTATATCATGAGTGAGATTTGCGGATGCAACTGAGGATTGAATGTTATTCTTTCTTTTCATCTCTTTAATGTTTCCAAGGGGGAAACTTGGGATTGGCCCTCCCAACCCACATTTCTTAAGCTTCTTAAGTGTTTGGTTAGGGAAAACCCACCAAGAAAATGTTAGTATCAAGAGCAAGAAGAGGCAAAGTGCTGCCAAGAAGGCAACAAGAACCACAGCTAGCCCTAGAAACTCCATCTCTCTCTCTCTCTCTCTCTCTCTCTCTCTCTCTCTTTGTATTTCTGTGTTATAAGCTGTGTAGCACTATATCTCTTCTGTGTTTATCTATCTCAAGGTTCGATATAGTGTTTGGTTGTGTTGTTGGAAGCAAAGTGCTGTACAGGTATTTATAGAAGGCACTCGAGTAGTAGAATCCGTGGATTTGACTGTGTAAACGAGTAGAACATTTATGATTACTATATTTTGCAACCCTTTGAACCTTTTGACCCTTTCATTATTTTTGAATATTTTCTTTCTTTTTCGGTTCAACTTTAGTTGTCGTGTCAAACGAATATTTATCGGTCGCATTTTTTGTTTCTGAACATTTTCGGCTGGAACTGGAGGACTGGACCACAACTTTTGTTTATCAGAGGCAAATTGGAATTGAGATAAATTTGAAAAACAAAAGGGATTGAGATTCTTGCCACAACGGTTGACCACTATTCTTTTTTCTTTTATCACATGCAATATATAAGAGCTATCTCCAACATTCAATATTTTAGTTCTTACAATCCTTCAAATTATAAAATTTTTACTTTAACATATGTTCAGCCATTTGAGTCTTTATTTTTGTGACAGAGTAATAATTTTTTTACCATTCGGTTGAACAATCATTTGTGAATACCTTTTCATTCCAAACATTTCATGAAACTCTATTCATTTTATCTTATATATATATATATATATATATATATATATATATATATATATATATATATATATATATATATATATATATATATTTATCTCTCTAAATGTCTAGCTTGTTCATTTTTCTTTTTCCTGTGATTTCAATATTTAAAAAGCATTATTCATTTATTTGACAATGTAAAATATTTGTTTTTGTAACTTTAATAATTAAATTTACCTACATTTATAATTTTAGAACTTGTATTAATATTTCTAATTTCAGGATTTATATTACTTTATATTGCTTTAGAGGTTAAGTTTATTACAAAATAATTGGTAAATAAAATTAATAAAAAAATAAAGTGAAGATTATACACGTGCCTACAAATTCTAAAAAGAATGTTAAATAGAATGAATGGACATTTCTAAGATTGTTAGTGCATTCGAGAGAAAAGAAAAAGCAGAAAGGAAGAGAATATGACAAATAATCAAGAAAGAAGATAAAGTCTGTAATAATCAAATTTGATAAAAAGTTATATAAATAGAGAAATAAAGGGATAAAATGAAATAAAAGTGAGTTACATTATGAAACATTTTGATAATTATATTAAAATTAAATTAAATTATTATAAACCATTCATACAAATATTTAGTTTCATATTCTTACAATATTTTAGAAATTTATCGAGAAATAAAATAAAATTATAATATAAATTGATATAAACAGACAATTTCATAAATTTGAGTAAGGCATAAAAACATTTTTTAAAACATTAAAATTTGTTTTTACGATATTTGTTGGATTTATTATTTTTTTCCGTAATTAAACCACTCACAAATATTTATTTTTACTTTCTTAAATTATTTAATCTTTGACATGAAAAATATGTACTCCATTAGGGATGGACGGGTTAGGCCCAGTGGACCGACCCGCCATAATATGGTGGGGCAAGTTGGTGTTTTTAGCCCACCAGCCCGCTTTGCCCGCGCTCGCCAAGCCCGCTAACCCGTCGGGCTAACCCGCGGACGGGCGGGTCAGCCCGTGGCTCGCCTAATTAATAAATTTTTTTTATTGTAATAAAATTAATTATAAAGATAATATATAAAGTTAAAAATTTTAAAAAAAGAATTAAAAAGTTTCATTCTCACAAAAAATATTATCCTTCCTGAAACATAACATTCTCTCTTGTTCTCCTTGTTTATCCTAAGTACTCGATTATTTTTATCCTTGTTACTTGAATTAAAGGTGTAAGAATTACTCAACCAAGAATAATATGAAGTTTTATCAAATAAAAAAGAAATAGGTATTTGAATTTTTCAATATAAATAATATAAATTTTATAAGTTTAACGTTATATATATATATATATATATATATATATATATATTTGTTATTATTTATTATTATATAAATTTTATTATTGTTCTAAATTATAATTTCTTAAAATAATGTATTGATTTATATTATTAAATTGAAATAATATATATATATATATATATATATATTGAATTATTGACAAACAAATAATAATCTTATTATTAAATTTATTAAAAAAATTATTTTTTTCTAAATTATGGCGGGTCAGCTCATCAACCTCGTCCTTGGCGGGCGTGATCAAGGTCTATGACCGTCATGACTATATCAGCTAGTCAGCCACTCGCTTTTAGCGGCCAAAGGATCGGCCAAAACAGGCAGATCGACCCGTTTTGCCATCCATATACTCCATCTATATAATTTCACAATCCCTAATGTATAGTCCTTAAAGGATATTAATTATAATTGAAATCTTATATTAATTTAAAATATAATTAAATTATAATATATATATATATATATATAAAAGTAAATAAGTCTTATTGATATAAGTCTATTTTGTCATATTAAATAAATAAAATTTAAAATAATAAAAAACCACCAATTCATATATATAATTTTAACTCTTATATTAACCTGAAATAATTAAGTTTGATTTATACATTCCATCACGTGTGGAATGAAGATTTTGTAATTGAAGTCTGTGATTTTCATCACATGTCAACCAAGTCTTCGATTTAGATCATCATTGAGCATGTTGGGCTATGAACCCCATTGATGTTTGTTCACATTATTTATTCATCTCTCAATGAATAAATCATTTAATAGAATTTTAATTATACATCACATTTTCATCAAAGTGGGAGTTGACATGAGCAGAAAATCACTATGAAAAAAAATAGAAATTATTCACAACACCCTTAAATGATTTTTTATTTTTTATTTATTTATTGAGTATAGTGAAAAATATATATAATTAATTTTTGAAAAAAAAAAGAAGAAAAATGAGAAGGAGGATTGAGAGTAGTAGCTAGAAATAGGTAACTGTTGAATAGGGTTTTATAAATGTATAGTAATAACTCATAATGCGGTCGGCCAAATCACCTATTTTACCGGAGTGGAGTGGAAACGTTTTCAATGGGAAGTACTTCTTCATCCGATTACAAAACATTGCAAACGTGCTTTTTCTTCCTTCTTCACACACATCTTAGACAAAATCAAAACCTATTTTTAATATTATTGTGTCCCTCACCACCATTCACCAATATGCTTATTTTTATTTATTTTTTTCGCGTCAGATTAATTGTATTTGTAGATTTTATTCTATATATATAGGGTCCACACCTCATAATCAAATATTATATTTCGTAAAATATTCGCACCATACAAAAACAACGTGTTAAATTCTATTCATGCTCCTTTTCTTATCTCATCTAATTAGTATATTTCATAAGATAAGTTCATTTCTATTTTCCGTTTTCTAAAGAAGGCATCAAACTAATTTAGCTCATAATATTTTTATCGTGTGAAAGTAAGTTCCATTACTTTGTTATTATCATTTAGAGAGCACTATAATAGAATTTGTTCTTCTATTTTTTTTTTGTTCATACACTAATTATATCTCCAAAATCAATCATAAAAATTTAATATTAAATGGTGTTTTTTAATAAACATAAAAAATTTATTTTAGTTCTTAATATATATATATATATATATATATATATATATATATATATATATATATATATATATATATATATAACTCTTCATTTTAGGTATAACTATCTTTAATTATTTCTAAATAAAAAGTTATATCAAATATTAAATTTAGGTTGTCTATGAATGTAAACATTTAATTGGAACTGAATAGATTCATTTTAATTTCAAACTTTGATAAAAAAGTATTTGTTTAAAAAGAGAAATTTTGAAGACATTGATTATTGAGAAAATTAATAAATATTTTACACCAACAATCCAATGATAAGAAAAAAATCGATTTATGAATTAATATTTGATTAAACTCTAAGAAAGATCAAACCAACTAAAACGTGTTTGCTTAGTTTTCTAATTTTTTTTTCTGCAACTAAGTGAATTAGATTGGTTTTCGTCCATTATATCAAATTTGATCTATATTTTTTTAATTAGATAGAGATTTTGGATTAATTAGTTCAGATAACTATCTATTTTGAGATAAATTTGTATTATGGATATAAATACAAATTAAACTAAATTAAAAATAAAAACCAATGGAGAGAGAGTATTATCATTTTTAGTAGGATGGATCACACTAGCTACAAATTATTATTAATCTATACAATTTAAGTTTTTAACCATTTTTCGTTTCATTAAAATAGACTTAAATAACTTTTTATTCCTCATAAACTTTGGAGACTATTACATAATATATTTTTAATTTACATATATATATATATATATATATATATATTTATTTATTGTCGATTGAATATAAATGACATTTTTTTTCTAATAAAATTAAGCAATTTTTTAATAATTTTATTAATAAAATAAAAATTAAACATGCTCTAAAATATTTATTAATTCGTAATCGATCACTATTGGTCGTGTTGAACAAAATAATTGTTTTATTTCGCAAGAAACCCTTTTAATTAAGCAAAAGGTTTCATCGCCAACAAAAGTGCGCCAATTTTATCCAATCATATTTCTATACGAACTTCGCTTAAAATAGATCGTGTTTTTCATGATTAGACCGAAAATAATAGGCTTAAATTATCATAAAAAAAAAATATTGTAAGAAAATTTCTGCAATTATGCATGATATTTTTGGAGATAGTAGCAATGTTGTAAGAAAAATTCTGCTTGGATCTTATGTCTGCTATATTGTGATAGTTTCCTTATATTTGACTTTGTTCCAAAATATTGGGCATTGCCTTTGAGAAGGGGAATGTCTAAAACGAAGAAGTGAATAATTAACTTCCCCAACTATATGCAAACTAACCATTAATGATAGATAGATTTAGATGTATTAATTTCGTAATTCAATGGTCAAGATTGA